GGGATCTGCATTGGCAAGTCCTGCAGCTTCGCAGATGGTTTCCAATGATAGTTCAAGTACGTCGTAAACGGCGTAGTTATCGGTCACATAGCCGTATCGGCGGAGGAGATCTGCGCGGGGGATCTCTCCGTAATCGTTGAAGATTTCCTCGCCTTGTTGAATTGGCTTGATTGCCTTCATGACCAGGGCACCTTCTTCCTGGTAGAGACGGGCCTAATAAAAGAGGGTTAGAAATTAGGGTTGAAGAAAAGATTATGTCCCAACTCACGTTGTTGCGGTCCGCATCAGCGTTAAGCAGATCCGCGAGCGGGACCATGCCCTTAGGCAGCTGCTCCTCCTCTTCATCATCAGTCATGTAACTCTCATCATTGGCCTCTCCTTCATCGTCATCGTCCTCGGCCTTTTCGATGTCAAAGGCATAGGCCATAATGAGGGACCCCATGACATGGCCTACTTGAATGAGGGCAGCGTCACCAGCATCGCCCTCCCAGGATGCGAGACCAGGAGGAGGCGGGAAGAGATCCGGCCTCTTTGCCAAAATAGGAGCGATAGACTCCCTAATTGACTCCTCGGCGTTTGACCGACCAATCTTCTCCACAATAGTGCTAGCCTGCAGCTCTTGCAGCTCGGCAGGCGACCAAAACATGAGCGTGTCAAAACGAGAAGGCAAAACTCGGAAGTATGGAGCCCATCTCGACTTTTCTCCCTGTAGATATTCGTACACCATGACCAGCATCAGGGAAAGCCACGGACCCATCTGCTCCTCTAGATTCTCCCCAAGCAGAGTCCTCAGCTCCGAGTTTTGCACGGTGAGAACCATGGCGCGGGGGATCGAGAATAGTTCTTCACCTTCCGGTATGTTGCTTTGTGCCACTAGAGCCCAGGCAATATATTAGAGACTGAGTATAACAATTATGAAACCTTCATTTTCGGGGACACTCCGTAGACGATTTTGTGTGGCTGGGGAATAGATTTCTTGAACACTTACCAACACCACGTCCAGCTCCAGTTGCCCTCAGATCTGCGAGTCTGAGCTTGGGGTTGAGTTGCACACCCGGGCTGGCTTGCAACCATGACATGAAGTTGTCAGACTGTTGTTGAAAGCCCTCGGCGTCGGGGAAATGGATTGTCGAAGACATGACGGGAGAGATCCCTTAGGAGGGAAAATGAGAGTAAGGGGAGGGTTTGAAACGAGGCCACAAATGAAGTGGATACAGTAGGGAAGAAGAAAATAATGCAGAAGAGGGGAAAGAGGAAGAGTCGGGAGTATGCAAACTAAAGTCGAGAAGGGTAGCTCGGGTTTAGTTCGGGCCAACCGACGGGTGCCGCTTTTAGTGCTGATAACGATAACGAAAATCATAGCTGAGGCCTGTCAGGGCATACATTGCGATGATTTTGTTGGCTTTCTTCTGATACACTTGAATTGATACCTTAAAATACCGCCCATCATGATCGCAATTGGCATGGAAGGCTCAGCCAACAAATTGGGCATTGGCATCATGCTGCATCCCAAGGACGGTAGTCCTCCGCAGGTCCTCGCCAATATCAGACACACCTATGTCTCCCCGCCAGGCGAGGGCTTCCTACCCAAGGATACAGCGCGCCACCACCGATTATGGGTGGTGAAGCTGGTCAAACAAGCTCTCAAAGAAGCCAAGGTCTCCGTCAACGATGTGAATTGCATTTGCTTCACCAAGGGACCCGGAATGGGTGCCCCGCTACAGAGTGTGGTGATCGCCGTGCGGATGTTGAGTCTGCTTTGGGGCAAGGAGCTGGTTGGAGTGAACCACTGTGTTGGACGTATGTATCTATACACACCATGGCATAGACAATGTCTCCTACTTGGAGTTGGAACTCGAACAAAACGCTGACAATGTGAATCTCCAGACATCGAAATGGGCCGCCTCATCACCGGCGCAACAAACCCAGTCGTCCTATACGTCTCCGGTGGTAACACACAAGTCATCGCATACAGCTCGCAACGGTATCGCATCTTCGGCGAGACCCTCGATATGGCAGTAGGAAACTGTCTAGACCGGTTCGCGCGCACATTGCACATCTCCAACGACCCAGCACCAGGATATAACATTGAACAGCTAGCGAAGCAAGGAAAGCAGCTAGTTGATCTACCATACGTCGTGAAGGGCATGGATTGTTCATTCTCCGGGATCCTGGCTGCGATTGATGGCCTCGCTAAGCAATGGGGGTTAGGCGGGGAGGAAAAGGCACGAGAAGATGAGCAGAAAACCGTTGATTATACCACTACCGCGGACGATTCATTGGAAGATAAGCCCACACGCGCAGATTTATGCTTCTCCCTCCAGGAAACTGTTTTCTCAATGCTTGTTGAAATCACCGAGCGCGCAATGGCGCATGTTGGATCGAAGCAGGTTCTTATTGTTGGCGGTGTTGGCTCGAATGAGCGTTTGCAGGAGATGATGGGTATCATGGCTCGGGATCGCGGTGGTAGTGTCTATGCGACGGATGAGCGGTTCTGCATCGATAACGGGATTATGATTGCACAGGCTGGCATGCTGGCATATGGAACCGGATTCCGGACCCCTTTGAGCGAGAGTACTTGTACACAGCGGTTCCGTACGGATGAAGTGTTTGTGAAGTGGCGGGACTGATATCAGCCAATGTCTTGTTTGAACCAAAAATATACGTATGTATCATGTGTTATGAATTGAGCGAGTCAGATCTGATATCCTTTTGCATTCGGTTAGATAGATTTGGAAAAAGTTATTCAACATTCACCACTTATCTCAAGTGGGCTTTCAAAACAACATTTGTAATATACTTGCATAAATCGAAGCGCCTGTACAGCTGTATCATTTGCCCATGATCAAATCTCAAATCCTTTCCCAACACCTAACACGAAAGTAACGCCTGAGAAAATATGCAATATGTGGTGATCTCACCGAGATGCAGTGTTCAACGCACATTCATGTGTGCTGGTTGTAGTCAATGACTGGGCGATCTAGTAGTAGATTCTAGTTGCCATTATGGACGAAGAATCCGAGAATACCTGGACAGACAGGAAGCAGACTGGCAAGGGCCAATGAGTCGAACAAGGCAGAAAATTGCTTGTAAATCCATTTATCTCTGCAAATCGGATATACCACAACATGTCGAGGCAGTATTCGGTAAAAAAAAGTGTATGCATGCAATTAAGATCCGCCTATATGTTTGGACATAGCTCATTCTGTAATATCGCCAGTTGGTTTGTACAAAATGGTCGTGACATACTGTAGACACAAGATTAGTTAATTCTCAAAAGGTGTATAGAGCAGTGGCTTACTTTTCTTTTATACCTGGTTGTCACGCTTGTAGCCAGGACACCGTTCTTGATGCTGCTCGTGGCGAGGTGGTTCAGGACAGTGTGGTTCGGGTAGTTCAAAACACTGCTATCGTCTTTCATGGGAGTCGTGCCATTGAGGATTGACTTACCCAAGAAGAGAGGCAGACTGGGAGGGGTAGCCGTATCTCCAATGACATTGGCAGCCTGGACATAGGCTGGACTATCTTCTTCCTTATCTAGGTCGGCTAGGAATTGAGGAATGGCATCACCGAAGTCACCGGGTGGCACCTCTTCCTCAATTTCTTCCTTTTCTAGTGGGTGGTCCTCGGTATCCCCTGGATCCTGCTTAGAGGAATCCGGCACCGTGTGTGTAGGGAGAGCTCCCGGCTGAACGGCCGAGTCCTTATCATGAGCATCATCTGCACTGATTTCAATGTAATTGACCAGATGATTAGTGAAATCGACGGCAGTCGGAAGACTATCCGCAGCGCGCATTGTTCCATCGACAATGAATTTCAAGTGGTGTGTACCAGGTCGAAGGTTCAGAGTAGTGGACATAACAGACGGATTTTTTTCACTATCGAGTATTAGTTGAGTCCCGAGAACCCCGGTTTGGTCATTTAACTAACCTTCTGTGCAGGCGGAACTTCTTCTCCCAGTTAACAAAAGTTCCAGTAACATAGACCTTCTGAGCAGGCGCTGTCCATTCGATAACGACTGGGACGGCCTTGCCCGCGCCACTGATGGTGTATGGCTGGAGCTCATCAAGCAACTCCTCCTCTTCAATGGTCGTATGACCTGCAGCCTGAGTACTCGGGTCCATCTGTTCATCCAAGAGGCGATCCGCGGGGAGCGACTGGATATGCGAGTCCTCAGGGCCGGCGACGGGCGATCCGGGCGTGGTGTTGGCATCACCAATTGGCAATGGCAAGCGCGGTGGATGTTGTAGGTGCGCTGATGCGCTATAGTACGAGTTGAGGGGCGGGGCCGATGGTGCCACAGGATCGCGCCCCGGGACAGGGCGCGAGATCGGGACTTGGACCGGGTTGGAGTGGTCGCGGGATGGGATGTCCTTGACTGGAGAGGGCTCCACTCGACGTACATCTTGTGACGGAGCCTTCACTATGTTCTTGGGTGAAGTTTCGGGGACATTTCGGGATTGTAGGCGCTCTTGCACGGATCCTTGGTATCCCGCCGAGTGCCCAGCGGCTGTCTCCTTTGTGGCCGAAGGATTGGCCGCGGTGGCCTTGGGGGCCGAGATCGCGTTGAGGGAGGATCGACGGGCGACCTTTCGATCGCTTGTAGAGCTGTGGTGGGCATGGGCCGGGTGCGCGTCGCCCACCGGGCCTTTGGAAGGGTTGTTGCCCATCGAAGGCGGGGAAAGGTGTGATGAGTTAGGCCGAGTTTTTTGCTGGGAGTTGGGGAAAGAGGAGGGTTAAACTAAGTCACAATGGCAGGCTGAAGAAAGACACTTCTGATGCCAGCTCAAAGTAAGGATTGGCGGTGGGCAGTAATCAAAGTCGATTGATGTACTCCGTACTCATATTGTCAGAGTACAGTAGACGCCGATGACGCCGGAAGCCCAATCTGGTAATATAGGGCTTAGGGCTTGGTAGTTGGGACCGCGGCGCGTGTTACTTGGATATCATAACAGAGTCGAGATGCATAGATTGATTTGCTACATACCTTCATAATAATCATGGACTGGGTTTCGATCCTGAAATACCCTCTGTCGCTCGTTCTTAGCTTGATAATCCAATTACTGTCCTACTTCTTGTCAACCCTTCTCTTCCTCGCATCCCCAGTGATCTACATCGGACATGTCGTCTTATACCTAGCACTACTCCCATTGCGTATGCTCGTGATATTAGAGGTATGTTGAGAGGCAGGAATCAGGCATTCATGCTATCTGATGTCTTCATATCGTAGCTCTTTGGTTGTAGCATTTACTAAGCTCAAACAGGCATTCATCTATTTCATGACCGGGGCTGTGCTTGTCGGTGCCACCATAGGGATGATCTTACATTTCACCGGTAGCACCATATCGCAATTTCTGCAAATCGAAGAGTCAGATGAGCCACGGCGGCCTCGAGTGAAACGGGAGCTTCTAGATTTCGAACCCCAGCATCCACCCTTCGACTATCTAGAAGCGCAGACGGAGGATCGCAAGTTCCTACCCTACTCAACGATCTTGGAGGAGGAAGAGAACAGCCATGAGTCAGGGTGATGTACAGATATTTCCAAGTCTAGTGCATCATAATATACTAAGATTTAATCGAGTCTCCACGGCGGGCTACTAGATGCAAAGAAACTTATCATTAGAATGCCAAGAATCCCTCGAGGCAATGGAAGCGACCTGTCCAATCTTTGTGCCAAACATTGTTGTTCCATCTACGTACCAAAATGCGCTGTCTTCGCGGTCCGGTGGACCAGGCCCCAATATTGCCTAATTGGGCCACATATGCGATCCAGCCAATCATATAGTCCATATCTAGTCTCCAACAATCCAAGGTACGAAGTATATAAAATCCTATAAAATCCTCAAAATCCATCATCCGAGTTTCCTCATTCTCTATCTTTTCTTTCATTTCCCAAATTCCCCTCTTTTTGATACCAAACCCAGCCAAAATGGTCCGGATCAATGCGTTCGCCGTGGAGCAAGTAAGCAACCACCAACCCTCAAGCCACATTCCAACCCCAACCTCACAACCAATCAATCTACCTGGTCACATAGAGACTAACACCCAACAGTGGATGGACCTCTATGAAACCAGTGCAAAGCACAACCTCGCCGAAACATGCTGCGCATCCATCTCCCTCAACGATCTGCTAGCTCTGTCCCCGAAAACCGACCTAGTAGACTACACGCAGAAGCAAGTCTACGGCGCGATCCGGGGCTCCGAGGCGCTGAGGACCAACATCGCGAACTTGTATTCCGGGCCCGTCTCTGCTGATCGAGTCCTCGTCACAAACGGTGCCATCCAGGCTAATTTCTTGGCGCTCTATACTCATGTCGGGCCGGAGGATCATGTTATTTGTCAGTATCCGACCTACCAGCAATTGTATTCTGTTCCCGAGTCTTTCGGAGCCGAGGTTAGTCTGTGGCGATCGGATGAGGCGAATGGGTGGAAGATGGACTTGGAGAAGTTGAGCTCGTTGATTAGGCCAAACACGAAGATGATTATTTTGAAGTATGCATGACTCTCGCGGTTCATTTATTGGATATCTACTTATTAGAGTGTATAGCAACCCCCAGAATCCCACTGGCGCGATTATTCGTCGAGAGGAATTGCAGGGGATTGTGAATATCGCGCGTGAGCATGGTCTCCTGATTCATTCTGATGAGGTTTATCGACCTTTGTTCCATTCTCTTGACTGCGGCCAAGAGGTTCCTCCGTCTATACTTGAATTTGGGTATGAGAATGTCATTGCAACGGGTTCCATGTCCAAAGCTTTCAGCTTGGCTGGGATCCGATTGGGTTGGATTGCTTCGCCGAATCCTGAGATTATCGAAGCTTGTGCCTCTGCTCGTGATTATACTCTGATCTCGGTTGGCCAAATCGATGATAGCGTGGCAGCACATGCCTTGTCCAGTCCATGCGTGGAAAACCTGTTGCAGCGCAATCTTCGCCTGTCTCAGCGGAACCTCGAAGTCCTTGAAGCATTCATCGAAGATTACAACTGGGCTATGAAGTGGACAAAGCCAAAGGCCGGAACGACTGCGTTCATCAAATTTGTCGACAGGGAAGGCAGGGCAATCGACGATGTCGTGTTCTGCCAGCGACTCCAGGAAATGACCGGGGTAATGCTGGTCCCTGGGAGCCAGTGCTTCGGGGGTGGGGTGGATTTCCGCGGATATGTGAGATTGGGCTATGTCCAGGACAACCAGGTGATAGTTGATGGATTGAACACTCTGAGACAGTTCATGCGTGATGAGTATGAGAAGTTGCCGCTAGCTTGCTGAGGGCTTAGAATAGAACCAATTCTAATCCGAGATTCGCAAAATACATGTCCCAAGGTAATGATGTCTCGGATGTCCAAAACTTATTCAGAAGCTCTCGTCCTCTTGTAAAATTTCCCATTCCAAGACTTTGCATGTCGCCCATCCGGTTATGGATAAACTCGCATTCCTTGGGATCATCGGATTCGCAGCCAACACTGAACATGGGCCAAAGGATTAATATATTCGCTGAAGAGAACGGCGGGATGTCTTTCACTGCCGTTATGACTTTCCTAATGTCCTCTTTCACCGTCTCATGATTTCTTGGGAGTATTTGGACTCGGCGGTGGAGGTGTAATAGAGCGGAGTGAACAAAGGCGAGATGTGTACTCTGCAGCTCAATAGAGTCCCCTCCAGAAACACCGCACTCAACAAGGGAGATAATCTCAATCTCAAGCTTTTGAGCTTCTGCCAAGATACCTTGTTGCATCCCAGGCTCAGTGTGACATTGGCGTTGCACCAATTTGGATAGCCGCGCAAGCAGCGGAGCCAACTTCAAGGAGTATCCACATATATCGTCGACATAAGGGTTCAACAGATCAGAAGACCTATCCAGTAACATAGTATCAGTGCTGATCACGCCACTAGTACCCAATCCCGACAATCCCGCGAGAACATCCATTGTTGTAAACCATTTGACCAAACACTGAATGTAAGGATCAGTAATGCGTGGTGTCCCTTGGCTATCCAAAAAGGCACCCAAAAGACGCATTACCCCGCCAAGATGAGTCCGCCATGCCTGCATATTCCCATTGCATACATCATTAGTGCACAGAGCCATCGCCGTTGTGACAGTCGCAGCCGTTAGTGTTGCGTTCGTTTCACTGAGAGCCGAGCGTAGGTTTGAAATAGACAAGTTCGTAAACCTCAAGCAGGATACCCTTGACCTTGGTCCTGTGTCTTGGACAAGTCGACTGTGGTGACTGCAAGCGGATGCGAGGAGTGCATAGAGAAGATGGGGTGTCTCTAGAGAACTTGCAATGATTCTTTGCAGGAAGAGTGCTGGGGCAGCGGGAAATAGCCGCGGAGCTGTTTCGGTGCTAAAGACGTGCATGAAAAATCGGGATTCTTTTGATGATAGCAATGGTGATATGTTTAGAGCAGGCTGGTGTGCGATAAGGCTTAGACTCTGGCTAACTCTCTCATTGCGGCGATCTGCTTCACTCGGCCTTGTGTGAGTGACTGTATTCTGGTTTATGATATTGATATCATATTTGCACTCTTTGGGAAACCGGGTGCAGCGCGAGCAGATAGGTTTCTTCAGGTCACACTGATTGTTGTATTAGTGATGTTTAGTTGGTCAGGAAGAAGTTCTTTACTTTGACTTTTTTGCGTCGACATTCTGTGCAGCCATCTCGCCTTCTTTGGCGGATGGGGCTATTTTTGCCAATCTGATGGCTTGGCATAGCCAGCCAAATTTATGATAAATGTAGATGAGAAGGAGAGGAGAAGTAGAAATGGCGAGAGGAAGGGGAAGAGAGTAGTCCCACAATTTCCTGAGCCAAGTACGTACCCGATCCAGTCATATTGCAGCATTCCTGAACTACTCAAATTGTTTGAATGTTCCTTTATAAAGGTAAAAGAATAGTAGCATATACGGCCTTGTCAAGTGATTTTAGAAGTCTTTTAAATTTAGTAGTCTTTTGATAATTTTTTGGATTGGGAAAAGCTCAATAAAAATATTTTGGCCCTATACAGCTTATATTAGCTGCCAAAGTTGCGGTATGTAGACGCTGCTGACTTCCTATTAAGTTATCAAATAGTTACTATTAAGTTATTATATAGTGAAAGTTATATACCGTAATACTTTGGAAGGAAGTACCTCCTCGACCGCCGTTCTGCATAGTAGCGTCAAAATTATCGAACAACTGGTTAATATACAAAGCATTAATTGCAATAACTAACCTTTAGACAGAAATGCGTCTAATATAATAACCCTGACTTGTTACCACACTTGTATTCTTTGAATTCTCTTGTATGATGAGCGGACAAATTTCAATATCCGCGGCTAGACTTCAATTTGATAAAAAGACGCCGAATAGCCTCGCTATTTAGCCATAGAAGCCAAATTAACATCGTAGTTAGAGTTAGACAAATCGTGATAATCCAATAAATCCAGAGATCATGGGATACGCCGATAGACTTTTTATCGAAGTCGAAAAAATTCATGCCGAATAATCCCTTTCACTGTTAGAAACTTAACTGACTTATATAGTTTTTGAACTCACAGATACAAAAGTTCCTGGGAGATAAATCATGCTCACAATGGCCACGGTTTTCATCATTGTGTTGTCTGTGAGTGAATGCTGCGCCATTTGAAGAGAAATCTCATTGTCCCTTTGGGAGACGATGTTAAACGCCTGTTGAGGAACATTAGCCACTAAAACTTTCGAGATAGGTTGAAATATGGCTACCAGATTGATTTCATTCTGCAATCTTTCACTAAGTGAAATACATCGGAGCTTTGTAGAACGGAGGCTCTTTCCAGCGAAGTAAAACTGTCTCTTTATGTCTTTCGAATGCCATTGTATTCTGGCTTCCGGGGTGGGGTGGTCTTCATCGAATATGGAACATTCGTAGATGATACTATCAAGCGTCTCCAAAGCAACGTCGAGTATTTCCTTTGAGTGACTGATATGTCTAGCCAAATCATGAAGCAAAATAAACCGTGGCTGAAATTTTCCAAGATTCTTTTGGTACTGCAGTGAACATCTTAGCTTAAAACAATTCCAAAAGCGCAAAAAATAAACCTTACCGCTTCAACTTCCCAAACCATCCCACGGAGATCCCATATTGCTTGATCATAGAGTTTCCGCATCTCGCTAACGAATATAGCATGCCACCCATATGGATCGCTCGTGTGAATGGAGCGTAGCGAGACACGCAGTTGGGGCATTAGGTACCTCGGAAAGTCCAGAAACATGACCATTTGTTTCGAAGTGACCCAGTCCTTCCGTACAAAGATAGCAAATTGCATCCATTCATCACATATTCCGGAAGTGTCAAGATTTTTCCAGATCCTTTTAAGTTTGAAAAAGCTCCAAGAGTCTACCATGCATTAGCAACAGCCCGAGGCGATATAGAGATCGACAACTAACCATAAGCCAATATTTCCCCATTTTCACCTCGGTGATACTCGCATCCAAAGGTACCGTTCAGGTTTCTCGCCATAATAAGCCCGAACTCAGGGGGAAAGAAGTTATCGTTTCCTTTGGATATCCATGCGCTGAGTACTTCTGTAGACAGAAATCTACAGATGCGAGGAAATTATTAGTATGTCTGTGAGGTGTGGCCTAGGGGCATTTGGATGTACATGATCGTTTCAGGAAACTTTTCCTCTGCCTAGATGTGGGATATGCATATTAATATCGTTCAACCCAGTTGATAATCTGGTCGTACATGAAATTCAAGTTCCAAGGTTGATAGTCGCTCGTGATATTCACCACCGTCTTGAAAAATGTCAGACACCGCAAGATACACGTCAGAAAATTTGTAGACCTTACGACTTGAGGGCTCTAGAACTAGCACATCACCACTCTGAGGCAGGCGTTCGGTCGATATTGACCCCCTATAACCGATTTCTGGAGAAACAGCTTTGCATGGCGACATGGTGTACATAGAAGGCAAAAGTATGTATCTGCATGTAAGTGGACTGCGGAGTGCATGCTGGTTGGTAAAGCCTATATATACTTCAGGCCTCGGGTTGTGGAGAAACGTCAAATCCACTTTCTGCTGACGTGGTCGGCGCTAATACATATTCTAGCCTTTTTAAGAGCGGTTGGACGGTGTTTACCAGATTAGGGCGGGCTAGCATACTTTAGCGCTGGAGTAATCTATTTCTAAACCGCAGGTTTCTTGATTAACAGACCGCCGGATAGACACTTAGGTCTATTGGCTTTATGGTGAAACAGGAGGAACGGCTACTCGTTATCTGAAAAGAGATCCCATTAAAGACCGATAAGGACATGAACATGAGATGGTGATAGGTGGATAATTATGGTCAGCTTCGGTTCGCCGCTAAAATATCTAGACATCGGCAAAATGAGACTAGGTGTTATTGATAAAGCAACAATCTCGGGAATCTTCACTGTGCCGAAGGTAAGTTGGTTAAGGCCCATAAGGGTATAAACGGGCGCTAGTGGGACCGGACCGCGCTTTGACCTTTTTGACCGTTAACAATATCGGCTATATCGCGAGACAAGCTATACAATGCCGAGCGTCATCTAGTGTTGAGGAGTAGTCTTTTTAAGTACCCCGTATTCGTAGTCTAGTAGCCATTTGATAGTTACCTGGCGTCGACCTCGGGATAAGAATATGATTACATAAGTGTTTCGGTCCCGTTTTGAATCCGATACCCGATACCCGAAATTCGAAGGTTGACTTCTTGCCCCTTGCCCCTTGCCATGAGGACCATGTAGGATTCCCAAACATTCTCGGATATTATGGAAGGTAATCAGCCAAGGTCTCTTACCAGGCAAGCAGTAAGCATCTGTGACTTAGAAAAATGTTCCCCATCGCTGATACCACTATTTAAAGTGTGACTTGTGCCACGCACGAAAGGTCAGTCTTTCACTCTGGATGACCCATCTCCAAAGAAAACCGCCGACAAAAAGAAATGATGTCCGGTCAAATGTGATCGTGCAGAAAATTGTAAAAACTGCAGACTTGCCCATGCTGAATGCCGTCGGACACGACCTCAAAGATTGATTCGCACGCGAGTTTCCAGGTATGTAGTCTAAATATGACTGGGTAGAAACGCACATGTCTCACGATAGACAAGAATTGATGCTCTAGGGGCAAGACTAGAAAATCTTGAAAAGAATTCTCAACATCCTCTCGAGTACGTCTGTTGATAACATAGCGCAAGGCCAGGAACATTGATTTTGAACAGAAATGATCGCTCGAGATATTCCACGGGGCTAGCCGAAACATTGCCCCGGATGAACGAGACAAACCAGGGGAGCAAGTCCACTGAGGTATCGAGTATCCCATCGCGTGTTACCACCCCTAACGATTCTTCTCATCGGACGGCAGAAGCCCATCGATTCATCCAGAACGAGCTTGAGCAGAACGATGGCATGACTAAGGATCGTCAAAACGTGCTCACGTCGGCTTTAGATTTCGTTGCCAGATTCTCTCATCCTTCGCTTCCTCAACCCAATCTAAATGTTTTAGACACAGAAGAAGATCTAGTGTCTGGATCAACTCCCCCTGAGCTACTTTATATGATGCTTCCAGGTAAGCATTGGCCGATGCAGTACCAAGACATTGCATATTAACAGAAGAGCCAGGTACTTTTGATGCACACGAAACAGATTCCAAGACGTTCCATTGGCCAGATCACATTACAGGGCCAACTCTTCAGAGGATGCTGCTTTATTTGATCGATAATGAAGGAAATGACCAAACAGCCCTTCACTATCGCGTATGCGTATATTCGAAGGCATTCTTCTTTCTCATGAAGTCGCCTCAGCCACATCATAGCAACCCAATTTGCGAAAGACTGAAACAATCTCAACGTGAATACAAACGTGTTGCACTGGCTTCATTGAGTCGTCTGCCCTTTCTATCATCTCCCAGTCTATCACTTGTTCAAGCTCTTCTCTCTGGTGTAGGTGCTTCTATCACTCTTTGCCAGAAAACGCTAACCCAGTAGGCGATGTTGATGCAATACCTGGGAAACATGTCGTACAGTTGGAATCTCACAGCATTTGCTTCCCGAATGTTAATGTCCCTCAATTTACATGCAGTGGAGACAACCGATGAGATTGACGATGAGACTCAGGCTAGTCTCTACTGGTGCTATTACCTCGACAAGGTTCTGAGTTGTCTTTTCGTACGACAACCTTCTCTTCCGAAATTGCGCATTGATCCGGCTTCTATGATCCCCGTCAACTCCGCAAATCCTCTTCAGACAACAGTGAAGATAATGGTGGAAATGGCGAAAATACAGGAGGAGGTGCTAGAAATGCAGCTCAATCAAGATGTTGTTGCAGACAAATCTCGGGTCGATGCGATAGTAATCTCCGCAGATTCTCTCTTAGCTCTCATCAAAGAGGTAATCTTGCTTTACCCCTTCCAATTTTATGGTGATAACTAAGTTTGGAGACTCGGTCATCTGTGCCGCTAGAATTCCAACTCGACTTCGATGCAGCCGAATTTGGACACGCTGCAGTATTAGCTAATGTCTTCAAATGCTCTCGGTGGAGCAGAGTCTATCAACATAGATGTCTTGACAGCGCTAGGAAAGCACTTACTGTTCTGGCTGCTATGCTGGATCGTGAAGATCAGCAATCGGATACAGCAGATCAATATCCATCTTTTTTGACTTGGTAAGCCAGGAATATTACAATATTTACATCACGAACATATACTTACCAACAAGCCAGGACGGTCTTGCTTTATCCACTTACTCCATACTTTGTGCTATTCTGCAATGTGGTGGCATCTTCACACAAACCCGACTTCGATTTGATGCGTCACGTTACGGAAAGCATGTCTCGGTTTATTGATGCGAATGAGTGGATTCACAAAGTCCACGGCCTTTTTCATGATTTCCTTGTTTTATGTGATCCATTAATGGGGCAGACTGTGTCAGATGATATGACAACAGGCGAATCGGAGCTTTTACTAGTTGACGGTGCGAATTTGGGATATGCAAACAGCACAGAAGAGAGGCTGATTTGGGAATTGTCTGCCTCTCAGCCATCATTAGATTGGTTTAATGTTCCTCTTCTGCGAGATAGCTTCTAAGATTGAGCCCGCATGCTTCGAATGTATTGGGGAGATATGCACGAATACATGGGATTACAACCCCGACATTTTTCAATTTTCAGTTCCTAATTATGTTTTAATAATACAAGTATAGAAGCGAATGAATCGATGAGAGACACACAGACAGCAGAGACTAAAAGTAATCTGGGATCCTCCCCCTAGTAATGGTGGGTCACATTAAACTCGTAAGGTGATAAGAAAGACATCTTGACAGAAATCAAGGTGTACAGCAAGGTATGGTATGGCCAATGGATGTACATAAATCTAACTAATTAAAATAACAAAATCCGCTATTTGACAATCTGGGCGGACATCAACGGCTAAGCTTAATATGTACTTTTGTATGGTAGCCACTGCCGTAGCGGTCCATGTATTTCCCGTGGGGTTTAATACTCGGTTCTCAACCATCTTATGTAACATAGCTTTCGACACATCTCAAGCCTTCACAGATTTCCACTGCACGAATAATGTTCCGAACAATGACAATGCTCCCATAGCAGTCGACACGTAGAAGGCAGCCACAAGACCTTCATTGTAGGCGGAAAGAACCCGTGGTAAGACGTTTGCCGGGATAAGATCTTTCAAGGCCGTGGCACCAATGTCGACAACCTGCTGTGAATCAATTCCCGATATACCAGACAGATTCTGCAGAAGTGCGTTTGTAAAAACGTTCTGCGCCACAGAAACGAACACAGCTCCACCAAGGGTTTGCGAAAACATGACCGCAGCTGTCGCAATGGGCACATCGGCAAGTGGAAGGGATTTTTGAACAGCTATAAGTGCCTGTTGCATGCCAGTTCCCACCCCAGCACCAAAGATAATCTGATAGCCAATCCATTTCCCACTTCCTGTGTCAGGATGGAATGTTGACAAAAGACCTGCCCCCACTGCCATGAGCAAAGATGAAATAATCATGAAAGGGGTATAGTAGCCGAATTTTGTGACACAAGCCCCTGCCACAATAGACAAGAGAACCTGAGCAAGAAGCATGGGGAGGTTCATGATGCCTGATTTCACTGCTGAGACACCTTTGATGGACTGGAACCAGATAGGGAGCTGTATTTTGTAAGTTTCAGATCATATAAACGTGATCTGGAAAAACTCACGTAGTAAACCAGGGCGAAAAAAGCCGCACCAAGGCAGAAGGTAAACAAAGAGCTTCCCCATACATTCCGGTTTCCAAAGATTCGTGGTGGAAGTGTGGCATTCTCTTGTCGCCAGAGCTGCACAAAAACGAAGGCAATCATCAGAACCCCAAAAACGACGAACAAGGCTATTATTTTTCCATTGTTCCATTCATAGACTGAACCACCCCATTGCAATGCCAAGAGCAAGCATATAATAGATGGAATAAAGAAGATTGTGCCAATGATATCAAACTGCTGGATCTGCTCCCTGAGAGACAAAGTTGACTTGGCTTTCGGGGGAGAATGATAGAAACAGAGCAGGAAGATAAAGGTCACAGCACCAATTGGAAGGTTGATGAAGAAGCACCAACGCCACGAAGCATGGTCTGTAAAAGCTCCTCCCATTCTAGAATATCATGTCAGCTCGTCTTCCCTAAACAAATAAAATATTGATACACATACAAAGGCCCTGCAACGCTCGCGATCCCATACATACCCCCGACAATCCCAGTATATAAAGGTCTTTTTTCTAATGGCACCGAGTTTGCAATGATCAGAATAGCACCAGAGAATACACCTGATGTCCCGATCCCGGCAATCGCTCGACCAAGTATTAGTCCCAATGAATTCGGTGTTACACCGCAAATCAAAGATCCGACTTCGAAAATGATCAATGCTGACAGGAACACCCATTTGACAGAGCAGAATGTATAAAGCTTTCCAAAGACCAGTTGCATTGAGCAGGTGGTGAGGAAATAAGCGCTACCATACCAACCCACGTTATCGAGCGCATGAAATTGAGCGGTGATATGAGGAATGGCTGTCGCAATAATTGTATTGTCCTGTAGAAAAATAAAATTAACTTCCAACCGAGCCCCTGGGAGTTCAACTGTACTCACCAGCGCCATGCAAAATATTGCAAGGCAGAGAGCTGTCACGATCACGGCTAGTTTCATTGGCGATGGGTACGTCTCTTGGGCCTCTTGTACTGGCTCTTTTTCAGACATTTTGTAGGAAATTGACTTTTCCATTGTGAGAAGAGATTTAGGAAGCTGAGCTTGGTGAAATCCCTAATCTACTTTTTATAAGTGTCGGGCTTCTCGGATTCTAAGGTCGTCCGATTTCCGAAATAGTTAGGGCTGTCCGAGCCGTCCGAATCGTCCGAACCACAGTCAATTATTGAAAGTGCCCCTTGCCCCTCGAGAGAAGTCTAGGCAGACACACCTTGCTGATCTGAAAGTTGCCTATATTTTCCCTGAAATGAATGTGCCGTCATAAATCAACGAGATGGATTTATGGTAATCATATGCGGATTTGCGTCGCTGTGGATGTGAATAGTCAATATTCTATAGGAAGTGCCTCCCCCTCCCTATTGCATATAATATGGCCAATTAGGAAAATTTCCCTTGGGGATTGCTTTTTTTTCTCATCACTATCACTAAAGCCAAATTGAGTCTAAACTCTTCCGCAATCTACTTGATAGTTCTGAATTGCACGTAGAGCAGTTGCGACGCTAGAGTGCTTTTTGATGTTATAGAAAACAGATACTATAACAAGAAATTCTATCTCTACACGGAGGCTGTTCCTGTGAGAAACACTTTTTCAAGGAACTAAAGTGGACTAGCTCAGTATGTAACCTCCCTTTGTAAACCACCTAAACATCCAGCCACCTTCACTTTAACCCAGGTGATACTGTGTCTTATCAATACTAAATCAAGTTTGTAGTTTTTTTCTCCGGAGCCTTGGAATTTTGGAACACCACGCTATGGCTCGGTTGGACCAACTACCGCTCGAACTGCTTTATTTCATCGCATGAGGGTTGCTCAGATGCTGGGACGAATGTCGCTACATTCGAGAGTCCGGCAGAGATTTCACGTAACACCGATACCAGAGACCTTTTGCAGGAAGTCAGAAATCCGTTATTATTTGCCGCCCAGGGCGGACATCTCGGCACTCTTAATTCCATGCTTTCCGAAACACAATCGGATCGAGCCTGCTCACTAGCTCAACTGCGTACCGTTCTTCACTGGGCTATCCGTTCTCGCGATAATGAGCTCGTGGAGCTGGTGATCAAGAATCACGCTCCCCCTATACCCCGCAGGCGATGCTGCAAGGGCGTTCTCCGCATTAGGCGTTGCCGTGGCCTCGCTGAATCACTTGATTATCCCCCGGCTTCGAGAGGCATGAGCAAAATCAGGTTATGAAGAAAGGATGAGTCCTCTCGCGAATGCTATATCCAGCAATCAACTACCAGTGGTGGAGCTTCTCCTTAAACAAGAAGACCAGTTGAATTCTGATGGAGCTTTAATGCACATCGCGCGCACAAATGACAAAGATATTTATCAACTATTGATTTAATGTAATGTTTTGAAGATGGAAATCTTTGGCCCTCAGGCGATGTTCGCTGCAATCATGCACGGGCACAGGTGGGAGAAGGGGCTTGAGGTCAATGTGATGGCAGGCGGACCTTGGACCTATGATACTACCCCAGTGGAAAGCTCGGAGGATGCAAATTATATCCCAATGAATGGAACATATATTAATACGGCACAAATGATTGATATTCTAGTGTTGAGATAATACGAGATTTGCATATGCCTTGGATTGTAAGCCACGTGAGAGGGCTTCCCCTTTTTGTTTTAGTGCTCACCTGATTTGTCAGCTGCAATTCTTCCAAGGCTCTTGGAAATTGGAGGATTTGGTGTCTCAAACTATCGGAACATCCATTGATATATGTAACCGATGATGGATAACGTAATCTCGAAAGACACACCTCGTTCACTGAAGAAAGCAACGCCTGCGTGCGAAAAATGCCGCGTTCTCAAAGTCAGATGTATTCGACCCGAGGAAGGACAGCCTTGCACTAAGTGGGTGTCACATCCCTGACCGTATACTTCCCCTCTAGCTAATGTGAGTAGATGTACCAGATCAAACTCTCAATGCATAGTTTCAGAGCCGAAACAGCGACCTCGAGTTTCACAACGAGCGAAGCCGTACGTAACCGTGAAGGGCGCTCCGGTCAAGAGATCACTTTTACTGACGGAGAAGGGATGAAGGAGACTGGTCGATCTCGAGTCCAAGCTCGCCGATATAATCGGTCTTCTCTCACGCTCTAGCGCACCACTTAATGAAGTCCAACCCCCAGGTGATCTGGATTTTGGGCTGCCTGCGGTTCCTGAATATTTCAGCGACAGCCCACATCCAACAGCTGAATGGATGAGCCAAGGGGGTCTGAATGGTCCTGAATGGGACGCAGGCCTAGGGTCGAGTGAATACCTGAATACCACCGAAAATACAGATACCCTAGAAAAATCTTGGGACGGATCCACTGCGATGGACGCCGCGTGGATCACCGACTTGGGACTCAGTCCTGTCGTCCTCGAGCATCTTCTAGTCAGGTTCCGCGGTATGGCGTCCTACTTTCCATTTGTGCGGCTCTCACCTGCCTGGACCGCTGCATCGATGGCCGAAGATCGCCCCTTCTTATTGCTTGCAGTTGCTGCTGTTGCTTCTTCAAAGTACTGTCACCTTCAAGGTGCTCTGATCAAACAATTTAAAGAATCTCTTAGCCAGCGGGTCATCATCGCTGGAGAAAAAGATCTAGATCTGCTCCAGGGATTACTCGTCCACCTTGCCTGGTAAGATCTCAGTTCCCACACTGGCTTACCTTTTGTCGGTATGGGAGGCACCGGCAAGCTGACCAATGTCAGGTTCCATTTCCACTTAATTCCAGGAAGTCAACAAACCTATCAATACTTGCAAATCGCAATCAGTATGGTCATTGATCTTCGTGTTGATCAAGAGGCTACCGACTTGCTTGAGCAGCGAACCGAGCTGGGTGATACTTATACCCGGGAAGCATGTCGTGCTTACCTAGGCTGCTATTACATGTCTAGCTTGTATGATGCCATTCTCCACCTGAATAAGCGCCAATGGGCTTGTGCTGACTTGGATAGAATATCAATGTCTTTGTCAAAGCCCAACAATCTCAAATTTCACGAGGACATGCTTCGATGCGCTATGATGCTACAAAAACAGCCAGAATTTGACACAGACCATTTAATATACCCAGTGGCGAAAGTGTTACAGTTTGCCGAGGAAGTCTGCGAGACATATCGGTCCGAAGGCATTCATGGAACTCGGTTGTGCATCCATGCCGAACGATTCACGACGCGGTTAGAAGAATGGTGGTCGTCTCTATCGACGGATCTTCGCAACACGGGTAGGACTCTCCGAAGCTCTAGGCTTCTCATTTAACTGATTGAAGATTTCTAGTATTGCTGGTCAACGGCTATTATACTGTCAAGATCCGGATTCAAGAAATGGGCTTGGTATATTGCTACGGGCAGAGAAGGCCACCATCCTCAAAGGCACAGGAAGATTCCACCATATTATCTACACCTCCAATGGTGATCAGCAACTTGGTCAAATGCGTCAGCTCTGCGAAGGAGTATCTCGATCTATTTTTTGCCGTTCCCGCTTCGGAGCATAATAGCTTACCATTTTCCACGTGGTATCAAGTTAATCTCACGGTATTTGTACTGTACAGGTTATTTGTGGGGCTGCCAGAAGTGCCTGAATGGAACGGGGAGATTGCACAGCAATCTGTAAATCTACAGGAATACCTTGATACACTGTTGTCTAATCTGCAGGCCATCAAGCCATCGCCAGATACGCAAATACCCACCAAGAGCCTCTTTTCAATGATGCCTGAGATCATAGGAAGTGTGAGGAAGTCCTATGCAGTGTCAAAAGAGAATCTCGCACACGCTCATGATAGTTACCATGCACATCACGAGGTTGTGGCATCAAAATTTACAGCTTCATCTGCTCAAGGGCTGCACCGCTGCCCTGGATTACGGTATAGGAACCGCCATGTCACCCAGGCTCTGGATCAGCCCGCACTACAGAACGCCATTGCTACAGAAATCCAGATGATAGAAGATGAAAAGCTTTGGGGTGATCTTCTGTTGATGGATACATTTTCTAGCATAACAGGTTCCTCATCTGCTGAAATTTGACAAGTCATCCATCCTCCAGATCTCCCGCCCTGAAGACTGCAGCTTCAGCATAACCATTCTTCAGATCTCGTCGGGAAAGACATGAGTGGAAATCTTATTTCCAGCCGAATCGTATCGCTGAGGCAAGACATTGAAAAGCCCATCAACATCCCGTGGTTCATAATCAAGCGACAAACCCGCCTGAATAAGAATGTCCAGTCCAAAAGTCTCTTTAATCCAGTGTGCAACCATGTCCATCCCCGCCACAGCTCCACTCCCAGTCCAAATATTACCATCAATAATCCACTTCTTCTCCTTCGTCCAATTGACTTTCGGGTATCTCTTCTTGACCCAATTGTACTCGAGGTTATTGACTGTAGCCCTCCGGCCATCCAGAGCACCGGTGGCCGCAACAACGGCGGCGCCGGTGCAGGTCGTGAACAGTAGCTTTCCGGAGGCAGCATGGCGGCGAATAAGGTCCTGCAACTTCGGAGGAAGATTGGTTTTCGCAGGGATATCCCCACCGACAAGGAGGATATCCAACTCGGGGGCGTCATCCGCAGTCACCGTAGGGACCATTGTTACAGTGCTTGTAAGCAGGTGCACCGGCTCCATGGTCTCTCCGATATGGTGGAAGACAAAATCGGGTGCCTTTGCGATGAGTTCTGGATCCACCGGGGTGTAGACATTGATACCCTCCATGAGCATTCTACTCGCGGAACTGAGCAGATCGAATGGCCCGAGAACGTCGATCGTCTGGAAGTCGAAGACCAGAGAACCAACGTGGATGGGAGACATTTTGGTAGAAGTATTGAAGGATGAATGTCAAATGAAGTTTGTGTTTGGTGATTGATAGTCAATGGCATTGTCTGTCTTTGATGCTTAAATACTTAGGGCTGCCATTTTCCGGAATACCGTAGATCGCGGAGCGGGCCGTTCCAAGGCTCCGCCCTCCGTGGTTGATAATCCCGGCACGGGCAACGAGGTAAACTCATGAACCGTGTCCGTGATTCGATTTGAAATCCATATTGGAAGATTCTAGAGTTGTAGGGATTTCTTAGGGACCATGGGGAGACCTTATCGCGTCAACATGCATTTATTTCTAAGGCGTCTACTATCAAGACCAGATTGGCAGTGAGCTGGAGCGATGAGCCATTTGGCATAGGTATTCAAACGGGACAGCACATCTACAATAGTAAGACACTGGATTTTACACGAAAGTGTTAGACGCATGCTACCTGGTATGCCCCTCTATCCACAGCAGAAGGCAGAGCCTCTGCCACAACCCACATATCTGCGAAATGTCAGTATCCGAGATTAGACGAAACGACATGGCTTCTAGACTTCCCACTTCGAGGCTTCATCTGATCCGTGATATGATAAAAAGCCAGTCCTTTACCACGTCTCAGATGCCCGAGGGAAGCTGATCGTACCAAGCCCAACGTATCAAGCCCCCTTTTCTGTACATCTGACGTGTCTCGCATGCCTGGCAGAACAACTCATACTTGCATTTCCCCTCTTTTCCCAGATTCATCTACAAATAAAGACTTCACTGTACTACCCACTACTAAATAAATCATTTAACTGCGTCTACTCTGATTCATATATTGCGCCATTGCTAAAGGCGTTCAAAATGACCCGAAGCCTTTCTGGTCGGAATCTTGCAGGTTCGGAATCTCTGAACTCTGGCCAGGATTTTCCGAAGATCGAGTACAATCAGCCACTGTCATCGTGAGGGCTTTCAAACAATTTTACTCGAACTTGACTGACTTCTCAATTTCTGCAGACCCTACGGTCATCCAATGATCACACTATGCATCGGACAGGAGGAATATGGTGTTTTGGGGTCACACATTCAAAAGTTTCCTCTATTGGGTCTCAATTCCTCCCAATATGGAGCACACATCGAACTTTCCGATATTCATGAAGATGTCGGCCACACCTTAGTTCATTTCTTGTACTCGGGTACTTACGAAACAATCAATTCGCCACTCGACCAATTCAAGCTCAGCCTGACAATAATTATTTGACTAGGATTTAAGTTACGAGTTTAGCTTTGTATGCCGATTGGGGGAACCTCGACCTTAAGAGAAGGGCCAAAAGAATAAGTAGGCTTGCCACAAGTGGTCTTTTGATTCTAAGCGAGGATGGTGTCGTTGGGGTTTGTCTATAACGTTACGTTTTGCGAACCGGCGGTTACAGTACCATAACAGTGACTCACGTCTAATTATCATACAGTTCTGCCGATATATATTCAACTCAACGCCTGCTGGAACTGACCATAGCCTTAGAATCTCTGGAGAAAGATGAGGTGGGAAGCAGCAAGTCTAGATAGAGATAATATAAGTGATAGGTAGGTAAAAGAGACTTAAACGAGGAAATTAGGCTGTCGGATCGTAGAAATGTGATCAAACTATCACCGCAGTCTTTGAAGTCTCGAGCTTAAATTTCGCTTATTGTCTTGCCATTTACAATCTAAAATATTGTTTAAACAAATTCAACGTACTTAGATGCATAGGTCCGGCTAGAGTCTTATGAAATGTACAATATCCAGCAATATTCATGTTAAGCTAGTGTTGATACTACCAATGGCCAGCCACTGGCTTCGCATTGTTCTCCTAGGGCAAGACCTTTAGAATTGACACTCGGTCGAATGGTTTGCGAGTGTATCATTTTGGTAATATCGATTCAACATTTCCATAAATCATACTTTTATTAGCTTACTTCGTACATAATTAGTAGCATCTAATTACTTCGTAAGCAAAGTAAGAACTGCCCTGAAATGCTCCACAGGACCAGCCTCACAAAGCGGCACCCCGATAGAACAAGTCGTGTGGCCTAAAATCCAGTACATGAAAATGTACATATTTACTCGATTACACATCAAAATTTTATAGGTAAGACCTCGGACATGATCATGCAATTTGTTAGACCGGGCCGGTGGGATGAACGAGTTTAAAACAATGCGTTTTTCACACTTCATATATCAAGGCAAGGATATTACCCAGTCCCGAATAACATGTTCATTGTTGCTGACAGCTAGAGAGAAGCATTATTTTGAAGGTACTTCGATGCCTTGTAATCAGTAAAGCTTTGGCCCCATACTTAGAGATGTGATGTATATATGCTGGTGTACTATGTGCATATGTAGATAATGTAACAGCCTAGTCAGCCCACGTATATCCCTGCTAGAGGTCGCCCTGTTTTGAAAATAGATTGGGTCTCACTGCATTTTCAAAAGCACCTCCTCGCCAAGTACTTCTTGGCTTGTTTTACGACGAGGGGTGTTCTCTAGGATTCTATACTTAAGCATCATAACATTACATTCTGACCTCCTTAGACATTTCAAGGAACATCTTTTGTCTTTCTCTCCTACCCGCTGTTTAATTTTCACCATGTCGTCCGACGAGAAGACACCTTCCAAGTATATTTACACAAGACCACGGTGTATTTACCTACACTCCGACTCTTGCTAACTCTCAAACAGGTCGATCTTCGCAAAGCCGCCTGTTAAGATTGTCGTGGGCAGCGACGAACGCGTTTACTATGTCCACCGTGGTACCCTCGAGGTTCACCCCGCATTCGAGGCTCGATTGAAGACGTCAACGGATGAATACGAGGAAGCGATTGATTGGTCTGGTTTTGATGAGCAGACCATTGATTGCGTGTTGAGCTTCCTTTATACTGGAGGCTATCAGGCACCTCAGGTGACCTCTGTGACAGTTGGGGAAGATGAGGCAGGTGCGGGGGAAGAGGCCCCAGCGCAAGATGGTGAAGAAGGCGAAGAACAAGAACAAGAAGTGGTAGTAGATGAGGCGGAAGACGCGGATGAGGAGAACGGTAATAAAGTCCCCCTCTCAAATCATCCTATCTGATTATCAAAAGAGAACCAGACACTCATATCAAAAATATCAATACAGAACCAACATCACCACCTGACAGCCCACGGTCACAAACTTCATGGCCACACTCACCATCTCCAACATTTCCTGCCCGGGCAAGGTCACTGTCGCCAGTCGCAGAGTCCTCCATAGCCTCAGACTCGCCACCAACCCAGGCCATGTCAGAGTGTGATCTAAATGACCGACCCCTCACTCCTCTAGAATACTGCGATGGGGTCACTCTGGCCACGGAGCACGTCTTGGCGCAAAAGGCCCCAGACCAAGGCCAAGAAGAAGAACCAGAACAAGAAACCGAAGGAAACACCGCCCCCGAGATTTATCTCCACGCCAAAGTCTACTCCTTCGCACGTCAACTCGACTTCGCAAAATTGGAACAATTCGCCCTGAACCATCTGGCCCAGGTACTTGTTGCCCTAGAGCAAACAGACAAGGTCCTATTCCCGTATTTGGCCGATGCAATTCGACTCATCTATACAACGACTAGTGCCATTGATGATGCGAGGAACTTGCTATCTCAGTTTGTGGCACTTCGGTATACCACGCTGGTTGGTGAAGATCTGGACGAACTTATCACAGATGGAGGAGAGTTTGTGGTTGATTTGTCACATAAGCTTGCTCGAAAGCTCGCAACCATCGAATTGGCGTTCAAGAGGGTTGAGTATCTTACCCAGAGGAATGATGAGTTGAGGGCCGAAAGTGTAGAGAAAGATAAAGAGCTGAAGACCTTGAGAGAGGAGGTTAGACATGGACCGGCACAGGGCTTTCCGACTTTCACGTATCAGATTTAGTTGATATGTCAGGTAATATAGTACACAGCCGCTATTGAATTGACTACTGATTGCATTTCCATCCTTTTTTGGGCTCTCAAGTTTTGGGCAATGTTTTCAACTAGAACGTCTCTCACACTCATCAATAGACAGCCATTTGGTGCTTATACGATGAACTTCGGGATACCTCCAAGCGGTCTGTGCAACCAAGGGATGGTCTTCCAAGCTCACATTCCAGAAATTTCAGACCTTCATTGACATTACCTTGGTCTGTATATCACTTGCAATAGCTTAATCGATCACGGTACGGGTACCTAACTATCGACGTCATTGGGACGATCACCAATCTTATCCGATTGAGCTTCTGTGGGGAAAACAGTAGAGCTACCTCCGAGACATACCACGATGATCCCTCGATCGTTTCTCCGGGCACGAACGGTGTTGGTAGCCTTGACACTGGCTGCATTTCTTACCTGGGCAATATTGAGACAATTCAAAGCCTACATCCCCAATCTCTCGTCGCCGACCACAGCCGCAGACCTAACAACCTCACATCGCGAATTCTGGCGGGAATTCCACGCTCTGCTAGAAAATTACGCGCCGGGCACAGATACTATTATTGAATATGAGAAGGCTTCCACAGAAGGCTTCAATGCCCACAATCCACCACCGCGCCCAGATATCCTCTACGTTCCGGAGGGAGACGTCGCAACCATGAAAGAAGCACACACCGGGTTTGTCAATGCAATCACCGACTCCCAACCCGAGCTCCCATATCTCCCGGACACAAAAGGCATAGTCTCAACAGCAGGGGGGTCCTACCTCCCAGTGCTAGTGATATCCCTCCGCATGCTCCGCCGAACCGGCTCCACCCTCCCAATGGAAGTCTTTCTCGCCGACGAAGAAGAATACGAACAGCACATATGCGATATAGTCCTACCATCCTTGAACGCGCGATGCGTAGTTCTATCCCAAATCCTCATCGCTGCCCCAACCCAAATCCAAAAATACCAATTCAAGCCCTTCGCAATGCTCTTCTCGTCCTTCGAAGAAATCCTCTTCCTCGATGCAGACGCCTTCCCCCTCGAGCAGCCAGAACATCTCTTCACCACCGAGCCCTTCCTCTCGAAAGGAATGGTCACCTGGCCCGATTTCTGGGCCTCATCCGTCTCCCCAATGTTCTACGATATCGCAAACTACCCACCCCCGCCAATGGACCTGCGCCAGTCAACAGAATCAGGCGAAGTCCTCCTCTCCAAAAAGTCACATCTCCGCTCCCTCCTCCTAGTAACTTACTACAACTACTACGGCCCCTCGCACTACTACCCGCTCCTCTCACAAGGCGCCGCCGGCGAAGGCGACAAGGAGACCTTCGTCGCAGCCGCAACTGCCATGCACGAATCCTTCTACCAAGTCAGCGAGTCTATCTGCGCCCTTGGCCACGAAACGTACGGTGGTATAGCTGGCTCCGCAATGGCGCAGTTCGATCCCGTGCAGGACTTCGCTTTGACGAGTCGTGGGATATGGCGTGTCAGAGGCGACGACGCACCCGCACCAGACGTCTTCTTCATCCATGCCAATTTCCCCAAGTTCAATCCTGCTACCATATTCGAGCCCCATGAGGTTAATCCTGCGTTTACCGATGAGGGTGGGTATACGCGGGCCTGGACGTTGCCGGTGGAAGTTGTACGCGGGTTTAATAGCAAGGTTGATGTTGAGAAAGGATTTTGGGAGGAGATTCTTTGGACGGCTTGTGAGCTTGAGGACAAGTTTCAGAGTTGGGTTGGGTATGAGGGGATTTGTGGCGCAGTGAAGGAGTACCGGGGTGCTGTCTTTGGGGTGGATTGATTGCACCTTTGAACTACAGTTCTAGCAAAAGGCATGAAAAGTTGAAGTACACGCCCTAGACACTGATATACTTGGTGGCTGGTCTCGATTGAACTCACAGCTTCGTCCAAGGCAGTGGCGAGACAGCCATGAACGAGCGCACTCACATCTTACATTCCGGCTCGTATATACGCTCACCAGAGCTGTGATCAGACTTGGGTCGTTGCAGCAATAACCTCTGGCATAAGGAAGGTCGTCTTTTCCATCAAAGAGCAGCAACCGTATAGGTCAAGAAGATGGTGCTCTAATAGAAATGGATTTGAAAACACTTCTCACTCACTGACTTCTACTTCCCTTTATCTGTATTTCATATATTAATATCAAACTAAAGCCGTTTGCTAGTGAGATGGGTAGGTGGGGAGGTGAGAGGAGGAGGCAGCAGGATGGAAGGTGAGGAAAGAAAGGAAACGACCTACATTTAATACCTACCTACGTAGGTAAGGAAACAACGACCGTGAGACATAGAGCTAACACCTAACCTTAATCTCATTACCTTCACACTCTCAATCTTCATATATAAATATATATATATATGAAGGACGGACAACTAATAAGTGACCCCACACAGTCACCACATGTTATATAAAGGGAAAGTTCGGTCGCACTCCTACATCTTCTTCTACAAGATCTATTCCACTATATTTTCTACTGCACCGCTATCTGCAATTATTGCCAGACTATAAATATACTTCCATGTGAGATCAAATCACCATCTTCTCTCTAGCGAATTACTTATCATAGTCGCCTCTGTTGCGATACAATGGAACATGATAATACCACCAGAGGTCTGCTACCTGCACTTGTAGTGTAATGAGTGTCCCAAGGCTGGCAAGTAAAATAATATGGATCTACTCATTTGAAAGCCACTAATTGATCTTAGTATACTCAGAACCATGCAATCTGCCACAAGCCGAAACACATCCAACGAAACCATCTAGATCACGACAATCGTCTCCCAGTCATCTCCCAGTCATCTCTACATACGGCCAACATCAACTCCAAGCACGCGCAAAGCCGAAACGCAGAACTCCCTGGGCCTCTAACGATGAGGACCCCGAGATGATTGGGCTGGCACTAGACGCTAATACCATGGCCGTCGCACCGTTTTGTCCCCAATTTAACACCAACAACGACGCACAATGGGAGCAGCCCCCAAACGGCACAAAGTTATCGGATGAGTCTACATGGCTCCGAAGGCACTCCAAGCAGTCGATTGAGCAGCCAGGTACCCAATCGACTTTGACCAAAACGGCAATGTTCGTGCGGCGCGCACCCCTGAAGACCCAGCCCCACTCGCCTTCGCTTACGGGGTACCATTTGTGATAATTGCACGTGGTAGAATACCCCTCCTTGGCCGGAGACACACCTAAAAGCTAGGCAACATCGGCCTAAAGATAGATGCAGAAATCACAGAGTGTGTTGAGCCGCGTGGGTGGCTGGGCCCGGGAATACGGAAATCCCCCGGGAGGCGGTCTTAGCGCTACTTAGGGCGAGCTTAATTGTAGAATGCGGCAACCCTGGAAGTTTAATAACCAGCTTGATAAATAAACCTAAAAGTTCCAAACATCGTTTCCTTAATATATAGTATACAGTATACATAGTCTACATAGTCTATAATAGTACATAGCCACATCCACAGCCCCTCTTACTCGATCTTCAACCCATTCCTCCGCGCGGCCTCAACAGCCTCAATAAACAAAGCCTTACAGGGTACCGAGCTACCAAGTCTCGCACAAAGCAAGAAAGCCCCACTCAACTTCCGGTGCAGCGAGTACGTCTCCTCAGGCGGCGGTGCCAGTCGTTCCCGAATCATAACCGGAATCAGCGCGCGCACGCGGTCCGTGATCGTCTGGTTACTGAAGTCATACAAATCCGGCGAGGAAAGCATGAACGGCTCCGCAATCGTGGTGATCGAGCTCACGTGTGCGTCAACCATCGCCTGCGATTCCATCCCGGTCAGGTATCCCAGCTCGATGGAGAGGTCGTGGCAGGTTTGGCGGTCGTTGCGGGAGGCGGCGATTAGTGTGCGCACGTAGGTTGTTATGAATTCTTCGGGGTAGGCGCGGGAGGCGCCGAAGTCGAGGAGTTCAAGTTTGTTCGTTGACGCGTTGTACAAGAAATTTGTCCAGTTCGGGTCTGTTTGCATGTAGTGGAATTCGGCGATCTCGCGGAGGCAGAGGCGCATTATTTGTGTGCCGATCCAGTCGCGTTGCGTTTTGGTGAAGTCGGTTACTTTGGTTACGGCTACGCCTTCGAGCATTTCCATGGTGAGGACTTGTTTGCCTGAGGCGTGGGCGATTATCTCTGGCACGATGAAGACTGGGTCGTCGGCTAGGAGCTCGCGGAAGCGGTTGGCGCCTTCGGCTTCGCGGATGTAGTCGCATTCCCAGGCTAGTTCGGTGCGCGCGTTCGCGATTGTTTTGTCAAGGTACAGGCCCTTGGGCAGGAGTCGGGAGGCTGTTAGGAGAATGGAGAGGTTGTTTAGATCGCTGTCGATTGAGTCGGCGACGCCGGGATATTGAATTTTTACAGCGACGGGCTGGCCGGTGCTTTTTAGGACGGCCGAGTGCACTTGGCCAATTGAGGCTGCTGCCATAGGGATCTCGTTAAAGGAGGTGTAGAGGTCGCGCCAGTTGGGTCCGAGGTTGTCGGTAAGGACTTTGTCGCGCTGCCAGGCGGGCATATAGTCTGCGCGATCTTGCACGCGTTGGAGGACTTGTTGGATTGGTTCGGGGAGCATGTTGGAGTCTAGAGAAATTAGCATGGTCATTAGAGATGTGAGTTGGACGATGCAACGCACCTTGGATGCTCAGCATCTGTCCCAGCTTGAGAGCTGCGCCGCGCATTTTTGACAGCTTGGCTACCATCCGTTCCATGTTACCAGCACTGAACATAATTGAGCCATTGTCTTCGCTGCCAGTGGCCCGCCGTAAACTCTCCCCGACAGCGCCAAATGCCATTGAGGTCGCTAGACCACCGTATTGCCACAGTCTACCTAGTCGAGAGGACGGCACGCGCGATTCCAGCATTTGGTAGACTTGCTGCTCCTTGGCCTCGCCGACGGTCTTCACACTGGGCACCACGTCTTCAGCGACGCTAGCTGCAAGCTCCTCCATCTCCTGGGCCTCTGATTTCGGCGCCACTGGGGAGACGGGCTTGGCAACATCCGCGACCGCTTGTTGAGGCTTTCCGGCCAGCTTCCAGTCCCTCTTCGGCGGCGGTTGTCCAGAGATCATGCGCGACACCCTTGGGCTGTGGAAAAGGCTTTGAATCATCTCTTCTGACATCTCCTCCTCGACCGGAGCAGGCTTTGGCGACTCAACAGACGAGTGGAAAACGTCTGCGTTCAACCCATCACTAGAAACTTGAGCATCGCCCGCGACCTTGGGTATCTTCACTCTCGGCAGGCTCGAGAGATCCGGCTCTGACCGAAGCGATGGCTTATAGAAGACATCCTGTTGCTTATTCACATCCAGAGCGCTCGGTTTCTCGTCACCACTGTATGTTGCCGCCGAAGCCGGGATCTGTGATTCGGCCTGACGTTGTAGTTTGCGGGCGAGGTCGGGGGGTGGCGACGTTGGAGTGCTGGCGGGCGGCTTATCGGCCGATGTTGACTTGTCGGGGAAGTCTGCCGGGCTCGGCGAAGATGGTTGCGAGGGTTCGTCAAATCGGCGAGCCAATGCAGCGGCGGCTTGAGCGGTCAGGATCAGGCCCTCTGTTTGGGCCTTAATGCCCTTGGTCAGGGAGGATGTGCGCGTGTAGACATCTAGTTGGCGTTGCCGGATGGCCAGGTGTTTAGCTGCGACCGTTTTGGACACATTGAGGAATTGGATAGCGTCGAGCAGACGCTTGCCTGACATGATTGTGGAGATGACTTTAGTTCATGACGCGGGGAAAACAGGGTAAAAAAGGATCAGCAAGATAGCAATAAAGGTCTAACCGGTCCAAAAACAGTTAATAATGTGAAACAGTCAAGCTGATAGGGAGCACTCGGAGTTGTGCGGCGGCCTCCGCTTTTTTTTTGCCGATCGGCGAGCTTCTTCTATAAGACCGCCCTCGATACCCTCCGATCCATATGCTACATTAGTTCTCCCAATTGAATCTGTACTTTATAGAATTACATTTATTATATTTCTACCGCACACCTATCTTATAACTACATTATGATCCTCAAAGACACCCAAGAACTCCAAGCTGAGGTCACTCTCCTGGAGTCGCAACTCCAAGATGCCCGCGCTCAACTAGCAGCCTCCGAATACCCCAGCCCACCCTCCTCATGGGCCGTCAAAGGTAGGCAAATGTATACCTCCAATGTCGCGACTCTAGCTAACCCCTCCTAGAACGATATAATACCAATAATAATAAACTCACGACCTCAACCCGCACATCTCTTCACGCCCTCCTCCTCCTCTCAGACTCCGCCCTCCCACTAGGATCGTTCGCCTACTCTAGCGGACTTGAATCCTACCTCGCCCACAACAAACCCTCCCGCACAGCCCCGATAACCTCCTTCCACCGCTTCCTCAAACTCTCCATCGCCTCAATCGCAAGCACATCCCTTCCCTACGTGTTAGCCGGACATCGACACCCCTCAACCCTGGACACACTAGACAACGACCTGGACGCATCAACGCCGTGTATCGTCGCACAGCGCGCAAGCATTGCGCAAGGCCGCGCGCTCATCGGCGTCTGGGAGCGCGCATTTAGAGTCAGCTTTGCGGGGCCCGAGAACCCAGCTTCGGGGGAAACTGCGGCCGCCGTCACTGCTATTGATGATTTATCCGATGCGTTGAAGTCTTGTCTCGAGGAGGACGAGGATCTCGGTCCCAAGGGCCACTTTGCCCCGCTGTGGGGTGTGGTCTGTCGGGCTATGGGCCTGGACTTGCAGCAGACGGCGTATGTCTTTGTTATGAATCATGCTAAGGCTGTGCTTAGTGCGGCTGTTAGAGCGGGTGTCATGGGCCCTTACCAGGCGCAGAATGTGTTAGCTAGTCAGGCGTTGCAGGATACGATGATGAAGCGCATTGCGCGGGAATGGAATACGCCTGTTGAACAGGCTGGTCAGGTTGTCCCTGCGCTGGATCTTTGGGTTGGGAGGCATGAGTTGTTGTATAGTCGAATCTTTAACTCATGAGGATATGAAAATATTGAAAATTAAGAATCAAGAACCTTTATGATGGAAGATTGAAGTCATGGGGGCATGGAAAATCCTCACAGTGCATTCGTCATGTTCCTTTGTACTTTTGATTTTGCTCCGTACACGGTAGTCCTACATGACACAGAAATCTAGAATAGCTCAGCCTCTGAGGAAAATCAGTGTGCGCCGGCCTCTCGTCCAGAGAGGATGAAGAACGACGCCCCTGCGCCATGAGAAACCCACCATTTCTTTGGTTTGTAATGGAAGAAGAGAAAAAGATAGAAAAATAAAACATGCCCCGAGTTAGGGCTAAGCGTGCATAACTCGTCAAACGCCGGCCCAAACCAGACCTGCTAAACCACACAAAAAACACCACACCATGAACCTGTCCGGATGTGACACTAAAAAGAGATAGACGTAAAGAGGAAACCATCGAAAGGAAGATATAATACAGGATATTTGAAGGTCGGTCAAAGGGTGATATGCATGTGGTCGTTGCTTCCGAAGGATTTGCCACAGTTAGGGCACTTGCGGGAGCGAGACGTGAGACGCTCTTCGACGCAATCTTTGCAGAATACATGGCCACATGTTTTGATTGCCGTATTTTTGAAATTTCGACGACACACCGTACACAGCGCAAGGGTCTAGATGAGGTTAGCGTTGTTTCTTCAGCAAATGTGGGAATTCAACATACCCGCAGCATCTCATATTCCGAGGACGAGTTGCCAAGGCTCTTGTTCTTCCAGTTGTCCAGACTCTTCTTGGTATCTGAAAGTGACTGTTTCAGGCCAGCGACCTCTGTCTCGGCTTGCCGCAAAGCAGAAGTTGTGCTTCCCAGGGTCGAGTCCTTAGATACTGAAAGCCCCTTGAGCTCGGCAACCTGGGATTTCAAGCCTTCCATGAGGATGTTGCTCTCGGTCAACTGCTGCTGAATGGCGCGGTGCTTGCTCAGAGCTGCATTTAGTGCCTCCTTGGCCTCACTGGCTTGTTTGTCCATGTTGGACACCAATGACCGGGTGGTTGCTTCAGACTCCTTCAGCTGGGCCACAATATCTGACGTCTTGGAGCTTTGCATTCTGAGTGTTCGGACTTCGACATCACGTGCTTCTTTGCTTTTCATTGCAGCAAAGAACTTCTGATCTGCTTTAGACTTCTCCGCCGTCAGCCGTGCGACTCTCTCTTCCATGGCCCCAAAGTCGGTAACTTTTTGCGATGCGAGTGTAGCAAACTTCGTGTAGGCTGTCTGCATCGATGTCAACTCGGTGTTGAGCATGGAGTACTGGCGTTCCAGGCTGGTGTACTTGGCGCGAAGCTCCTCCAGCGGCATGTCATTGATATTGTCGTCGGACTTGGAGCCCTCAATCTGTAGTCGCAATCTTTGACTTTCCGATTCTAAGGCTGTGATTCGAGCTTCTCTAGCGTCTGCCAGTTCTTGCAATTTTAAGCTAGAGGTTTTCTTCTGATCTTGCGCGGCCTTTCGCATCTGCTGGTCAGCCAGAAGTTCGTCGCGGGCATTCCGTATCCGAGCGAGGTCTGTTTCAGCCCTCATTAACTGAGCTTCTTTCTCGGCAATCGTACTTTGTGTTTCATCTTCCACCTGGATTTTGTATGCGGTTCTTTCCGAGCGGTATTTCTCTGCTTCCTCACGAAGTTGAACATTTGTCGCTTCCAGGTGGTTGATTCGCTTAACAACATCGTCGTATTGTGATCGAAGGTGCTTAAACAAATCAGTGTGCGCGTAATCGTCATCGGTGAATTTTGAAGACTGGGATCCCGAGGTGAGCGACAAAACGACAATGTAACGACGGGGTGAGGCCAACCTTGACTTTGATTTCGGTAATTTGGCCTAGCAGGCTGGCGTTTTCGGCTTCTAGTTTCCGGACTTGCTCCTTTTGTTTCTCCGAAATTGCAGTGAGCTTGTTATTGGCTTCTTCCAACTCAGGGTTGCGGTCTCCGGCGGGGGTTCCTCCATTTGCGGGGGACGATTCTTCGCGCTTTGATTGTGCCGTTTCCCCAGGTCGTTGAATACCCATAGACTGCTGCTTTTCCAATTTTGCAACAGTCAGACTCTTCGCACGATCGAGTTTCTTTTCGGCTACCAGATATCGCAGGGAGGCTTCTTCGAGGCTTTCCTCCAACTGTTGCTTTTCGGCTAGTGTCTTTTCGAGCTCGGCGATCGTTACTTTTTCCTCGGCCAACTTCTTTGCAAGACGAGTCTGTACCTCTGAAACCTCGGCAGGCGCGTCCTTAGACTTAGACTGAACTTGAGAGATTATTGCGCGAATATCCTCCGACCGTGATTTCAGATGCGTCTCGAACTCTTCAACGTCCTCGAACTGCAAGGAGCTTTTAAAAGTGTTTTCTGCGCATATTGTTAATATTGAAATAGCGGGCGTGAGGTGGGGCTAGAACGATGATACGGACCTTGGCCTTCTGCCTGCGACGATCCGAGTAGTAATTTCACTTCATCAATCAACTGTTCTGAAATCAGTCCCTGCTCTCAAACTCCTGCCAACTGGGCTGGTACAAAGAAGCGAAAACCTACCTGTTTGAACCACAAATCGATAATTCGAAGATGGTCATTGTGAAACGTGGCAGTTTTTGACATCTGACTCAAACGTGATTCCAGTGACGATTTTTCCCGCTTATACTCTTGCATCTGCCTCAAAATCGCTTCTTTTTGAAATCGCTGTCGCAAAAGGCCCCGGTTAGCATATGTCCAGCAGGAGGTCAAAAGCCAACCTCCAGATCGCGGATGAAAGCCAAAACACGAACTTACCTCCAAATCATCTTTCCAAGGCATATCGGCATCTGGATGGGGCTTGCTACCACCGTTAACACTGGTAGCCTGTTTCTTTAACGGCGGGGCCGAGTCATTGCTGTCCGCAGCGGGCCTCTTCCGGTCTTCCATCTTGACAAGACCGGGATCTGAAGACGCGACGGGGGGTTCGACGGCCGGCATCAGTGGCTAGACTGGCATGGGAGGACTATTATCACCACCGGACCGTCCGTCAGTCAGCTAGACGCAGATCTCGAGACTGTGTCCAATCCTGTCGAAGGAAAGTCCGGTAGAAGAAGAAATAAGCAGTAAAAGAAAGCGAAAGAAGTGGAAGTAAAGGAAGGGCGGGTGAGCAGACGATAGAAGGGGTGGGATGGCAGAGATCGAGGAGTTGAAGACAGGAGGATTTTCAACGAGGTTTAGCGTCCGCTAGTGCCATCACGTGAAACTCACCCACTTCCCCGGCCTGGAACTTTTTACGATCTTCATCAATCCACACTTTAAAGCAATGGGCAGTCATGAAGTCCTTTTCCAGTTCTGCAATCAGTGAGTATTATCTGAATGGGAGGCATAATTGTACAATCTCTGACTGTGTGTTTGTCAGATAAAACCGGCAAGAAATTCGCCCCGAAGGCGCCTATCCGCCGTGCGCCTGCCACCGCGCCCGCGAGACGACCTAGTGCTGCTCAACAGTCGCCAGCTGAGCCTGTTCAGCAAGATAAAGCTAAAGATGTAGTTGAATCTGCTCTGGTGCCGCCTGTGGCTGCAGATCCGGAAGCACGGACAGTCACAGAGGTATCACCTGCGTCAGTCGCTGTGCCCACGACGGAACAAACACCCATTCCTTTGAATGCTACAGTCACTCTTCCGGTTACTACTCCTACCACCGCGCCCATACCTCCTATCCTTCCCAGTGCTACACAGACCGTCACACCTACCGATACACCCATAACCAAACCGACCCCGATTCCCAAGCCGACTGCCATCTCAAAGCCGACTCCGATCCCTAAGCCAACTGCCATCTCAAAGCAAACTTCGATCCCGAAGCCAGCTGCGATTCCTCTCCCACAAAAGCGCAAAGCCTCTCTCTCTATATCGCAACCCGCGCCCGTCTTGACCGCTCCGCCTACCCCTCCTTCCACTCAACCCACCCCATCTCCAGCCAATGTCCCGACTAGTGAGGCTCAACCTCCATCATCTGAGGATCACGGACCAGAAACGGCTCTTCTAGAATACGCCAGGATTGAAACAGCGCGGGCCGCAGAAAACCTTGTCGATTCAAATGAAGCTCTTCCGCAATCTCAACCTGAAACCGAACAAACCGCCCCAATCGAGGGTCCACCAGCAAAGCGCGCTCGAACCTTATCAACTACAGCCACTGCGGTCCCAGCTCGAAAGAAGTCCGTATCCGTAGCGGCAAGCCGTCGAAGCTCCCAGTCAATTGTGCCTACAATCGAAGATTCAAGCGCAACCCCCGGTGGGTCCAACCTTTCGACTCCGGACCCAACAAAGCCAAAGAAACGAAAGTACTCAAAGGCCGGTACTTCGGATCTTGAGGGTAGCGAAAAACCAAAGCGCACGCGCAAGAAGCGCGAGCCCACCCCGGAAGGTGCAGAGACAGTGGAAATCTTGCCAAATGTTGTGAAAATGTCCGAACTTTGCAAAGATCTCAGAACTGGAAAGAAGTCCAAGCGCGAGACAGAGCTACGCAAGATTGACCAGGCGGAAGAAGAACGGAAAAAGCAGGGTGGAACCCCTGGTCCAGGGACAGGAACGCCTGTCAAGCAAACTGAGCCCGAACTGGAGAAATCGGAGAAACCGGTCGATTGGAAACCCCAAAGTGGTCCCATTATGCGAATCGTCAACGGCGAGATCGTGCTGGATAATACGTCCTTGCAGGTCGATCGTCACGCAGATGCTGCCCGAGCAGCTGGCGACCTTGAAGATGTGGTGGAAAGCTCGTTCACTCGGAAGATCAATCAGGCCTCGTACGGCAAGCGCACAAAGACTGAAACATGGGACGAAGAGATGACAGATCTGTTTTATCGTGGGCTCCGCATGTTCGGTACCGATTTTATGGTGATCAGCAAAATGTTCCCGGGCCGGTCTCGTCGTCAGATCAAGTTGAAGTTCAACAATGAAGAGCGCCGTGATCCGCAACGAATTAAGGACACCCTGATGGGCCCGTCTGAGACCATCGACATTGCAACCTACTCAGAGATGACGAACACTGTCTACGATGATCCCAAACTTGTTCAGCAAGAACTTGACGACGAAAAGAAGCGGATCGAGGACCAGCACGCCAAGGAGAAGGAGATGCAAGAGGAAATGCTGCGCAACCCAACTGGTGGTGATGACAAGGATGCCAAGAACGACAAGACGGTTATCAAGAAGTCGCGCAAGAAGGCGGGCGTGAAGAGCCAGGGAGGCGGCACAGAGGAGGTTCTTGGATCGATCGATGACTTTCCCATGGCTTAAGTCAGGGAACCTAATGGACGTCTTATGAAGCGAATATTATAGGTTACGGCGTTTTAGTGTGGGATTCCATGATACACATGGATCAAGCCAGGAGTTTGGGCTATTCGATTAGCTAATTTATTTGTGATTTCATTAGATTTTTCCCATTGTATGTGTACCAGTTTCATAATGGCCACAAGATGTTCCAACCACCGCTTAACGGCCTGTCGCTTCCTTTATCCTCCTCAAAAGGGGTTTTTTTGGCTGGTTTTTGGTACCTCTTTTCCCTCAGGTCGGTAGCAAATGACAGACTGTAAGACAAGCATGAAATCACCTACGCCTCGTTGACCCGAACCCAGTACTAGCAGTCGTAGACGAAAACTGCGGCGGCGAGCGCGAGCTGCCTTCACCTGGGTCATATCCACCAGATCTGCCCATTGGCATCCCGCCGCGCGATCCACTATTAGCCCGTCTCCCCATCTGATAACCAGCCGCACCACCGCCTAGCGCACCAGTCCAGAACCCGGGCGTCCAGCCCTGCTGACGAGCAGCAGATTTGTAAGGATCGAAACTGCTGTACGGAGGCGGGGGATCATTTCCACCACCTCCACCTCCACCGCCACCTCCGCCCCAGAACCCGCCCCACCCCCGTGCCGGAGCCGCACCCCTACCTCGCCGATTCCCCCGCCCGAAACATTGCGCCAAAATAGGCCACAAGATCATGACGAAAACCGCAACGATAAACCCAAAGAAAATCAGATCCCCAAGCACAGCCATGATCTTCTGAATCCCAGTGCCCGAGCGGTTCTTGCCTGACCAATCCCACTCCGAATCGCCGCCTTTCTTCCCAAACCTCTTCTCCCCAGCCTCGGTCAAGAGAAGACGGTACTCAACACCACAACTGCCCTTCAACACCCAATTATCGTCGGCGTTCCGGTATCCCTCGCAGATGACATCTGTTGCGCCGAGCTTGAATTCTGCCGGTAGGTCTGCGGTGCAGGTCCACTGTACGTCTTCAATGTCGTAGTCGTAACCTTGGTTTGTGCAGCGCATTACTTCTGGTTGGTAGAGATTGCATATTTGTTTTGATGGGCCTGCGCAGCTAAGTTGGGGGATTGGTGAAATGCGCCGCGAGCTAGTCATGCGATGGGCGCGTAGTGTTAGGCTTTGAACGTTTGATAGTAGGATGGCGTCTTTGCCGGGTGGTTTGGGATTTGAGATGCATGTTGCTGGTGAGATAAGGAGTAGGGCTGTGAGTGCCAGTTTGGGGAGACTGTGCATGATTGGGTTGTTGAGAGCTAGACAGCTCTCTAGTTTGTGGGCTATGTATGGTCTGTTATGCCTAGAGAAATATTCGTTGAGGTTGACCCAAGGCAGTGGTTAGTGTTGAGCAAGATGTGAGTGATTAGGCTCCAATGCTGTGAGTCAACAGGTGGCGATTATGTTAAGGATTTCGTGTCCTTTCAACTTGTTTGAACGGAGTGGAGATCAAACCATCCTGGGATAGGATAATCTAGCTGTGTTTGCTCTGTTTGCATGATTGATATACTCCTACCACTGTAGGGATTTTCTTTTTTATTCGCAAGAATCTTCAAAGCAAATTATTAAATTATTGTTATTCTGTTACATTTTGTCATAGCGGAAATAATATTCCAGTTCCAACAAAACCCACCATGATGTTATTAGAGATACTAGTCGGACCAACTGCTGCCCGTACTGGTAGACAGTAGCATCCTGGGCAGTTCGATATACCCGATGACGCACTGGAAGTGGAAGTGGTTGCAGATCTTTCGTGATAAGGCCTGATGATTGTAGTTGGAATTGGGAGAGATCTCATGGATTTTGGCTTTTAGCCTTAGAACAACTAAAAACTCTAAATGATTCCCCAACATATAGTTAGTACCTTCCTCAAGTCGAGGGCCAGCTATAAAACATAGACTTGACCGACACATTTGAAGCAAACATGAACAATATACATTGCTATGTGACAACATAGTTCAAGATGTCATAGTACGAAACAGTAAATGATCCGGGTAAATTTCGGGGCTTCGGCTTCATATATATCGGACGTTGGCTCTTCGGCCGTATAATCATATTCGATAAAGAAATACACACAAGAAAAGTATTAAAACAATATTGTAGAAGAATCTTGGCTATAATGCTTCCACTACATTGCCAAGGATAGAAAGCTGCATTAAGTGACTGACTATTCTTTGTTTATATACTCCGTATGGTTCACCATCTGTATACGTGGACTGTGATTATTGGATATACGCCAATTATGGATCTATATCTGGCATCAAATAAGAACAAGCATAACAAACGAGATAGACGAGACAGAAAGCAGTTTTCTTAACGAGTTTTGAACAATCTTCGAGCGCAAGAAAAGAACTCCTCGATATCGGTTGAAAACATTCAAGAACTGATCCTCAGTACGGCTACGAGCTTTTTCAACAAAAAGGATGTTGAAGTGTTGGGGAACAAGAAATCGCCTTTGGGCGTCTATCGTGCGGCTATCTTGAACGTGGTAAGCAGAGCCAGTAATACTAGATAGTGCAAGTCTAGGCTAATGATTAATACAAAACAGCGTGACAAGGAGGCGCATCTCTTTGATAAATTTCAAAAGTCACTTGATGGTACAGCGACAGACGATGAAGGTCAAGCGAATACCAACAGATGGTCCAGCAAGCCGCCAGTAGAGAGTATGGAGCTGAGTGACAGCCAGAATTCCACAGACGAGGCTGGACTCATAGGTCGCATATTCAGACCCAAGCCCGGATCTTGGAAAGGAAAAGACAAATATAACCCTTACGGTGACATCACTAGCGAGACAGAACTCCTCCGAGAGGTCAAGGACATATGCAATGAGCTTAACATGCTGAAATATCTGGCCCTAGACCAGGAAAGTGTGTGGAAGCGAATTTGGAAAGACGGATGCAACCAAGATCCTACGTTTAACCACAACACACCTTCTGAGGTCAAGAAAGAGATCACGGAAATGGTAAAAGAGGCGGAATTTGTACAAAAGGCCATTGACATGCTGCTCGACTTAAAGCAGAAGCAAGCGAATATCGTCGAAGCTGAGTTCTCACGAAAGCAAAGTGAAGATACTGCTAAGCAGAGTGACACAATAATGGCTTTCACAGTGGTGACAATTCTCTTCATAAGTGGATATTAATTCTGTTCATCACATGTTCTTATCTGATATATGCGCAGCTCCCTGCCTCGTTCCTAACCAGTCTGCTCGCGTTGGACATATCCGATTTCCCTCATGTGGGTGGTGATGTCCGCTTCCAAGGACGCATGATATTTCCCATTATCTGTAGGTTCTTCTTACCCTACCTACAATGTGTGGTACCGAGCACTGTCTGATGATTTACTTTCTATGACTTAAGTTGGGCTTTCCATTTTTGTATCTGGGATTTTTGCAGTCATCGCTTACAATGCGAGTACGCTGAAGAAATATATCTTTAGTAGAAGAAAAGGCCAGAAGAGGAACATGACGACAAATACGTCGGTTGAGCCTAAACAGCCAACCATCCAGCGTGCTAAATTCCAGATGGAACAATTACGCGAACAATTGATTTTGAGCAAAGGAACCAACAGAGACGACAAATACAGCTGGTATGTTTCTGGGAGTGACCAGATGGTTTGATAGCCTCAGTTTTGGTGTCTACTTAGAATATCCTATTCGTTCGAGCTTGAGGCTTCATTCTTATACAAATTTGAAAGATTCTTGATGGTATAATATTGTATTGGGAGCAGTACCTTTGATCCTGCCTTGTTTGGATGTTCCTCTTCTTCTGCCTATACTTTCTTATGAGAATCCATGTCAACCTTCTTCTCAGAAGTATGAAACGCCTTTTCGTACCATCTCTTCGAGCCTGAAGGCTGTAAGCGTGGGAATTTGCTCGCCCACATAGAATGAAAATAGCTTACAAAAATATCATTTTCTAATCCTATACCTGGGTCGGAAGTCTGGACCAATTGGCTGGGTGCATTTCCATACACTGGCCGTGCTATGCGTTGATGGTCGCGCCATTGGCTAACAATAATTGCACAACCCCTTGATGGCCGTTATCTGAAGCTTGCTGGAGTGCGGTGATATACTCGTCTCCACCCAGCGCATTAAAGTCCGCGCCCTCGGCTAATAGGAGCTGCACAATCCCTCCGTGGCCTTCGGCGGAAGCACATTGGAGTGCATTTCTATACTTTCCTGGCGCATTAACGTCTGCGCCCTTGGCTAATAGTAGCCCCTTCGTGACCTTTAGCGGAAGCTCGCTAGAGGGTATTTCCCCACTTTCCACCTGTAACAGACGTAGATGTAATTATCTCGATCACCCGGAATTGGCTGAGTTAGGGCTGCCGGGATCGTCATGGTGGGTGTGGTACTTGTAGAAATATCCACCACGAAAACGAAGGTCGGCGAGCACCATGGCCGCCAATCATAATGTCTTCCCTGCGGGGAGGTCTCTTGTGACTTGAAGAATGAACTAACCGTGTGTGGCTGACATCATCTCATATAGAGCTAACTTGCTGCCTAACCTTCGCCGACTTTCTTCGCCCCAATTTATTGTTCTGTGCCTTGTTGAAGCATTCTGACACCAGATCACATTTTATTCAAATTCCTGTTAAGACTATAAAAGACAAAATGGTATCCGAATTTTGGTAAGGCTACGTATCCAACCATCCATATTATAGCAGCCTGGTGAGGCCATTAGCTGATGGCCTAAAGCCCTACGTACGCAGTAAGTCTCCTCCGGTCCATCGGCCGATGCACGACGGAGTCTTCTGGATATTGAGTACGCATGGACAGCCATTCTTTGGAGCTTTGGGCTGTGCGAGTGCCATCATTTTCACGACCTTTGGTGCAGCCTACGGAACTGCCAAGTCTGGCGTTGGGATTTGCTCCTCGGGGATCTCGAAACCTGATCTCATCGTGAAAAGTATGTCTGGGTGAGAGAATGAAGTGTGAGCCAAGGACTAATAGAGTTGCTAGACATCGTTCCTGTTGTTATGGCTGGTATTCTCGGGATTTATGGGCTAGTCGTCTCGGTCTTAATTGCGAACAATCTCGTTCAAAGAACCCCTCTTTATACAGGCCTACTTCAACTGGGTGCAGGTCTGGCAGTTGGTCTTTGTGGACTAGCTGCGGGGTAAGTTTAACAAATTTTGAAAACTTCTATACCTTTCAGCGAATTTGCTGATTATGATGAAGGTTTGCGATCGGAATTGTTGGTGACGCTGGAGTACGAGGAACAGCTCAGCAGCCTCGGCTTTATGTTGGCATGATACTCATCTTAATCTTTTCTGAGGTCTTAGGTGAGATGTGGAATCCATGTTTGCAATGGTATTTGAGATAGGACTAATGCATCTGAGACGAAGGCCTATATGGGTTGATTGTCGCTCTCCTCATGAATTCTAGGGCAGGCGTCGTCGAGTATCGGTGTGATTGATCAAGGCTTTGCTTCCTTAGAGCCAAAGATAATGCAGTGAGGAAGGTGGCTTAGGGAGACAATGGATGTAAGCCATGTACCCCGAGGGTCTTGGATTCTACATGTCCTGGGATCGAGTACATATGGATACAGATTATGGCTCCGTTTAGTGATCTGATGGAATCGAAATTTTCATCGGATTTATCGCTTCAATTATATTTCGTAGTTGACAAATTCAGCATCGTCTTCACGTCATGGTCTTCTAGTAGCCTCCGGTGCTCATCCCTCAGTATAATTGGATCATTCGTCTCAAACCAAAATGCCCACGTGCTGCGTGTATTGATGTCGAGATTATCGCGGCTCGATTTCAAGCCCACGTGTTGGAGTTGCGGCGGTGCCAATGCGTATCGATTCAGTTTGTGATCATCGGCGTATTCCTCGATCATAGAGTCCGTCTGTCCATGTCCTCGTGCGCTCAAAAAGTCAATCAGTCCATCCACACGCTCTCTCGGAAACACTAATCCCTGCGTGCAACAACCAGACTTGTTCATCTCAACGACCCCGTGAAGGGGCGTCAAGTTATACTTCCCGACCATATAGACAAGTGCAGTGAATGCTGGAATGCAAACCATTGAGATGACCACTATGCTAGTAGGATCTAAGTGAAATTGCGTGAAGCGAGAGCGGCGAAGAAGAATTAAGCATATCAATCCAGATAGTATCAGAATCCCAAAGACAAGTGGCATATTCCTATACACAAAATCCGATCTTGTCCAACTTAATGCCGTCTCGGTATAAAAGAGTCGGAGATAGATCCAGGGCTTCCCGGACTGTAGTTCGAGCCGGGCAATATCTGCTAACGCCTTCAAAGTTCTCGAGAGCCATGCGGTAGCGAGGATGATATCGTCTTCGAAGATGATAGTGTAGGAAGTGTTCAGTTGCTGACAGGTTCGTAGTGCATATAAGTAGTCACTGTCATTGATTAGCCTTTTTGGTGTCACTTATTGAATCTTGGTCATAATCTGGGTACCTACAATACCCCTTTTTCATAGAAGTTCTTTTCCCTTTCCAGGGTTTGCAAATGCTTGAGTTGCTCATCCGATACATTGTAAGTTGTAGCCGAGTCAATGAGCCTCTCTATCCATTTCTGACCCCAGCTAGGGTGTACTCTCGGTTCTGTATCAGCAAATAGTACACTGAGATATAGTTTGCTTCTCTCTCTTTCGTCCAGTCCCTCAAGCAACGAACCAACAGATGCCTCAAAATAGTCATCCGAGTCTCGTCGAACCGTGACAATTGCTACACAAACAAGAGGTGTGGGATCGGACTTGACGTAGGGAGGGGGGTTGAGATCGGAATTGTGTCGAGATAGGAAATGCCGTGCTTCGCGCTCCTGATAAAGGCTGTAATCCATGTCATACACATGGTGTTCCTTGAAGAAGGCAGAGTGTGGATCGCGCCAGAATTTGATTCGGCAAAGCTGAAATAACAAGAGCCACACAAACAAGCATGAAAGAAGTATCCTTAACGCGCGAAACTTGAGATAATGAGTGAGATAGGAAAGAGGCATCGTGATGAGTCTTCCCAGACATCAGCCAGCGTGAAATATATTTTATGAGTGCTGAAATAGGAAGGGCTGCGACGAGACTTCGCACGAAAATTGCAATCGTGAGTAGTGCATCTGTGAGAGGACAAAAAAACAAGTCTGCTCGTGGATGGCACATGGCCTGTTCAGGAATATTCAGTGGGTCATTACTTTCGGAAATGACTCCTGCAAGGATCCACTTGGGTCTGCGTGCGTCTAAGAGTGCTGCCATGCGGAAGATACTTTCACTGGTTTAAGCAGACCCCTGTGTGTATGAGATAAATCGGACAGATGGTCATAAAACTGCATATTGATGCTGCGGTATACCACAACTTTGAAGCTCACTGATTTCCCCTCTAATACTAAATATGTTTTAGTGCTAGCTGTCTATCGATCATCCGTAAGCATCGTTCATACGTACAGTGAGTGACACAGCGAAAGTGTCAACACACCCCTAAATAGCCCCACAGCGTCTGATTACATAAAGTTATGCTGGTCGAATTCTCCACCGAAGATTCGCCAGGTAGTTATTATGGCCTACTAATCATGTCAAAATTTACCCTACTAAATAGAAACGAATCTGGAAACTCTACAGCCGATTTCTAACAGTGCTTCAGATATTTTTGGCGCCTTATGACATAGCTTGGTGAGCGTTTGGTAGGCGGTAGAGCCGAGATACGGGCAGTGTGATAGGTGGGCGTACCTACTACAACATACGGAGTACACTAAAGCAGGTTACTCCAAGAGAGTATAACGTATTTCACATGCGAGTGGCGGCGCGGTCCAAAACAAATACGGAGTAACCGGCCCTTACATTTTTTTTTACAAAAATTACAGACCCTCCTAACGGAGGGTCCGCCACCCAAACGGAGGGGATCACCCAAACGTTAGTGTACCTTTTACTAGGTAGAATACTCCGTATATACAAGGTACATATATAAATACATATTTTTCTCAATAATATTATACTAGAACCTTTGATTTTAAATATAGGACTAATATTCTCATACTATTCTATATTATTTATCTAAATTTTAGCCTAGATTTTAGGGAGCCCTCTTGTAGTGTTACAGTTATAAAATTTAACCTATTTCGTGCCTAATATAATATATATAACTATTAAGGCGTCCCTGAAACTGGAAGAGAGAAGGTGGAAGTGAGTGGCTGTATGAACTACTGTATCTAACTAGTTAGCGGATTTTCAGGGTTCTTTCCTTCCCGGGAGGTGCCGCTGCCACCCGGAGCCAATGAGCGGAGTCGAATCCAGCCCCTTGGGCCAGGGTCCTTGGCAATCACCCCCAACCCGTGGGTTCCGGAAAGCCGATGTTTTACCCAACTTTCCCGACTTCCGGGTGCCGTAGGTACAACAATCACGCATAGGTGAAGTAGAGATAGAATTAACGTTATGTGGTCACCGGGGATTCGATCTTTATTACTAGAGACAAACAACACAAAGTCAACGCGTCGGATTGGGTAACAGCTGCTAGTGATCTCTAGCGATAGCACATGTGTCTTACCTTAATTTAAAACCCCAGTACTTACCCATTTCGGAGTCCGTCTGTCTTGTACATGCATCCGGCTTGATATCCGCCCAACACTGAACCCTGCTCACGAGCCATTCTATTTATGGTAATAACATGCCTTGTCATTCGGGGCCCTCATGGTAAGAATGTTGATGTCACGAAATGGCGAGCCCCTGCTACTAAGCTTGTTAGAACCTTAGTGAGGAGTAGTGGACCGGAGACTACGGAGGGGAGGACATGAATCATTTTCTGGCATGCGTTCGGTACGCCTCAAGACAAGCAGTAGTAGGTAATACCTCTTATCTGTGTCTCGTAAAAGTGTATAATTCGAGACACAAGGAGCATAAATAATAGAGAACTAGCCATTCAATATGTTATGCACATTATCATATACCAATATGCAAATAAGAGAGCGGGGACGAAAGGTAGACTGAGCACGCAGTACACATTTATCGCACGACACCTAGATCCATATGTAGGGGATCATTACGCACATATCACCCTCCAACCTTTGTCGAGAGTCCATAGTCAGATCACATAGTGAATTTGAATGGTTTAACTGCTACAAGACAATATTTTCGTATTACATCCTCCCGTGATACCATACCACGTTGTCTAAAATTTCAAACATGCGAGGTGAAGCCGAGTAGGTGTTTAGTAATGTTTTTGTCAAACGACAAAACATTCGCGCAACAATCGTAACAAAATAAATTTGGCCCACCACTCATATAATACCGTTGATGGGGTCCCGTTGGTGGTTTATGTGTCACTGGTCTTCTCCATTACAGGAAATTGAGAATTTGTAGTGTCTGGAACCGGTGAAACAGCCTTCTTGATATCCAACAGAACTTGGCACACTGTGACCGATTGGCTAACATTCCACTGAATATGCTCTTGTTGCAGTAGCTTGACAAGGATCTAAGCCTCTGTCTGGTGCACAAGTAGATAGTGCTAGCCCGTGGCCACTTTAACAGACCCACGGGTGTCTGGACATATTCGCGTCGATTCTCCAAACGGCGCTTTTGGATGGAGAGTATAACATGAGATTCAACCAATATTTTGCCTCTGAACCTGGGACTAGCATCACATACTCTTAGCTCGGTCTCGGCTATCATGATGCTGTAAAGGGACCAAATCGTAAGAAAATGGGGCCAATTTTAATATAGCACAGTCAAACATGGCGCCATTAACTGAGCTTGAGGTTGGAAAGTGTTTGTTACTCTCAGATGTCACATGCTCGCAATCCCATGGTATACTGACTATATAGTCATTATCCTTTCCTTATTTACACATAACTCTTACAACCTACACATTGTACGTCATTATCTACTATGGTAGACATCAACAGAAACATACTCTGGTCAAGTGCTTTTTCATGACACATACCTCACACTGTACTTTTATCATCCCGGTTCTTCGTAAGCTGTGCCGCTTGCGCTGGATAATCTCCACAAACCCCTCAGTACCCCCGGGCTACGGAGCAATTGACCTAAAAAGTATAGCGCCCTAGGCATCATACTATATGCAGACTAAGTTACCTCGAACATAATGAATGTAACATCGAACAGGGTTGGTTCAAAATGTTCCTCGACTGGCCCATCCAGTACTTGTGCTCCGATAGACACTTGGACGGCCAAGTGAGTGGGTATAAAACCTCGATGTTTCCCTCAGCTGGAATGTAATCTTTTGTCAAGCTCACCGCACAATCGTTCTTCCTCTACATTATCGCACTGGATCTCCCTTGCCCGACTCCCGCACAGTCATGAGACTGGCAACTATTCTTCCTGCCTTCGCGGCATTCCATCTTGTACGTAAATGGCCAACTTCATCCTGTTGCATGATTCTAATAGAAAGATAGGTCCAAGGACTTGAGGCCCCTGTTCTGGGGTATGGCGTCGAGGAATTCTCCTGGGAGGTTGAGACCAAGCCTGGAGGTCCCAAAGTGATTCTCAATGGCACAGTGCAAGAAATTTATGCCGAATTGATCAACATCAACCCAACATATGATCTGGATTTCGCGGCCATGCCGGCGCAAGCGATTGTTGATACCAACAACGAGACTTCGCATCTACACAAGCGACTTGATGTCACTTGCAACAACTATGACCAGGCAATCTCATCAAGGATTAAAGAGGGTATCAGGTACTTACGCGGTGTCAACGGCAAACCCAGTAATGGTCCCGGACCTGGAAATTGCGGAAGAGTTAGCTGTTCGTATAACTCTGCGATCTGGTGGTGCAATGATGTAAGTGTTTTCCCCTCTTGGACCCGCATACACAGGGCTAACACATTTGATCAAAACGGTAGAACACATCGCCGAAGACCCTTGGCGGGTTCAATAACATTGCTGATAGTGCTCAAGTCATCATCAATCAATGTGGCCCAACGGAGGTTTATGTCTCCGGAGAAGAAAACCATGGGGACAAATGGAGAGGCATCGTCCGCCGGAGTCCATGCTGAACGGTTAGTTAGTGGACGAACACCTTTGGCGGTAGTGCCTATTTCTGTACCTCACTTTTCAACAAAGCTTGGTCTGGTATACTGTGATTTCTGTAAATAGTTCAACCCTATACATTCATTCGAACAGGTGGAATCTTCGGACTCATACTTTCCAATATACGGAATTGCAGGAACAAAGTCGATCTGAACCAGAATGTGCTGTAGCGTCGGATAACTTGGTGCCTTTTATATACATTTCGAAAGGTCTTTCGACACAATTGGCCCCCAACGATATAGTTGACTGTAATTCCTGCATCGTCTCTGGGAGTCTCATCGACCAGCATCCGAATTCACCGCCGCGATAGATACGAGGTCTCCGTAGTGCTGTCTTGGTAAGATCGATCATGGCGAAGCAAATTACAGTGGGTTGTATCGAGGGTTGAATGATACAAAGTTTGGCCTACTGAATTTGATAGTCCCAAATAGGAAGCAGGGGGGCGGAAGGGCTGTATAAACTCGTATACAGCTTTTTCGCTTGTAACGTTGGAAGCATGCCAAGGCACCAATGTTGCCTGATGAACCAAGGTTCCATCACAAACCCTGTACAAGCCAGCACAAGCCACCCCAAGCTCAGATTTCAGCCTAGGAATCAGCCTAAGAATCAGCCGCAGCCCTATCCCTCGCCGGATCTCCACCCGCACGCACTTCAGTCGTGATGTCCCGATTGGTGAACCAGACCGGCAAGCATGATGGGGATTTGCGGGCTTTCATTCCTGGTGCTGATCCGTCAATTTAAGATTACCAGGGCTTGACCCACATTCTTTCCACCCGCCCCCTGATATCGCTCCATAGCTCGGGGGATTTTCGCTTTTTCGTTTTTTCTTGGCTCAGGCAGCTGGTTCAAATACGGATGCTGGGTTTTTATAGTCGTGCTCACTACCTGAGCTTACATGTCTATGAATTGTTATCATATCATCATTGCATGCAGACCGTGAGACGTTAATAACGTTCACAGTGACTCATATTTTACCTGCTGTATTACAAACCTGTATTGATTAGCCTATTGCGATGCCGAGAGATGTAGTGAGTCGGCCACGGACTACACTCGCTATAGACGAAGGTCGCGACCGATAACCCTACCGACTGCACCGATTGGGTTGTTGAGCGAGACCTATATCCGCTTGGCGTGGTACTGATCGGATAGCAGAGTATAGAGCTTGTCTTTTTCGGTTTGACTTGTTTTCTGCCCTGGCCTTTGTAGAGTGGGCCATCTTATCATTGCGTTCGAGCTTCACAATGGGAAACATGCTATGGAACTTTCGTTGTTTCTGGGTCCGCGTAAATGCAAAAGTTTGTCGGAAAGGATGCCATCAAAGGATTCAAGCTTCCCCGGTTCATTCAAGATGAGGACCTCGCTAAAGAGGATTGCCCGGGACTGAAGAGCGCTGGTGGGATTCACTGGCCTTTCTACTTGGCATTGAGGATGGTGCTTGATGTATCTTATGGCAGTGTACGGAGTTGTTCACCAATAAATCCGGTATACTCAGAAGGCTCCTTGTGGCTCCCATAACGTAAAAGCTACTGCGAGTAAATCTTAGCCTCACGTGGGTTGTTCAAACCGCTGCCTGTGACTCCAAGGCATTACCACAATTGCAACTGGAGCGAGGTTGAAGGGTTAAGCTTGTTTGAGTATGGAAGCTGACAATTCTCTCACAACCCCACGGGAATCATTGGGGTCCAACTGGGCTTGTGCTACTAACAAATCAATTTACCACCCCACTGAAGCTTTACATGACTCTTGACAAGCCATGGGACTACTATGGTCCAGGTCATACGGGGGTGACTGGAGGTACTCCGTCTATCTGCATGTGATCCACGACGAACTTCGGTATCGCAAGGCCTGCGGCTAGGAAATAGACTTCCGCAAAGCCCAACCCGTACTGGGCTATAGTCCCTACCTTCGAAACCCGACCTAACCCACAGCCCATTCGTGGGGGCCCATAAGGCCCACTTTAAAGCCTATTAAGGGGGTTTTACTAAGCACCTTGTAATCGCTATATTCTAACCTTCTACTTATTATATAGAGGTTAAATCCTTCGAATTTATAATTGTCATACCTATATAAGTATACATTTCAAATTTAAACAAAATCCGATCAGAAGAGGCCGAGATACTACGAGAAAGTATATTTTGACACTCGATATATATCTAGGATCTAGATAGGAGTACTACCACTTTCTAAGTGAACTTCCGTAATTTATAAATTATCTAAATAACGCGCTTTCTTGCATTTTTATTATTATAGGGGTAAAACGAAGGGTAATTTTAAAATCCCTAAACTGGGGTTTAACTTCTGAATTCTCGGTATATTTGTACTTTTTGGGGCCCAAAGCCCATCGGTGGGCCTGAGGCCAGGTCCAAAACCCAACCCATTTGCGGGTTGGATCGGGTTGGGCTCTGGGCTTTATGGGCCGGTGCGGAAGTCTACTAGGAAGATTAGTGGCATATTATTTATTAAGAGCCAGGTGCGGCGTGGAGTTTTCGAAAAAGCTAACAACACTAATTGATGAAAGAGTCCGTCAATTCAAGGGGAATGTGACCCTATGTTCGATGATAAATATAGCGATATTGAAAACTCCAATTTTATCCAAGCAGTAATAATTTATACATGTAAAATACTCGAATACATCGGAAATATGAACAGAGTTGCATCTAAATCAAAAACTTTCCAACAAGCAATACGCCGGCAGCCCACCACTTCAACTGAGAAGTTACCTCGTCGATATAAGCCCCGCCGTTCCTGGCTGGGCAGCTTATTGCAGGGGTAGCAGCAATGCACTGTCCTGCAGTGAGGGTAGACGAGATACTTGAGGCGGCCGCAGGCGCGATAATAATCTTGCATGGAGCAGCAGTAGGCGCCGGACTCTGGAGCACGGCGCACATTTCGCCTTCGTAGTAACCTGTTTGGGCTCTCAGAGTTTTCGTGACGTTGAACGCAAGGGCCGAGGTATCACTGCACTTGTCACCGGTGGTGAGAGCAGTGAAATTGGGCTGATTTGCCCCCTTTTTCGTAGTGAAGTGGATGGAACGGCCAGCCCAATAGTTCATCAAGGTGACATCAGGCTTTTCGACTAGCCTACGTTCATTGTCGGAAGTGGTCCCATTAGCCGGTGTAGAGCAGTTTGTCCAATCCATTTTCCAGACAAATTCCCACTCATTCTCGGTGTTCAGAGTGTTTGCTATGCTAGCCTGAAGGAATGATACCGGGCCCGATATATTGGGTAGGTGCGCTTCAACGAGATCGTTGGAAAGTGTTTGATTCCCATTTGGGAGATCCGCCGGCCATAGGCCATAAGTAATATATGGATAGAGTCGATTAATCGCTGCGGGGTTCTGAAATGCAAAGACGATGGGTGTGAGCGTCATCGGCCCAAAGGTGCCGTTTCGTGGGAAGATCACATCGACCTCTCCGAAGCCTAAGCCAGCTGTATCGGCTGCCACTAGGGACACAACAAGGCTGAGGGCGAGAAGTCGCGCCTTGATATTGAAAATACTGAGATTTTGACAATATTGGTTGGTGTTGAGAGGTCAGGTATCGTGAAACAATTGATGACGAGGAAAGTAAAAGGAAAAACCGATTTCAACTAATATAAGCCGCAAGGCTAAAGATTAGGGAAAGAGATTGAAATACAGAGGAGAAAATTTGATGCGGTAGAGCGAAGTACTCAAATGTGGCCCAGAAGTAAAGGGTGTAATTTCTTTCGGGTAGAAACTGGACCACTCGCGCTAGGTACTAGAAGGTTTCGTAGTTCGTCGGAAAAGAGGGTCGCGTTTAAGTCGGCCACATTAATAGACCTAATTTATGTCCATTGTAAATCTCTAAGTGCAGTTGGTTGAGCCAGAGGCTTGGGGGACAGGGCCGTGCGGCTCTTGGCGGCCCCTGTATCATTCGCACGAGAACTGCAATTGGATGTTCTATACTCCGTAAAATTTACGCCGGAGAATTTGGTGGTGCATTCCTCCGAAACAGGGGATGCATTCGCTTCTCAGACTAGAAGGAGGTACCCGTATAAGTATGTATGTAGTTCGTGATACAGTTACACTAGGGGGCTATACTAGATGGAGCCGCGCATGGAATGTAGAGACTTGTGAACGACCTCATTGCAAGTCTGAGATTGGGCGCGAGAAAATGTTATATTTATTCGTGCTACTGGACATTCTTTTCCTAGAATCAATATACCTCTCGGCCTGGAGAGATTCTTGTGTTTCTCACCGTCGCTAACAGCCACTTGTTTCATTTGGTCAATCTTTCATTATTTTTTCATTACAATCTTTTCTACCTCCGCTACGAGGCGGCCCAAAACAATGGCGCCCCTTTGGAATGGCATGGCTGCAGGCCTACTGCTATCCGCTGCGGTCGTCTCCGGACAAGCAAACTCCAGGCTGGGTGCCAGTCCGAGCTATCAAGGATTCAGCAACATCTGTCCTGAGCAATGCATTGTCACGGGGCCCGAGCCCTCCAACTGGTCAACCTATAATGATATGAACCGGCTTGCAAATTGTAACCAGGCTATGTTATATGGTTTCAATCTGTACGATGATGTCGATGATGCCGACTCTTATCACCGTATATTCGCTTGCACGGCATACGGCAATGACTGGAGCGATGACTCGCAGTCTCATGTGACAAATTCTCGCCCTGAGAAGGAGCACAAGGTGAACTATGAAATCGGCTGGTCGTCGTATTCACCGGGCACTGAGTCTGACTACCGCTCTTTGATCAGACAAATGCGTGATTATGTTGCCCGCGGACATATCTCTCCCAGCAAGACAGCTATGCTATATGCTCAGTTTGGTTATACATCAGCTGGTATTTACATTGGTAATAGTCTACAAAGCAAAGACATTGGAGATGTGGCTCTGCAGTCTCTCATCGACGATTCCCACGATTTCGACGGACGTCGAGACAGTTTGACTATGCAGCTTTGTGGACCACACTATGATTCTCAGCACGTATTTGGATTTATGGCTCTGAGAAATGGCACCTTTAGAGCTATCCAGTCTGCCTTCAAATCCTGGTCCAATGCCGAGTGCCTTGACTTCGAACACAGCACGAACTTCACGGCTAGCACCCACTTTACTTCGTCTATGCTGTCATCCATCAAGGCCGGGAATACGACCACAAGCGGCATCCAAGCCGGCGGCTCAGCCCTACCTGCCAAGTTATCTACGCAGCATACTAAGAACCTGATGTCTTCTACGGGAGAGTGCCGAACGCAGAAGGTCCAAAATGGTGATAGCTGCGCCGCAATTGCCACGAGGTGTGGTATCTCCGGTGCTGACTTCACCAAGTACAATTCTGAGAAGAGCTTCTGCTCAAAGTTGAAGCCTGGTCAGCACGTTTGCTGCTCTTCTGGTGCGCTTCCTGACTTCAGTCCAAAGCCCAAAGAGGACGGATCATGTGCTACAACCACAGTTGGCGATGGCGAAAGCTGTTCTACGATTGCTGCAGCCAATAGTCTTACGGAGAAAGATATCGATGGATTTAACCAAAAGACTTGGGGATGGGGTGGATGCAAGAACATCTTCAAGGATTCTGTCATCTGTATCAGCAAGGGATCTCCACCCATGCCCGCTGAGGTTTCTGATGCCGAGTGTGGTCCCCAGGTTCCTGGTACAAAGCTTCCGAAGGATATGAGCAAGCTTGCCGATCTCAACCCATGCCCACTGAATGCTTGCTGCAACACCTTTGGCCATGTATGTACCCCAACTGGTCATCGCCATATCACTGAACTAATACTGGCTATAGTGCGGTACCACAGCAGAATTCTGTACTGATACTAACACAGGCGCCCCTGGCACGGCTAAGGCTGGCACTAACGGCTGCATCTCGCACTGTGGTATGGACATCGTGAAAGGAAATGCCCCCACCAAGTTCCGCAGCGTCGGATACTATGAAAGTTATCAATTCAAGCGTCAGTGCTTGTATCAGGATGTGATGCAAGTTGATCATTCAAAGTATACTCACTTGCATTTCGGTTTTGTCGATATCTCCTCCGACTATGAAATCAGCATCAACGACAAATCGGCCAACTATCAGTTTCATAACTTCAAGTATATCTCTGGTCCTAAGAGAATCGTCAGCTTCGGCGGCTGGGACTTCTCTACGCAAGCGTCCACATACCAGATTTTCCGTCAAGGAACCAGCGCGGCTAATCGCAAGAAGCTTGCAACCAACATCGCCAATTTTGTGAAGGAAAACAACCTTGACGGTGTCGATATTGACTGGGAATACCCAAGTGTGCGTACAGCCCTCTGCACTATTTCTTTTCCGAGGCGAACAGCGTGATCGGTCGTTAACAAAAACCAGGCACCTGATATTCCTGGACTCCCCTCTGGCGATAAGAGTGAAGGAAACAACTACCTCGAGTTCCTCGTTGTTTTGAAAAACCTTCTTGGAGATAAGTCTGTTTCGATTGCTGCTCCTGGCTCATATTGGTACCTCAAGGGTTTCCCCATCGCGAAGATCAGTAAGGTTATTGACTACATCGTCTTTATGACATACGATTTGCATGGGCAATGGGATGCAGGAAATCCTAATGCCCAACCGGGTTGCGATGATGGAAGCTGTCTGCGAAGCCATGTCAACATGACGGAGACTAAGGAATCCCTTTCCCTAATCACCAAGGCTGGCGTGGACTCGGGCAAGGTGGTTGTCGGCGTCAGCAGCTATGGACGATCTTTCAGAATGGTTGATGCGGACTGCGATGGACCGATGTGCAAGTTCACTGGAACTCGACTGCATTCCAATGCTGAAAAGGCAGATTGCACTGATACCGCAGGTTATATATCAAATGCTGAAATCAATCAACTCCTCGACCACAACTCATCCCGCGTTAATAAACATTATGTTGACACCCACAGCAATAGCAACATCATGGTCTACGATAACACGAATTGGGTGGCCTACATGAGCCCCGAAATCAGGGCCGAGCGCACCAAGATGTACCAATCCCTCGGCATGGGCGGCACGGTCAACTGGGCCACCGACTTGGAAAAATTTAACGATGCCCCTGAGGGCGTTGAGAATTGGCCTGGTATGATACTTCAAATGAAATCTGGTACCATCACGCCCCGAGGTGCTGGTAGTCGCAGTGGCAACTGGACTAAAATCGGATGTGACAACGAGTACTCGAGGGAGACGCCCTATTGGTCCCCTATGACCCGCTGGAGACAACTTGACGCTGCTGGTGCTTGGAGTGACTTGATTGCAGATTGGAAGAACTACAGAGATAAGGATCACACAGGCGACAAATTGTCTTTCTCAGCCCAGATTTCGTACCTTCTTGGTGGACCTGACAACGTGAAATGCGGACAAATTGACGGGGACAGCAACTGCCCGCTGATTAGCTGCAAGTTGTTCAATATTGGGAATGGCACTAAGTCGGGTGCTGCGGCTGAGCTCATCTGGGACTCTTTTTTCAAGATCCATCAGGTATTCACTATTCCTCAATCCCTTTCCCGGTGTTCAGAATGACCCAGCTAACAAGAGATACGCCCAGATGTATGCCAAGTTCAAGAGCGCACTTGTCACTGACGCCGCACTTGTCATTGACAACACCCTCCCTCATTTGGAGAACACATTTGCACCTGTTCCTCCTCCAGAGGATAATGCGTGGTTGGACATGGTACTAGATTTTGTCTCCATGGGTGTGCCAATGGTTGGCGGGAAATTCATAGATGATTGTACTAATTCTTATGTCTTTTACATGATTCCACTTCTTAATTTGCTAATTTGATATTATAGTCCTCAAGATGATACCCGCTATGACGACCAAGAGCGACATCTCTCTAGATCACTACAAGGAGGTCTTGAGCGCCATTCTCGATAGTCCTGCCACGATTGCAACTAATCTGAAAGGCACCTCAGATCCGTGAGTCATTCAATTTACTGTTATAAATAAAACCATGGCTGACTGCAATTCATCTTCAGAAATGACTGGACACCCGAGAAACAAGCTGAATTTTCCAAGTACATGGGTCAAAGTCTTCAGGGTTGGAATTATATTTTCACAAAGGACCTCGAAAACTTGTTTGACGGCACCGACAAGTCTATTGAAAGACTTACGATCATGATTTCGGATGGACGTATGATCGACGGTATTCCGAAAGACATCCCCTATCCTGATAAGACAAAGCGCAAGGATAAGGATGACGATGATAATAAAAAGACCGAGGCAACAGATTCAGAGAAGAAGTCAGTGGAAGATGGTTTCCTGACTGCCTTTTGGGCATATTCCATTCCCGCCGTTTGGCAAGCATCGGGTCATCATCCTTTCATCATCGACACAGGTAGAAGCTGCGATGACAAGGATGGCGACAAATATACCAAGGACTTGAAATCCGCATGTTATGAAAATAGACTGTACCAATTGGCCGATCCTGATGGCAGATCGCACCCCTGTGACTATGACTGTGGAATTACAGGAGGCTGCAAATGCGACGACAGTGCATTCTCTTCGCTCAAGGGCGTGGAAGAGCTCGATGGTAAGGCTTGGAGCGGACTCAAGGTCGAGGATATTATTATCGGGTAAGTTCTCGCTCTGTTTGCCATTCTTACCCTTTGCATATTGTTAATGATTTACCCTACCAGCTCTGTCAGAACCTACAAGCAGAACGGCAACGAGAACGGTGGAGGCACGGCGGATCCCACAGACTCTGGTACATTTGAAGCCCTCAAGCAGATGGATATCACCACCCCTGGATTCATGCGTCTCCCCGTTTGCAGTGAGACTCTGGCCCGCACATCATGGGAAAACGCCGATAAGACAGAAGCCACAAGAAATAAGGATGGCTTCCCGTGCAACAACGACAATGGCAGGTCGTACTGCACCACATCGGAATCAACCTATATCGAAGAGACTACAAGTGGATCGCCACTTATCGACGATTGCCTTGTCATTGTTAAGAACATCGAAGGAACAACTGGATCATGGAACAAGCTGATCGAGATTCAGTACGGAATCGCCCATTTTGGAACTTGTACCTTCGGCATTGAGGGCAAGGGTCGTCATGGAAATTCCAACGTCTATATCGGGGCCCAAGACATCGTTGATATTATACGATACACTTCAAAGCACTGGGGCCACGGAACCGACAAGATGCAGGGTAAAGGAGTCATGCAGTGCAATGGTAACATCAAGCAGCAGGAGCTGCACTGGGCTATATATAAGAAATAGTGATCAGTCACCCCGCTGCGGGTGCCTGAAGGGAGAAGGGATTTGATCCTGTCAAGGCCATTGTCTAGATAGTTGCACTCTCTTTATTCTGTCCTCGAATAGACTTGCGATATCTAATTGTTTGTATGGTCTAAAGAAGCACTGCTGTTATGTTTTTAAAGATAATTTAGATTGGGGTTTACTTTAAAAATAAACAGCGTTCGCGACTAGGCCCAAAGCAATGCCTTTTATCATATAATACCAGGCTTCAACCGTGTATTCCAATCTTAGTATTCGACATTTTCTATTGTAAGGGCGCTAATCTTACTTTGGCTAGCGCCGTGTTCGATGCTTCACCACGAGCGCTAGGTCAAAGACCACGATCTCCCCTCAAAAGGCCACAATCTCCCACAGCCTGATCTACGATGTTGGCTCGGGTGTCCTGCGTAAGTTGAATACGCAGAAGCTGAAGGAGGTGATTAAGGCTCGTTTGGTCTGCTTCAACACCGCAGCCCAAATTGGTATTTGGGTATGTACTTGTGAGAGGCGTGTGTGGAAGCAAATGACAACGGCCGAGGCGTAGAAATTTTCTTGGGATTTCAATCTATCACTTGAAATTGACGAAGTGACAAGATATCGAATCGAATTTTCTTTGGCCATTTCAGACTCCGACGTTATAAAATGTAATACGCTACCGTTATTTGCGTGCCACTCTCCCTTTCTAAGTTGCCCATATTGTCCCATCAAAAAACGAGTGGTATTGTCAATATGACCATTTAATTAATTGGGTTACAATAGCGCCTACTTACTGGCTAGGCAATCAGTATTTCATTCTATACTTGCTGCTCCTAGGAATACTTTATTTACTGGCCCTACGATCTCCTGATTAGGCTATAAATAGTGGACAAATACTATGACCATCAATCACTACTGCTTCTCCTATCTCGTCTCCGTAAGCAAGAGCAAGAAAGATATTTCCGCTGGCCATGTCCTGGGTCACCTCTAGGGTATGAGCCTCGTACGTGTCTTTGAATCCTAACATTGGGCCCAGCTCATTAGCAGAGTACCCCTCTTTCGCGTTCTGTTTGCGGATGATGAAGAACTTCTTCCGCTGGGGGATGGTACTTTTTCCATCTTTGGAAAGAGTCTTCACGTTTCGGATGGCAAAGATGATCGGCTCGATATTCTCATCGGCGACTGCCACGAGGTGGTAGGTCTTATTGACTAAGGTTGATGGAAGGCATTGGGTCATCAGCTCTGAGTCAAAAGTGATGGAGTGGATGGCACAATCGGGAGTCTTTGTCATCTTGATAGTCGAGGATAATAATGAACAAGAAATGTGAGGAAATGGCAATAAACAAAACGAATTGTGCTAATAGAGCTAATTGTTGATTCTAGAAGCTTGGTAAGAGCCGTCTGGTAATCTAGGAAATCTTTTGCTTTCAACGTAAATGGCAGGTGAACTTTGGCCTTGGTAAATGGCTGCTTTACTGTCTACTGCAGTATTGGGGTGAACGCCACTACCCCCGAAATTTGTTTCTCGTGCCTATTCTGCTTTTCCTGTGATCCACAATCAATATTCCCTCGTAGCTATGACCATTTTTCAACATGCATTTGCATCGCATGCTTGTTGTCATTCATTGCTGGCTGAGATGGTGGTCCTTCGTTCTGGTTGATGTTATGTTGTGATACCCAGTCAGTAGGATGATAGCAACAGCCTCGAGCGCCAATATTATCGTTTGTCACACCTCCCGAGTTCAAAAGCGGGTGAGATCCGCTAGGGTGTAGCGGGAGCCTTGCATGATTCATGGTACAATAATTTTGTGTTATATGCAAACCTGGGCGGCCGTTACATACCTGTTACAATGAACATGATCCCAGTCGTGACAATAGAAATTGCGCTATTTTGCCCCTATGAATTTCTTCCCGGCATGATCAAAAGCGGTCTAGAGTGACTATACTATCCTCAGAATCTCTAATAAGGGGTGTTTCAGTAATATCAAGGCACTGCGTAATACATAGTTAGATATGAAAGTCAAACACGCAAGTTTCGAAACCCTCTCAAGAAACCTCACCTATAGTCCAATGACTAAGTAGGCATTCTATGATATGCACAAGCACAATATGCCGGGGAAAAATGGATGTGTACTGGATGTTGTCGGATCCGAAACGGACATCAGGCGACATGTGACAGCGCACCCTTCACCGCTGCATCGTGCCAGTCAACGCATATCCCGCATATCGATATCGAAATGCATTCAAATTGTGCGAAGACTTCGTATCTAATTTAGTTCTCCCCATAATAATAATCACATCTCTAATCATGCTGTTCTCGATCAGCTGGTTAAAGACTGACTCATTGGAGAGATTCGGGGAGTAAAAAACAGCCATATATGACTATCTATTATCGGGGTAGTAGGAATCATCTTTCATGGCGACGGAATAAATATGTCCTCCTTTCTTAAGACCAATGTTGCAATTACTGGGTAGTGCTTGAGCCGAGAGATGAGGTACCTAGTGTCTAGAATACCGATATACTGCTTGATTGGCAATACTCTGCATGGAGCAACAACATGCATTGCGGCATTCCAAGAATCAATTTTATCTTTCACGCCGACATTCATGACTGTATTAGTCGCCCATAACGCCTCGTATTGGATTTTGCTTTTTCCTCCAGTGCCGTCGGCCATGGTGACTCAAACCATCTGCGCCCCACCTTCAGATGAGTAGTCAGGCATGCTATGAAGATGAACTGACCGGGGATAACCAGAGACTACATGACAAGGTGTGATTAGGCGTCACACATATCCCTTGTAACCTAGTTGGACTCGCCAATATAGGCGTACACAAACGTCAGCAGCCAGAGGGGAGGGTTGACCTGGCTTGTTGATCGACGAATTTTTAGTCATAGACTCACCCAGACGATGGTCGTTGTATACAACCTCAGTATTCGAAGACTCCAAGAAACAGTCCGAATTTGACGACAGGTTCGTGTTTAATCGGCGGATCCAGACTATATTGGCTAGGATTTCCCACACGCGAAAATTACAGGTTCCATTACATGCGTCTCGCAGAGCGACTCCGTTAAAAATGATACTAACTCATTGGATTTTGGTTTTAATCGAAGATCTTCGCCGGAAATAGAAGCGGGATCGGTGCTGTCTAATTGATGTCTGACGCGGAGTGACAGTCCTGATGATATAAAGTCACGGCCTGTCTTCCCACGTTGTATTTACATAAAACACCTACTACTTAGCAGCCACATCATGCCAGTTTCAGAACATCCGCTGGTAACCCAGGCTACCTTTCCCGCTGCCAGTAACACCCAGTGGGCTCAGGATGGCACAGCCCAAATCTCTAGCCAGCTCAAAAGCGGCTACAACCACACCGTGTCGGCCATGTGGCAAGCGGAACGGCAACTGCATAAGGTGAGTACACCATATCTTACAATTTTAACAGCATCATGCGCTAAAAAAAACCCCCCGCAGTCCATGTTTATCTATCCGGTTTTCTTGTCAGTCGATCCAGACATGGAAGAGCCTATCCCGGGTCTCCCTGGCCAGTACATACGAGGACCAAACAAGCTGCTCCCTTTTCTATCCACTCTAGTGGCGAAGGGCCTCCACTCGGTTATTCTGTTCGGGACATTGCTCAGCAGCCACACGAAAGACAATATTGGCTCCATGGCAGACAGCACCAGTGGTCCCATCAGACCCGCAATTCCGCTTATCCGACAGAGCTTTCCCGACCTATATGTCATCGCCGATGTCAGTCTCTGCGAGTACACGGACCACGGACATAGCTCCGTCCTTTTCAAAGACGGCACGGTTGACAACGAGGCAACTATCACGCGTGTCTCCGATATGGCGCTATCTTTCGCTCATGCCGGCGCTAATTGCGTCGCTCCATCAGATATGAGCGACGGTCGTATCCGTGCGATCAAGCTCAAGCTCCTTGAGGCCCAGCTCGAAAGTAAAGTCGCTATTATGCCATATTCCGCAAAATACGCCAGCTGTCTCTACGGGCCTTTCCGCGAGGCTGTCTCGTCCAAACTTGTCACCGACGAGCACAAGCGCTATCTATTGCCGCCTCCTGCACGTAAACTCGCCCACAAAGTCATACTCCGCGACATGCACGAGGGCGCCGATATGATCATTGTCAAGCCGGCTTATGCAGATATCATCAGCGACGCCAAGAGCATGGCTAACGTGCCGGTCGCTGCCATGCAGGTATCTGGCGAATTCGCCATGCTTCACGCAGCTGCCCGTGCTGGTGTATTTGACCTGAAGACCATTGCTTTTGAAACGACAGAGGTCATCGTCCGCGCTGGTGCCGATGCCATTCTTAGCTATTTTACTCCAGAGTTTCTCGATTGGTTGAGCTGAATTCATACCTTTGTTTTGATGCGAGGTGGAACGATGGACAGTCTCACTAGAGATAAATTCTTCTCTTGGTCTAGATATCTCGTTGGAAAATCGATGGAGACGAGGTCACAAACCTTTCGTGATTGAGCACAAAGAAATTGTTTTATATTTATAGTCGATTATTTCATTGAGAGGCTATCCGAAGACAATCAAAATCTATTCCTATACCTAGACCAGCCGATTCCCTGGCTCCGGATATTACAAAAGCGAGTCGATAGCGTACTACTGGCCCGACAAGGTAGGGTAACCAGCGCCTGGGAAGGAATTAATCTCGTAATACTTTTGATTATCACTAATGTATGTCTACCCTTAATCAGGCCCATTGATTCTTGGATTAAAATGAATTGTATTAATCAAGCTACCTATATTGGGTTCCTCGGGGAAAGGTTCTTTAGATCAACAGATCGCTCTACTTTGCCTAGTCATCGGGCCTCAACACCGGTTACTACTTTTCATCTCGCTGGAAACAATGTAAATAATTACTGATGGTTGAAGCGGAATACCACTATTATAGGCATGGACTATCTAGTGGCTTCTGGGCAACAACTCTCATCACTTTCAACGGTGGGGACTTTCCATCCGCACAAAGACGCCAATGCTGCTCGATCAAATCCCAAGCCCGTTTCGATGCCGCCTCTTCATCAGCAACCTGCCCAGACCGCAACAAAAGACTTGCATACAAGGTTTCAATAATTGCAGCGAGCCTTTTCTCTGTGTCATAGCGGAGGTCGCTAGTCCAGTCTGAGCGATAATCTAGCCGCACAACATCCAGGAAACCAGCTGCTATGCACTCCTGATAGACCTTGGCTGATGCTGCGAAACATTTTTTCTCGGCTTTCAATGAAAAGTCAAAGCACCGTCGAATTTCCCAAATGACCGGGTTGTCGGCTGATATGTATGTTTCTTCGTCGATTTCCTCCCATTGAAGAAAGCCACCGGGCTCTTTTTGAGTAAAACAAAGGCGGTTAGTGTTGGCCCATGGAAGATATAAGGGATAGATACATACTCAAGATGGCAGAAAGATTTAAGACTGCAGTTTTGTACTCGGATTCTTCGAGAGCAGCAACTAGTAGTCTCACATGGACCATGTCATACCGGTTCCAATGTTCTTTGGGAAATGGCAATGTTATATCATGGACAGAAAATTGGATGCTTCCTGGCTTTTCAGGAAACTGGTCCGCCGAGATATCAAATCCATGATAGTAACACTGATTGTGTGTTTTCTCCAGTATTTGCGAAACATCCTTCAGCCAGATACTTGTCCACAATGCATTAGTTAGTCTTCTGGACTCACAAGAAATCGACAACAGACTCACCCAGTTCCAGTACCTACATCTGCAACAGAAAGCACGCCTTCTTTGGGAATTGATGGATGGATTAGGGTGTCCTTGGTCACTTTTGACAGCAGGTTGTGCTGTGCATCAAGTCTAGAGGGTTGATTCGCACTTTTCATTAGAAATCCTGCTATTGCGTTCGTTTGAACTATGTTCTCCCGCCTACCGTTCTGATTCCTTTTGGTCTCTAGCAAAAGCATATTTATCCTGAGTATTGGTCATTGTGATTTGCGCTGGCCTTTCTTGGTGAATGGCAGGATGAATAATAAGATGACGAAGAAAGTATTTCAAAAGGGGATGAAGAGAATCTCAATTTTTCGCATTTGCTGCTCCAATCGAGGGGAAACGAGAGCATCTTATCCTGCTTTCGGGGCCTCAGCAGGGGCCCAAAGCAAGGCCTGGTTACCATCGACGCACGTCCTAAACGCATCAGAGTTTCCCTGGATTTCTCCGATTTTCCATCAGGAATTGGTCACAAGGCCCGATTCTCGGACAAAGAAATGAACAAGGGCCAGACCCTGATAAATAATACCGAGAATGATAAAACAGAACAAAGACAAGCGGCGGAGCTAGACTCGGTGCGGCGTGGCCGAAAAATGCAGAAAAGTAAGTATAATTAATCATGCAAGCACAATTATGCAGGTAGATCTGCATGCTGCAGAATACAGTTCAGCTCGCCGCGCATTTCGTAACGTGTGGTAACCTGGACGAGCCCATAAATAAAAACCAGGCAATTACTGCCGAGGTGTTTTCCCTCCGTTTCCTCACCTCACTTTCATATCTACAGGCGTTTTGGAAAACAGATTCCCCTTCCATACAGGGATACAAGCCAATTATTTCCAAAGCGTGCTACCTCAGGTATGAGCCTCTTGTGGGTGGGCTCTAGCCGTAGTCTCTTCCATCTCGTTGTGGCTATCCTGCATCAACCCGACCTCATTCAGTTCATCTTCATCACCGACTTTGTCATAATTCATAAATGCTACCCAGAAAGTAGGAGCAGCAGCAATCATCGTTGCCGTTAATCCCGTGTACAAGTACATCACTTTCGGATCAACCGCGACTGGTGAGAGAGCTATTCCCAAAGCAGATCCAGTCGCAGCAGTGACCTGTCGCAGGGCCTGCACCAGGCTGCGCATGTCCTTGGGCGCTTTTAAGTGTACTCAGATAAAGTAGTAAATCCCAGGATCTCAGCCAAGGCAAGTAGAAAATACGAGGGTGTTTGCACCCACACACTGATGTTGTTGGGTATTTTCCCACCATTAGAATTTGGAAAATTCCGCGGAGACTCATAGCACGGTCCCTGGGTAAAGATCAGCTTTTGCAATCCTGCAGCATAGGCGATTGATGAGCTTATCGTAAAAACGACTAATTCATACGAGAATTCGACTCGATTGCAATACCGTACTTTTGAAGCCCGGGATAGAGAAGCTTTTGAATGATCGGGCCGAGCAGCACACAAGCAATGGGGTTGAGTGCTTGGATGGTGTCGTTGGGGATGGCACTCAGCTTTATCTGACCAGCTTGGGAGACAAAATTATTGGTGATCTGGTCGATGCATAAGTAGAATGGTACAAAGCAAGCCCTGGCTCTAATATTAGTTAAGAAAATTGACCAACTTGCGCGGATACAAACATGACTTTGCAGGCTTTGAGGCCCCTTCTTATTTCCAAGACAAAGAGATTATCCTATGAAACCGTTCTCCTGTATTTCTCTGCTTGGAATGCAGGCTTGGCTGCATCAAGTCGGAATCGTTCTCGGGCCGAGTACACAAGGACTTTCCCTGCCTGAGGCAAAAAATTCCCATCTGGCGCGAGCTTGACTGTCCAATATTCAGCACTTCCAGTACTGTATTTATTGAATGACAGAAGAAGAGTTCCCACAACTTACCAAATGACTTTTGCCAAAACAGGAGTAAAGGAATTGGAACCCCGACGGAACACAACGGCAGGAGATAGGCAGCCCAGAAGCCAACTTCTTTCTCCAAATAGGTCGAACCAATCAGAGAGAGGCTTCCAATGTTCGTGAACCTTTCACCATATCAGCTAGCTGTATAGGTCTACAACGGGGCGCGGTGCTCCATACCAATAGAAAGGATTGTATATATATTGAAGAGTCAACGTATCCGACTCTCTCCCTTTTCTTCGTTACTAGGAACCGTGGAGTCAAAACTGTGTATTGGTCACCTATAAAGGGCGAGACGGTAGCCCCTTGATACCACCAGTTCCCAGACCTAGCAGGACCATGGCAAGAGCCAATCCAAAAGTCTTGATGGAAACTTGGGTCACTGCTGGAAGTGATGTGACAAATAGCACTATACATCCACAGGTATTTAGGCTGGCGATAATCAGCTTCAACTCACATGCGAAAGGCACACATAACCAACATCAAAGATATGCATAATTTTTTGTATTTCCCAATCCGTGCATCTGAGAGAATAGCAAATGGTAGAGGGGCAATGAATGAGAAGAAAGAGAAGGCATCGGAGATGTTGGTTGCGGTTGCTTGACCAAGACCTAGAACCCCCGGGACCTCAATACTATCACGGTCATTTTGCATATAGTTCTCTAGAGGCGGTTAAGATCTATTGATCCCATGTGAGATGGTTCAGACACTTACGCCATGGATCGGTGACGGCATAGAACTTGAATCTTTCCAATTCACCAGCTACAAGAGCTATCCAAATAATGAGCGGAATTGAGTCCACCACATGTGGCAGGGTCTTGATTTCTTCTTCAGTTGCATCCCGTCTTTCAAATCCAGTGGCCTGGGTATCCATATCCCTTGAGACAGGATCAAGGTGGACGAGTACAGTGGGATATTTTTATTGATTAAAACCTACGGTTCTCGAAATTTTCTGGGGACGCAACGCTATGATGGAAATTTAGGTGGAGAAATGAGGGACTGGGCGGCTAGGTTCTTTGTAGTACCAGTTGACTGCTAGCCCTAGCCTAAACTACCTTCCACATATTGCGTATTTCGAACAAGATAAGGATGTTCCTGTTCAGGGCTGTGCCTAGGGTGGGTGTATAATCCAATGCCATAGAAACAACACACCTATGAGACATTGCCATGTGTTTCACTGGGATGGTTGAAAGTACCAATGCCTATGTCGTAAGATAGCATAAGATAGCGTACTATGGCGACAACGGTATACAAAGAAAAAAGGAAATTAATTGAGCCCCACAGGAGGGGAGCGGAATCCTTTGGTGGGAGAAGTTGGACATTTGACAAGGAGTTGTTCTGAGACCCCACTCAATATAGTTAAGCGTTGTGGGGACCGCGGGAGGTTCTGACCTTCGGATCACCAAAGTTAGGACACGTCCCACATTTCCCTTTTGAGCATTGGCGCCCCGTTTGGTCCGTTTTGTTCACTTGGATTGTTGTCGAGGACGAGAAGAAAGTAGATTTGGATATAGGTGAGAGTATCCAGGAAGTGTCGAAAAAAGTATTAGATAGTATTTAGCCAATTAAAATAAATGGTTCGTTCTATGACCTCTAGGGTTGTGAACTTCGGAGAGCCCCAATAGTGATTTTGATAATTACAAATGTACTTTCATAAATACATTACAGTAATTTTCAATGATTGAAAATATGAGGTATTCTACTGGTATCAATCTTCCCGGAAGTGCACGCAATGACTTCTTTATCTTGCAAAGAATACTATAAATACCATGGCACTTCCCCTGGGGCCGGGTTTCTATCCCACCACCAACCACATAGACTGTAGACCTACCTCTAACATAATCCTCAAGCAAAACACTACATCCCCAAAATGGAAGAATCCCTCATCCTCTCCAAATTCGACAACCTCGTCCAATCTGGCCTCGTTCAATACGACGACAAACAACAAATAATCGAGCACATTGACGGCGACCTCAAAGTATTCCCCCCTTCCACATCCATAATTTATTTCAAACATGTACTAACTTGATTACTCAGTTCCAATTTGTTCTCACTTCTGCTCTCGTTAAAAAGCCCACCCTCACCACCGCCCCATCCCAACCCGACACTGACACCCAAACACCCGAAAAGCGACCAGGGAGCGACATAAACACCACTGGATTCGAACTTGGCGAGCTAGACAGTCATCTAGTGATTGTGAACAAGTTCTGCTTTGCGCGACCCCACCTGATGCTTCTCACATTTGACGGATACAAACGACAATATGAGGCGCTTGACGAGGCCGATCTGCGCGATACATGGCAGCTGCTGAACTCCACGGAGAGTGACTACGTTGCGTTTTACAACTGCGGCCCGGATGGCGGATGCAGTCGGCTGCATAAACATCTGCAGGTGATGCCTTTGCCGGCGAACAGTTTTGCGGCATTTCTGGATTCCCCCGGAGAGCCTGAGACCAAGGTTCCATTTCAGTGGTTTTATCGACGCTTTGAGGATGATGTCACTCCCGCTGCGTTGTTCGAAATTTACAAAGACCTGCTAGAGGAGGCTACGAAGGTGTCCGGGGACGATGCAGCGAATGCACCCCCTGGAGCAGTTTGTCCGCATAATGTGATTTTTACTACGAGATGGATAATTGTGCTACCTAGAACACGAGGCGCGATTAATAAGGAGGCTGGGGTGAATTCATTGGGAATGCTCGGGGTGATTGCTGTGGCTACGAAGAAGGAAATTGATACTTGGGTCAAGTTGGGTTTGACGGAATCCCTGGCAGAGCTGGGAGTGCCCAAGGTGACCTAATTGTTTATATTGAAATAGTGACGGGGAAGAGGATATATAGAAGCTAAAGCCACATATTGAAGGTAGAGAATAATATTTCGCTGTTCTATAGAAGGGCCCTGTCAATCTAGGCGGAGTGAAGGTAAGAGTTGTAAAACACATCTACACATATCGCATCCTGTCAGAGCCTAATCAAGCTCCCAACCTTTGCGATCACGCATCCCATTGAACCATTCCTGCACATATGCCAACCCAGCATGAGGACCATAAATTTCCGTTTCCCACTGAGGCAATGGGGCCTCAAGTCCAGTCTCCTGTAGACAAGTTTCACGCAACTGCTCGAGGGTTCCACCGCGGTCATAGATGGAAGACTCAGTAAGCTGGCTACGTTCCATTCGCAACTGGGTCCGCAATGCCTCGGTCTCATCCTCGTTTACAGTGAAATCGTCGTTGACAACGGTACCATACGCAACACGAGCTCCCTCGACCGTGACAAGCTTCCGGTGGACTTCCAGGGCAACCTTTTCTGCCGGACGTGTCAAAGGATCACCCAACCCGCCTCCACCCCAAGTCACCCACTCGAGAAGATCACCCGGGTCAACACGAATATGGTCACACTTGGAAGGCAAAATCTCAGTTGGGGGGCTGTCCTCAGATTTGGAGTACCGGTAGAGGATTTTCCGGGATCGCGTTCCCGGTTTCCCGCCCTTCAGTCCCCATGGCTTGGTGAACCATCGGTCATCGTGAAGACTGAATTCCCCACGGGCCAGGAACCGGTATAGCGTGCGCTGAGCATTACCACCGCGGTAGAATCCGGCGCCACCGCTGTCTGCGACGCTCTCATTTGCTTCAATACGCAGCGGGTAGTTGAGCTCTATTATCTCTGTGGGGATTGACTTGATGGCGGGGAAGAGACAGTGGCAATCAGGGCCGTCACCGGCTTGTCGTGCAGGCACGCCTCCAAATCCAATCTGGTAGAGCTGGTACCACTCCCCGTCTGGCTTAAATCCGGAGTAGAAGAAGTGAGGCGAGTCACTGAATCCAGCGGCAGCCTGGTATGAGTCTTGCTTCTGGCCAATCAGGGCTTGTACAATATCCAAGGTCCGTCCGAGGAAGTGAGTTCGGCATGAGATTGGCGCAGGGCGAACGGGTTTCAGGACTGATCCTTCAGGGATGTACACATCAATCAAATCATGGAATCCGTCATTAATAACCGTGCCCGGGGCAGCGGCTGCAATGAGGTAGTACCCAATGAACATCCGGAACATTGTTTCCGAGAGATAAAAGTTGATACTACGCTCGCTCTGGGGAGAAGTACCACTCCAGTCAAATCGGAGTCGGTTGCCGTCCACCTTTTTCATCGAGCAGGTGAGTGCCCAAGGTCCCACACCATGACCGTCATCATCGACGAAGTCTGTAAATTTGCTTTCCAGATCATCGAATTGGCGCTCTATGATCTTTGCGAATCCATTTCGGTTCCGGTACAGCAGCTCCGAGCATGCAGCCAGGTATACTTCACTTCCGAAACGGGTAGCCAACTCGCGGACTCTGTTGGCAGCCATGGAACATGATGCTACAATAGCAGTCAGGTCAGAGCGATACCATGCCGGTTGGCGGGAGTTTCGACAAAGAAGATCGACCAGATCTTTGTTCATAACGCCACGGGCGTACAGCTTTATGCACGGAATCTGCACACCGTCGTCGAAGACAGATGTCGCATTGATCGACATGCTTCCTGGAACGATACCTCCAACGTCTGTCAAGTGGCCAAATTGCGATGCAAATCCGATGATTCGACCGTTGTGGAAAATGGGCAAAAAGGCGATGATGTCGTTGAGGTGGCTAATGGCACCCTGCACTTCGTAGGTGTCGTTGGTAATAAACACATCGCCTTCCTCGATTGTGCCGTTCCAAACGTCGAGAAACTGTGTGATGAAACTGCCAAACTGACCAACCAGCATTTTGCCCTCGCGGTCAGTTATAACATTGAATTCATCTTGCTGCTCTCGGATGGCAGGGGACATGCTGCATCGTAACATCATTTTGTCCATCTCGCTGCGAATGGAGGCCAGTGTCGAGGATATCAGCGTAGGAATCAATGGAGTGCTCTTGACAAGCTCTTTGGCTGATTCGGCAGTGTGTGTGGTAACGGTTGGAGGTTTCTTTTCCACGGGATTGATCAAAATATTTCCGATGTTATCGATCTCACCATAATAGCCAGGAAGGATGAGTGTATTGCTGTCCATTTCGGAGATAATACACGGACCCATTAGTTGAATGCCCTGCTTACTGATCTTCTGACGATCCCACAGGGTTGCCAATTTTTCTTCGCCTTGGACGATGATATTCTGCTCGCCAATCTTCGCGTCTGGAGGGGGAATTGTCCCTTTTTCAACTTGGGGAATGTCAATACCAGGTGACGCATCTTCTAACACAACTCCCAGTCTCATCAACTCAAGCTCAAAGTCAGGTAAGCAGTAAGTGAACATCTGCTGATGCTGCTGGTCGAACTTTTGTCGCAACACATCATGCCAGTTCTCAGTAGTCAGGGCCAGGTCTTCTTCAGTGATCTCAATTGTTATTAGCAAAGCTTGGCCTTTGTACCGAAGATCTGCTTGATATGATGTTCTCCATGATAAGGGCCACAGATCACCCGCTGTCCTCGACAAGGTATCCCGACACTCTTGCTCAAGGGTTTGATACTGCTCCCGTGCCTCTGAAATAGAGGTTCCGGAGACAATACGGATAAAGGTGGCGGATTGCTCGTGTCTAAGCCTAGTGGTCACATCACCCTGCGCACATAAAATGCCAGGAGAAGGCGGGATGATGACAGGCCAGGCCCCAAGAAGTTGACCCACGGCGTTTGCATGCAGCGGGCCGGCACCACCGAAAGCGACCAGTGCAAATTCACGAGGATCATAGCCCTGCTCCACAGAGACAAGACGCAAGGCACCATACATTGTCTCGTTGATAATCGTGATGATATCCTCGGCTGTTTGGATAACCGGAAGATTCATCTGGTTCGCAATATCCTCGACAGCAGTTATAGCAGCCTGGACATCCAACGCGAACTCGCCACCCAATAATGTTTTCGGCAAATATCCCAGGACCAAGTTCGCATCCGTTACAGTGGCTTGCTTTCCTCCTTTTCCATAGCACGCAGGCCCAGGTACTGCGCCAGCGCTCTCGGGGCCTACCCGCAAGGTCTCCGTGAGCTCCATGTATGTTGTGATTGATCCTCCCCCAGCCCCCACAGTCTTGATGTCAACCGCAGGCGCCCGAACAGAAAGATTCTCTACAACGGTCTCTCGCCGGAGCTACCTAGTCCACCCGGGATTTGGGAGCGGCGCAACGCTAGTATATCCTTATGGCCAGCAGTCACAATTAATGCGGTGCGGGCGCCCTTCCCTTCGAGGACTGCATTGGTTGCGGTCGTCGTGCCATGGTGAATAAATTGGAAAGTTCCCGACCATCCGAACTGCTTAATGAGTATTTCACGGGCCTTCGCGATTCCCTTTTGGATTCCGATACTTTGATCGGGGATGGTTGTTGGAACCTTTGCTCGCACTGTTTGGCCATGCGGGGTGAACACGTAAACATCCGTGAATGTTCCGCCAACGTCAACTCCCAGTTGATAGCCCTTTTCTGCGCGCTCTTGCATGGTGCAGGTTTTGGTATGTTTTGACCTCGATAGATTTGGGGGCGATGCGGGATCAGGAACGTGATCCTAGCAAGAAGTTCAGAATCATTAAAATTTATGGCATTTATTGCCTAAGATCTGAGCGTGGAATTTACCAATAATCGCATTTTGTGTAGGCTAATAAGTCCGCTATCACAAAATGAGGGGATGGAGTGTCATTCATTACCTTGTTCGGACCTGTGGGGCGCACATTGCCAATGAGGTTGTTCATGGATGGTGGATTTATATGCAACTAGTCAGGTTTCTACAGCTAGGAGGGGTTAGTTTCCCTTGAAAGAGTTCACTGATAGATGATCATAGACGTATACTGAACATAGAGCTGTTTTATCGTTTTAGATAATTACATATAATCCAATGTCCGCTTCATGCGCTATTTATATACCTACATAAATTCTGCCTCGCTTTCAGCCTTGCTATTTTAATTGGCTATTCATGTCGGACCTCAGGCTGTGTTGCTTACCAGCATGTGCTCCTCTCTTTCTCATCTTTCCTTTCTTTTAAATCAGTTCTTGTTAGTATTTAGTATTACTCTCTGTTTAATATCCCAAAGCGTTTCCCTCTGAAAAACTCAACTCCCATCACCACTCCGGTTACCACTTCCCACCCCCTTCAGAACATCCTTGATTCTGTATCGACCGTATATCTCAAATTTAATCCCTCAAATATACGGGGGTTTCCTCTGGCTACATTGCTAGAGGTACACTACATGCACATTTGGCAACAGTAGTATTCTCACATGAGGATTCTCCTATTTATCTAACATGGCAGAGATAAGCGACCACAATATCAGCCCAGTGGTGGATATTTCTGCAGCCGGTGATATCATTCTAGTCGTTGGACCCGAAAAGTTGACATTGCGTGTCGAGTCTCTGATTCTGAAGGCGGCCTCGAAACCGTTCTCTGTCATGTTGGGGCCAAATTGGAAAGAAGGCCGTCATATGCTTGCCGATATCCCAGTGGAGATATTACTACCTGAAGACGATCCAGTTGCAATGAAGTATATCTGTGCTATTACCCATCACCAGAACAAAATGGTGCCTAAATCCATGGCCGTGCACGATATTCTTGGGGTTGCCATCACGGCGGATAAGTACGATCTTACTGATACTCTGACATTCGCAAGCGGGACTTGGCTTCAACCTCACAACAAAAAACCCGTTGAACTGATGGTCCTTGCGGCTGCAGCATTCTTATTTCAAGATGTGCAAGCATTTAAGGCGATTACCAAAGCACTAGTGCTCAACTATCATGGTTCCTATCTTACTCTTTTGAGCGAAGGCGTTGAGTCCGCGATGAGCTGGAGAGTACTCTGTAAGCATCTTCGACTAAGATAGCTAGCTCTCGATAGGACTGACTGGTCACATAGGTTTTCTAGAAGAACAAAGAAGCTTTGCGAGATTGAAACTAGGGGAAATACTCCTCAAAGGGATCGAAACAGGAGGATGTTACCACAAGTGCGGGTGGTCGAGCAAATACGCATACGCCTATCTACAGTTACTCGAATCGAATAACCTTTGGCCGACCGGCTTGGTCGGTATATCTGACGCAATAGAGCGAGCAGAGAGGATGCCTGACCCAGTTCCTAAGGAAGCGAGTGTTGATTGCACGTATGGGTACAAGCATGCTGTGCCAGAGTATAGAACTGATCGTCGTTGGGGGTTAGACAACCTGAGAAGTCGCTGTGGGCTTTGTCTACACTGTGTGAGGTCGGGTAAAACAGACTCAGCCTACTGTGGAATCACACATGAGCACTAGCCTTTGTTGCATTGGACCGAGGATGGAGGCCCATTGCTTGGTTGATCTTTTTCTTTCTGGGATATTGAAATCTTGCAGGGGGTTTGAACGTACAGTATATGTGTGTGAAATGATTTATCCCGATCCATCGCTGAGACGAAGCCCTGACTTGAAATAAAAGTGTGATGATCAATTTCTATTGATTCGATTCCATGTTCTACGATCGACTCTGCGATTTTGGAGTTGATTCGTTCAACCTTGATGCCTGCGGTAGTATTGGCCAAAGAATTGATTAGACGTCTTCTTGGCTGTGTCATATTGCTAGGTTCTTGGTTGGGAACTTGCAGTAGATCGCCTCGCGCAGTTAGGTGAATTACTATTGAAGTAGCTGGTCTTTAGTGAATCGGGAGCTACACCATTTCCATATACGCGCATTTCAAAGCAGTATTTGGAAGATAGTTTTATGAGATAGGGAGGGATATACTATTGAAAGAGATGAATTTTGGTTTTGTTGAAATGTCAAATGTAGAAGTACTACCATGCTTCATGGCCAGCTTTCCCATGTCATTTCACCCAGTAACCTCCCTTAGCTAAAGAGGCGAATGGTCGGCAATTGGATAATCAGGGTTTACTTTCTTATCCGCGTTACTGCCAGCTGGGATGGAGATAAAATGGTATGAAACATTGTATTGAAGAATCCTGCAAAAGTGAAGAATTCCGCAGGGATAATCTATATCATCCAACAATATCACCCCAAAACATTGCATATGGATAGTCAAACAAGTCTTTTAAGTCAATTCCTAGTAATTCGAGGTCCTCAATGCGGTAGCTTGGATCGTCGATAGAAGGAATGAATAACTGATCGTTTTCACTTAACAAGGTCGGATCACCCAGTGGCATGGCCCCGGGATCGAGTGACAGCTGCTCCTGTAGCCCAGACAGTGTTTCAGCTGGTTGATTTGATGCTGGTACACCAGTGGTGGGAAACACTGCAGTGGGTGGATGTATCTCTGTTGCTCCAGCCGGCATGTTAGGTGGAATATCGCAAGAAGCATCACCAACGTCCATGTCGATCGTTTTTTGTTTGCATTCCCTCTTCTCGAATACATATTGGCGTGCAAGATGTGCGAACTGTGCAACTAACGAGCCAGGCAAAGTGCCATTGCTGGCGAATTCTAGCCGACTGAAATGTCCACTGGCAATATCGAGGAGTGCAAGACTGAGGCTAGCCTCAGGGTGGTCTGGGTTGTGGACTACTAGATCGAAGAGAATCATCAAACATGACAGAGGCAACACCGCAAGCATCCTAGATATTGGCTGTTAGTGACTCTTGTGATCTGTATTCCCTCTTTTCGATGAGATATGATTGAGGAAAGGTGTCTTCCTTCGACAACTTACCAAACAGGAGTGTAGGGGGCAACTTCAATGAATTTAGTTAGTTCCAAAACAGAGCGTGCAGTTCGCATCAGCCCTCGTTTCAAGTCAAGCTGTCGCATGGGCTCCAGCTTGATCGCACTGAAATGTAACAGGGTCCAAGATAGAGTCAGCAGCGCGTGAAAATACAAATAATTCGTCATCAGCGCGATCGTCTGAGCGAGTGGCTCACGCAGGAGACGAGGCTTGAGCGGCTCTCCCGCGCGAAAGCGCCCAGGAGCAGAAATACGCCAAGTCTCTAATTCTGTTAGAAAGCCCTGCACCTTGGAATTGTATTCGGCGGCTGGTTGATTCACAGAGCTTATTGTGAATAGACTGCTATGAATTTTGGACACCAGACGGGCGTATTGCAGAAAGCTGAACCCCCAATCATAGTCGCCAAAGGTGGATTCTTGGACGTCTGGAATGGCACAGCTGATATTTGAGTCTTGGAGGACCTGGAATCTTCGTATCAGTGGCGTTCTGGTTCTATATTAATATCAAAAACATACCGAGACCTTTCCTGTTATAAAGCAAGAGACCTTCTCCATAAAGTATAGTACCCAAAAGGTACGTCTTTGCGTATCTTCGTGTGGGCCATTCGAGCGGTTATATCCCAGGCCTTGTGCCATTACTGCAGCCTCTGAGAGCATCAACGGCTCAAGTTGAAAGGCGGATGCGGTAGTAGAGAAGATAGCCTAATATATTAGCAAGATCCTTGTTTCAAAGATGATATATAACTATACCATAGCCATGAGAGCCTATAATAGAATACATAGTCAGTGTTTGAAAAACCATTTAATATTTAGGGCAATATACCTGAACTGCCGTGAGCGAACCACGAAAAAATATGAGATCCTGAAAATAAGACAGTGATCGTTCAAAGTACGACCATGCCTCACCAACGCCCGCCTCGTAGCTACCACCATCATTATACTGGCAACCGATTGCTACAACCGCATAAAAAAGCGCGGCAAAGGTTTTGTCAGTTGCGAGGAAATGCAAAAGGTCTGGGGAGGTCGCCTGGCGTTGGAATGTGGTAGCGCAGAGGAAAGGATATAAGGGATGAACCATCTCAAAATAAACTGACATGAAAAGTTTAATTAGTAGAAGCGCCACAAAAATGGGATTGATAAACGAACCAAGTATATGTGCATCCAGGCACTCGCGAGGAGGGAGATTATGAGCATTCTGTAAGTGGTATTCCTTCGGAATTTGGGAGCGAGGGATCGAACTAGTCGCCTTCACCTTGGCTGCGACAATATCGCGAATATCTGCAAGTAGCTGCTCTAATCTGTCGTGGCCGAGCCTTTCGTTGATAGAGCGGACTCTCTTGGCAGGGAAAAAAGAGATGTTGGGGTTCGGCCCATATATAGCCGTCAACTAGAAAAATTGGTATGGTCAGCTAGAGCCAGTAAAGTCCGGGGAAATGAAATGTTCTAACTTGATCTGGATGTTTCGCGCTCATGGAGATACGCGAAGCTTGCCGATCGGCCAACAACGAGTCGATGTACAGTTTCTTGGGAACAAACTCCAGCGAGTCTGTCCCATTCAGCTCAGGCCTGGGTCTTATCGGTGAGTCTTCTATATTTTCTTTATGAGCGAAGTCTTAGGTTTTCTTCAAGCACTTTACCTGACTGGGCCAGCTTGCGTTTTTGACGCTTTTTCACAACGCTAAAGCAGCATGGTTTATTGCGAGACTTCACACATTTGTTATTCCTCACGAGCCACCTCAATAGTAGTCAAATAGGCCTACCAGACAAAATTCACATGTATCCGCGGTGCTCATCTCTGTTTCCGATATCAGCGGGGCCATCAATTGAACACAGCACGGCACTTACTGCACCGAGCCTTCCGAGCCCGACATGCATCACAGGCCTGATTCAATGGTTCCGACATGGCAAAGGTAAAGTTGCTGGGAAGTGACAGGGCGCCGAAGACGTTGCTTAAAGCCGTTCTGTTCTGATGATTTCATCTTCGGCGCCGAAGTGGGTCCCATTTTACTCAGCAAAAGCTCCACATCGGCGCCGAAAATGAGGCGACACGGGACTATCGACGAGAGATGTCCTCCGTTATATATACAAATTTAGTAAATGAGTCCCCCTTAATGGATGAATTGTGCAAAATGGCGTAGAAAATAATTGATCTTCCGAAAAGAGCCAAAGAAAAAAACGGTATATAGAGACTCTGCCGGAGACAATGACGATGCCTCCGCTGCTATCTATCTATTTTCCTCTACGCAGACTTTTTCTTTACTTTCTTTTGGTTTTCCAATATCCAGGCTCCTCCATTTTCTCTATACATTGAACCCGGAATGACATCCCAGCGCCGGTCATTTCAGACCGAGATTTGGAGTATTGCGTCTGCCCAGGACCAAAGAGCATGGCCAGGCTCAACATACTACTCACATGTGTGGAGGTTATTTTTTCCCAAGGAATTTGTCTATGGGAACGCCTTGTGCTGACGAAATAACCTGTACTACTAGTAACTTTGGCATTCTTGTTGGATTTACCATTTTTTTCATGACGGCCTATCTATTGGCGGCCGAATACATTACCGCTCATCCTCGAATTTGGGAGATTCTTGTTTTTAGATGCAAGCATCTGTCTACTTCACGAAATAGGCAGTCAAAAACAAGTGAAGAATCTTCAGCACAAAACAGTTCTGGGGCTCTTGCCCTGCGTAAGAAGCCCGAGCAAGGAGGTGCCGATGGAGAAAGAGCTGTTGGCATCCAACATACAAATGTTCTCTATAAGACTAAGGTCGACTATTTACTGTAAGATCTTCCTCTGACAAGTTTATTCAACTCCGGCCTTTTTCAATTTTCTTTCTGTATTCTTCACCATGAATTACCCAGATATAAAGAAGTCTTTGAAACAAAAGAAGAGCATAAATCATTTTTCACTATACATACACAAGTTCATGTCTAACTCAACCCCAGATCATCATCTCAACTCAAAATCAAGATCGAAACAAAATTCCAAATAGCCTGGCCGCCCTCGAAATCAAGTCAACGACTCCGACTCAGCCCCAAATTACTCCTTCAAATCCAACAACTACCACCAAATCACCGACCAGTGCCCGTGCTAGAAGTCTGGCAGCCACCACTCCGCAAATCAAAATTAACAAGAGGTTTCCTGCAGCCCCTCAAGCTGGGCACGAGGGATATATACGCAACACTCCTTGAGCCGTATATCACCAACAGTGAGCAGCTACAGAAACAGGGTCATTCCCAAGACAGAGAAGCACCAGAAAGCAGCCACTGTAATGCCCCAAGAAAGGATATCATCGCTGCAATATGCCACCCGCCCAGCAATGACAACCTAACATCAGAAATTCACTTCCGCAACGCACGATGCATCTGGCAGGCCAGTGCTAGCTCAACAGGACCTGAGCAAAGTACACAGTGCTACAGATTTATTATCAAGAATGAAGAACATATGACGGACTCCGAGCAGTGCCAGATGATCCTTCAGTGGGAGAAACGGGTCCCCTCTACGAGTGAGACACCTCGGTTTCGACATACCGAACACTTCGTTCTTGTGGCAATTGATCGCAGGACACGTCGTAAGAGTAGGATTGCGATTATGAATCGGGGCGGATTTGAGATTACTGTTCGGGAGAGATTGATATTGGATCATCCTCGCTCTTGTTTGGCGTTCCCAGATCCTGTTTCTGCTGATGGGGGCAGTCTAGACCCTTGTGCGGATTTGGAGACTTGGTTGTATACTCATGTGTTGACGTTGGGTATTTGGGTGGCTTCTCAAGAAGGGTGGTTGGCTTGATTGTTTTTAGTTTAAATCTTTGATACACTTTGCATTGCTTCCCTCACTATCCCCTCTTCATATTTTTCCTATTCGTGATCCCTATCATCACCATCTCGATAAATTATAGATTGCCTTTTTATATAAATAAAATATAAAAAGGTTTCTCTATTGCAACTCCCGGTACATGGCCTATGGCCAGTAATAAATGCGCAACACTAAAGAACGAATATATCGGTAGGGTATGGGTTATAAGGGGGATGTGCTGCCCTTGGCTTCAGGAAGTATGCGCGAGAGGCTTACCAGCCAAGTGCGGGAACACGCACACTATGTAGCAATCGGATGGTAAAAAATGGTAATTAATATTAGCCAGGATGCAATTCGCAATAGAAATTAGAAAAAAGAATTCTGAATAAAATTTGTTTAAATGAACAAAGAGTAGTGCAAGGGAACAAGAAAAAAAACCTCTAGCTAACACTCAATCTATAAGCACCCATTGTAATCCGTACATAGCTATCTTTCACTGCGCTTTCTTCCATGAAAGGTACTTGGAAGCTTTTTGCGCCCAAACTGCCACATGCGACAGACCCGGGCTACCACGGACCCGCACATACCAGTAAAGGATCAATGTAGCAATCACATTAAAAGCCACATACACCCAAATCAAGCCAAAGTTCCTCCAGCGGTCACTGTAGGAAGATGAAACCGATTGCAAAAACACATTAGAGTCGACAATGGCGCAGAATCGACAATCAGATGTGGCATCAGGATTGTATACCGCACCTCCAGCAATCTTCATATATGCCCCTAGATAGCTTCCACAGGTTTGCCCGCTAGGTGGCTGAACTAGGGTAGTCTCAATGTCTGAGCATTGCACATCGATATTGGCGAGTCCACTGGACATCATTCCGCTAATGATGTAGGTCAGGGGAGAGGCACGGTACATGAAAATCCAGAAGCCAGGTAGGCTTGCTGGGGTTGCCATGACTCCGCAGAATATCAGGCAAAACACGAACAGAAGCAGTGCTAGAATTGCCCCGATCTCTGCTGTGGAGGCACTAGCTACTACCATCGTCGTAAATGTACCGCAGTGCATGAGGAAGCCCCAGATAAGGAGAAACATCAAGCCGCCTCTCTCGGTTGTTTGATGGGATAGTGCAGCATTGTGATTCATGCCAATCAGGTAGTAGAATGGAATAAAAGTGACCAATGCAGCCAGTGAGTTCCACGGTATCTCGACCATGATCTGGGCTAGTATGAAGGTTATCCAGGAGTAGGTCTTGGATGGACGCTCCCGGACTTCATAAAGGTCACGTTGCAGGATGTAATTTGGCATCTGTTGATATGCCAAGAATGGGAAGATAACGAGAAGCATGAAAACGGCGAACATTTGGTGCTGTAGTCCCAGCTCGGTAATTTCTGTCTGTAGGAAGGAAAGTCCAATAAACAAAGCCTGGACCAAAGGTAGCAGATTAGCATACTAACTCTCCTGGAACCTAAAAGCTCATTGGACTTACAGTGACAAAACACATGATCAATTTCGAATAAATGTAAGAAGGAGTTCTCCAGTATTGCTCAAAAACCCGCTTTGTACAGGTCCAGAGCTGGACATGGAAGGGACTGGCAAACTGGAGGGAGGGATCGGCAGAAGAAGTAGTCTCCAAACTATCTTTGTGCTCTAAGGAGATCAGTTCCTCTTTGACACTGGCGTATTCCTGACTACCGAGCCAGGTGGCTGGCCAATCAATCTTTGTCGCGCTGCCCGGGGCAGCGCCAATAACACGGAGCATCCATTCTGCGGGATTATCACTTTCTTCGCAATCATCCGCTCCATGACGCTCGAAATACTCGGTCATTGTCTTTGAGTTCTCACCGATATCGCCAAAGTAAACTGTGCGACCACCAGACGCGAGAAGAAGCAGACGGTCAAATTGTTGGAAGAGCATTGCTGAGGGCTGATGAATCGTGCAGAGAATGGCTTGCCCATGGTCTGTGAGTTTCCGCAGAAGGAGCAAAATTGACCATGCAGTCTGGCTATCGAGTCCGGACGTTGGTTCGTCAAGGAAGAACAAAAGATCGGGCTTCGCTGCTAGCTCCACACCGATCGTCAGTCGCTTCCTCTGCTCGACATTCAGCCCTTCGCCTGGAACGCCAACGATAGCGTCGGCGTAACTTCTCATTTCAAGCAGATCCAGAATTTCCTCGACACTTTGGAGCTTCTCAGCCTTGCTGACATGCGCAAGCTGTCTCAAGAAAGCACTGAATTCCAATGCTTCTCTGATAGTGGCAGTCTCCAAATGCAGATCTTGCTGCTGAACATACCCAATTCGACGTTGGAAAGAGGCATCTCGGGGAAGACCGTTGTTGTAAATTCCACCCGTCACGACCCCCATGGTCACTCGATTGGCTAGTACATCCAGCAATGTAGTTTTGCCTGCACCCGATGCGCCCTGCACTATATCAGCCTTCGCTTCAATTGGGATGTTATTCAAATATGATAGCCAGGCTTACCATCAGAGCCTTCAGTTTTCCTGGCTTGACCCAGCCGTTAACATGATCGGTGATTCTTCTCGTTTGACCTTTGATTGTAATATCATAGCAAAGATCTCGCCAATGGAAAATGTTTTTTTGCGCCGTGATGCCATTCGATGCCTCTCCGTTGGTTTCATCTTGCTTGTATTCCTCGTGTGATGCTGGAGATCCGACTTCAAGATCCGTTCTTTGCTTCTTTTTCATAGCAGAGAAATGCCGGCGCTGGAAAATAAGAATCTCTCCTTTACCTACGTCTGAGCTGATGTACTCAGCTGACAGTAGATAGACAATCATGAAGAATATCATGAAAGCAACAAGGATACCAAAGTTCCTATATGTCTCATGTCAGATAAGGATTAACTCGTAATAGAAAAGAACGTACCTCCACACGTGTGAGTAATAATACCCATAGCTCATAGCAATATAGAGATCTCCGTTGACCACAGATGACCCAGCCGAAGCACCAACCACTGCACACGTCCGATCCGCAGCAGTTATGTTCTGATACATAGGTCCAGCTGGTATAAAATTTGCACATTCGAAGTTGCGGCCATGGAATTCGTTTGCAATCAGCGCCTCGTAGGAATATGCAAGAGGGTTAATGTAATTAAGCCATCGCAACCAACCTTGCATGTTGCGGATGGGTAAGATGAAGCCTGTGTATAGAACCATAGCAATGACCATCAATGCCGCTGGCGTCAAGGCTTCCGCAATTGTTCGAGTTGTTTGGCCGATCGTGCGAAAGATCATTGACATGACAAGGGTTGAGGAAAAGGCAATTAGCAAGTATGTGATGACGTGGCCCGGTTCGGTTCGCAAATTTCCCATGTAATACAGTGGGATATTGAATGCGATTGTGGATATCATTTTGGAGGGAAGGTCACAGATCATAGATGCCATTGCTTCGGACAATGGATGGTAGAAAGCATAGGTGGCATGCTTTTCGACGATTTGGCGCTGTGCATACAGTGATAAAATCTGTCAAGCCCTGTCAGTTGTACGTCTCAATTTTTAATTGAGCTGAAACTGACGTACCTCCAAAGAACTGTTGAGAGCATTAAATAGCAGCGCAAAAAACAAAAGAATGCAACGACTCTGGAAACTGGCGCTTGTATCCTGTAGCATGTAGAAAACACTGCCTAGAAGCAATGAAATCACCAAGTTTCCACCGACCGTGATGATAAAGAAAGTCATGTCGCCTTGAATTCGGCGGAATCCCCTGCGGATGCAGAGAAGTACCTGCAATGGGACTGAAATTGTGTATGGCGAGTTCGGTGTCCTGAACCTGTCAGTTTCTTTATACACATAGTTTTCATGCGTCAAAGAGAAGGACTTACATCCAAGAAGCCTTTTCAGCTTGCCGGGATTCTTTGAAACTCTCAACTGCCGGCCCTCCCACTAGATGTTCATTGTGAAATTCCGCGAGATCCCGCATTAGCTCCTTGTAAAGTGCACTTTCTTCCCACGCCTTTGCAAAGTCATCCGGAGATCGGGGCACTTGAGCTTCAAATCCAGATCTCACTACCCGTTCAACCGGATTCGTGAGAGAAGTCAGGAAATCCGGAGTTGTCTGTCGGTCTGGGCAGTGGTAGCCAAGATTCACGAAGTAATCTTTGGCCAGATGAACAGGTCCATAATAAATCTGTCGACCCTCGTATAGCACGGCAACTTTGTCAAAAGTCTGCCCATGTGAAATCAGTGTATATTCGCTAGAATGATAGAGCAAGTCACAACAAGCCATACCTCATAAGATTGTTGGGAAGCCTGATATAAGGCTACAACTGTTGCCATGTTTGTGATGTCTGCTGACAAGCGTAGAGTCTGGACAAACTTCAATGCAGTGGCACTATCCAATCCTCGTGTGCTATTATCCCAGCATTGGATTGGACTTTGTGCCAAGCAAACCTCGGCTATGCTGACTCTCTTTCGCTCACCACCACTAACACCACGGACAAAGTCATTGCCAACTTTGGTGTTCATTGTATGCGAAAGACCAAAGACTGCCATGGTGACATCCCGGATGTGTCTGGCATATTCATCCCGAGACACACCGGGAAGCCGGTTTTGAGGAGTCTTCGCTAAAGCCGCATACAGAAGCGTTTGGCCAACAGTCAGATTTGGGAAATGGGTGTCAGTCTCAGCCTGGTAAATAACATCCCCACGGAATTCTCCTCGGAACTTCTTGCGGGGAATGCCTTGGAGAATATGTAAGCATCGAATGTGGCCGAGGGGGTAATGTACAAACCTTGATAGTTAAATTCCGAAGCTTCGTCCAAAAAAAGACCTTTTGTTTGTCCTGCGACTGTCTTGAGGAAGGTTGACACTCCACTGTAACAAGTTTCAAGTCAGCAGGTTTTCTCGTGGCCAAAGATTGAGCGAGTCGGTATATCTTACCTGCCTGGCCGCCCCAGGACAAGAAGCATCTCGCCATTTCGGAGTACACCGTTGTGGTTGCGCAGGATTTGGATTTTCTGATCTTTGCGATTGATGAGACCAGTCACGATGTCCGCCAGTTGTAGAAAAACGTTTAGGAAGTCCTTCTGATAGCTGACTGGGCTGCCAAATCCGTGAACACCGAGATTACGGAAAGAAAACCCTGCCTTTCGGGGTAGATAGCGCTCTGGGTCTTGAGAATTCAGATGAAGGACTGTTTCCACCCATTTTTTGGGGCTAAATTCTTTGGAGAACGGGTCAAGCTTGGGGTCGTTGGAGCCCTTAAAGGGATTGGACACTGCTCCGTGCACCCCCGTCTTGGTTGAGGCATTCGTTAGCTGCCTAGCGAGAATTCCAATTTTCACCCTGTCCTCCTCCGGGATACCTGTAGAGTCTCTCTCCTTCTCGAAGACCGGGTCGAGTTGCTTTGTTGTGCCAGACCATGCCCGTTCATCCTGTGCAGATGCTGTGGACCAGGTCTCGGAGCCGACTATCTCAGCCTCAGACGACATTTAAGTATAATTCACAGTAAGACTATAATTCACAGTAAGACGATGAAGTTGATGAGGGTTGAAAATGTAGAAAAGGATACAAAAGAAATGAATGAATGAAGGCCTGATTAAAAGGTTCTGGTAACGAAAGAACACAGAAAGATACCACCAAAGGAACATTTTTATGGCCTGCAGCAGACTTTATATATTAATTTCTTCTGTTTGATTAGGTGTATACTGATATGAGTAGTCCTCCGTAAGTCTAGGTCTGCTTCGGCGCCGATGTGGGTCAACCGTGAGGCTTTATATAACTGGTTCCCAACTACCTATGGACGGCGCCGAAGTGGGTCAATCATTAGATCTCTGGATCTCTCCTTGGGCGGCTAGAGAATTGTAGGCGTTTTTTAGTTCTCCATTGTTACTGTTCGACATTTGCGGCGGCATGACGGAAACATTATAAAAGGCCTACGCGATCCGTCGGTGCGATCAATCGCCGGGCCCACTAATATCGGAGCTACCTAAGACCTCCTAACCCGGTACATTAGAGCGTGATCTGGATTTTATTAATACACCCCTGTACATTGACTCCTTATTAATAGATCAACAAGCTTCGCACACTTGAAGAGGCCCTAAGCATCCTGAGTGATACTACTAAAGCCCAAGTTTGGATGCCTTTGACTAACCGTAATAACCTCGATGGCTAACAGCCCTCTTTGGTCTGAACCTAACTTTTTCTTCCTTTTCCCAACAGAGAGAGCTCACTCTATCATTCGATGACTGGAACAGGGGACCAATCACACTTCATCCTTCAAATAGGGCGAATTCCCTAGAAGATTCTTTTTTGCCAATATATATATATATATATATACATATATATAAATGTACATACGCACACACATCAACTCACCAATATTAATAGTTTTGAGATAATGCACCAAGTTTTTGGCCGGGGCTTCATGGCTGTATGAACCCTAGTGCCAGTGGCCGAGCGACCACATAATATCTGAGTAACTTATGCGTGGTATTGACGCTAAAGAGCTTAATCCTTGCAGCTACTATTAGGGGGATTAGTTTTCGTGGCATCAGAATATTAGAATACCAGTACCTTGTCTTGTTTGTGTTGGATCGTCCCATAGATGCTTGTTTATTAGCAGACTAAGCAGTTCTTTTGCTAGCCTCAGGGTATAAATACCCCGCTTTTGCCAAATTCTTCTTCTTCTTCTGCCCTCTCCGATCCTTGGTTGTTGTAGCCATAAGAGTCTATTTGTACTTCACCTTCTCTCCCTCTCTCTTGTTAACACACATATTGAAACTAGGATATTCTTATCTCCTATCTTTTCAGGGATACTTTCCTTGTCTATTAACACAATATATTGCTTAGCCTACCCTATCTTCCATCACTTCCCAAACCTGTTAAATAGTCTGCTCTGCTCAATATCAATCCAAAATATGGCATCCTCTCGGGTAGCGGAGATTTTTCAGGGGGACTTTGATGACATCGAAGCAACAAGTGTCTCCATCAGCGATGTGAAACATCTCTCTTCATATAATTGGATCAAGGCGCGAACTCCAATCATTGCTGTGCCAGGCACTCCAGCTCGTTGGTCTCCCCCGAAAGGCCCTCAGCAAGTCAAAATGGACTCTGGGTTATACTTCATTGCCGAGAACGCCGTTCGTCATCCGAAAAGTCCCTTGGAACCTTTGTTTCGGGCACTCTACCTCGAAAATCCTTCCTTTGATATTCGTTCAATTGATGTTGTCGCCGACCGGAACACTATCAGACAGCTACTTTCGTTCATAAATCCTGGTCTGGATAAAAGTCAAAGCTTCACGATTCATGTTGAAGTAGTCAAGAATACGGTGATTCTCTGTCGTGTGGGCAAACCAAAACTTCAATTCATCAAGCCTGGCATGCCCAGTGGTTTCGGACACAATTTTGAGAAAAGGTACACGGCTCATCGAGTAAAGGGTAGCAGCAGTCACTACAGAATCATCTCTTATAACTTCGGGGCTCTGAAATTCCTAATCCGTCATGAGACAGACGGATACGTTGCGGTTAATACAGCTGGGTCTTCGACAGCTGTCAGCCAATCAACATATGATGGCCTTTCAAGCAAGATGAAATCAGTATCTTTATCTCAGCCCAACGTCTCTCTTCATACCACTCCTGCAGGACTATCGATCAGAAAAGACGGCAAAGCAGTGCCATTAGCTTCAACCCTTGAGATAAAAACACGAACCATCAAAAGAGTTCTTGCAATGAAAGATGTCGCAGCGCAATTGTGGATTTCACAAACTCCCAAACTTGTGCGAGCCTACCATGCTGAAGGGAACTTCCAGCCGCCCAAGGTCGAGGATGTGGCAGCTGCCGTAAAGAGCTGGGAAGACCTTCATCAAGTTGATTTGAGAAAGCTAGCTGCATTAATCCATAAGGTCATCGAAGTTACAAAGGGCTGTGGTGGGGCTGCCACAATCGAAAGACGGGGCCGAGGCACGAAGTTGACCATTGACAGGGCAAATAGAGAGAGAATGCTACCTATGGATCTGTATTCTAAGTGGGATGAAGAGAAGCAAGAGCTGGAACCGGAAAAGAGCTAGGATGCTACGGCTTGAGATTCCTTGATATCGCTGCTAGCATGAATTGGTTTCAAGGTTCTAAGCAGCTAAGATTTCTTGATCTTTTCTCGATCTTTTCTCACTTACTTCCACTGTCTGACTTCGCCACCAACGCCCGTAAAGTGATCGATTGAGAATAATATCAGGAGCATTCCCTGGTGGGACTTGACTAGGATACCCGCAGTAGGGGATGTCTACTTGTGAGATCTCTCATGGACTCGCCATGGAACTAATCTTACAACCATTCAATATCGTTGCCTTTCTACTATATATACTAAGCACTACATATGGGGTCGCACCAAGCCCAAAATGACCGAGCAAAACTCGGACCCACGGTCCAGCAAGCGACATATACACCACATTTTAGACCGCCTAGCTTTCCGTTTCGGTTTCAGTGCTCACTTGTTGCCGATTTTTAGATCACCGAGTGAAGCTGAGAATTACAGAATGATCAAACAGGCGTCGTGAGATTGACCAGTTCAGTCGGGAGATGTTCTCTAAGAAATGCCCGGATCGCAATTAGGGGCACCCCATGACGCATCGCCGTGGCATCATCCCATGAGGAATGTAGGCCCAGCAGGGCACCATCCAACCTCCGTAAGAGCGGTGCGCCAGAATGGCCCCAGTAGGTCCAGGCGTTGTGTTTCAGAGTGCCAATATCTGAGTTGTCCTGTGGGTCTGCACCGGCTACTATGCCACATAGTCGACCCCGAGAGAGTTCGACTAAATCATAGGTCGTCTTACGCGGAGAGACCGACTCTAGGTTATCTGCCCCCGGTTGCCCGATGCAAAATATTGGAGAAGATGTAGACAGTGACTCAGCGACGGGGACACAGGCGAAAATGGGGTTCACCAAGCCTTTGCACTGTTCATCGAGGATCTCAACGCAGACAATTTTAGCCAAAGCTAGATCACGGCGCTCATCCCACACCCGACATTCGACCTGAACAGCGAGTCCATTGTAATAGAGAAGCCATTTCAGGCGCTCGGCTTTCCACTCTTCAGCGGTCTCGCCGAAACAGTGCGCACAGGTCAAAATCCAGCCGCGCGAGTCGACACATACGGCGGTCCCAGCTTCATGCTGAGCAAAAATCAGTGTCGATGCTAGTGCTCGTGCTGCGTGGCAGCTCACGTTCAAAGTAGCTTTTGCGGTCAACAAAGCTGATTCCCGTAGTCGGTTCTGTTTTTTACGCAGAATTCGCAGATCGCACCCGTTCAGCCCTGGGAGACGTGCTAGCCTTCGGATAATGACTGGCTCGACAGGGATCGACGCGCACGCGATGAACCGGACCGGTTCATGGATCTCATCCTGGAGGCTGAGCTCATCTATTTCAGACGCAGGGGGCTCCTTGCGGCCCGATCGCAGCTGTCGGGTCATCGTTTTCCCTCGCTGTCGATGCTCGTGTTTTTGTTTATATCGATGGACACCTATGGACCTGGAAAAGCTAATAGCTGACCAAACATACCCTAAGCCCGATGTTCACAAAGGCTTAGCTCTATTCAAACAGCAAACTCCTAGGGCCTGAGCGTTCATTGGGTAATCATTATGTGCTGTGAAATACTCAGCGAAGAGCCCTGGAGGTCTAGGGCTGGGTACGCCAGGAATTTGAGGGGGTCGATTTAATCCCGAGATCAAAAAGCGGTAAAAGATGAGCACTAAAATGGAACGAGTGCCAGGCATCCATCGGATTTTATAGATGCTAGTGACGCTAAGCCCAAACTAGACAAGGGCGCTTCCTTAAATATTTAGAGGCAGGCGGTCTAGGGTGGCATATCAGCGATAAGAGATGCTGTTCGGCCAAGCCAGCGCTGGAGATCCGAAAGTTGGAACATCTTCTCCACCTGGAGATGGTACCGTGAACAAGGATTTTCGACAGCCGCTGACATGGTGCTCCAACAAAGTGAGTGATTCTATCTCGAAGCTTCTGAATTGGTATGCTAATAACAATCCAGATGAGCCCGCGCCATTCGCGCCTCAGTCCTCGTACGCCCTCTACCAGTGTAGTGAACTATAAGATCTTGCTAACAGCTTCTTAGCTTGTCGTTTACCCAAGGATTTCTTCTCGGTCAGCTCTCAGTGGTACTCCTGATTGGTGCTTTCATCAAGTTCTTCATCTTTGGTGAAGCGCCACCCCCTCCGTCCCGGGGCATGTCAAACCGCACAACGCACCGCCGCTACAGCTCGGTCTATAACCCGCCTCAAGATGGCCAAAAATCATTACGAGAAAAACCGTCCACGTCGAATGTTCTTCGTCCAGTACCTTCTACCTCTACAAACACCCGCTCCATCCTCCGCAAAACCTACTACAGTGCCATTCCTACCAACCCTACTAGCAAACATGGCCGACACCGTATGCATCACTCCTCGCATCAACCCGAATCGCTGGACTGGTTCAATGTGCTTATTGCACAAACAATTGCGCAGTACAGGGAGACGGCCTATTCCCTCAAGGACTCACCCACTTCATCAATCCTCAGTTCCCTAACGGCGGCCATGAACAACCCGGAGAAGAAACCTTCTTTCATTGACAAGATTAATGTCACCGATATCTCCCTAGGCGAAGAATTTCCCATTTTCAGCAATTGCCGCATCATCGCTGTTGACGACCCCATGTCGGATGGTGGACGGCTACAGGCGCTACTGGATGTCGACCTTAGCGACGACAACCTTTCTATTGCGGTTGAGACATCCATGGTTTTGAACTACCCCAAACCGCGCTCTGCCATCATCCCAGTAGCGCTATCAGTCTCGGTCGTGAGATTTTCAGGAACGCTTTGTATATCCTTGATCCCAGCATCGACCGAACCGCCAGAACCACTTCAAACACCTGACAGATCACCAGCACCCCCCACATCAGACCCAAGGGACAACTCAGGGAATCGACCCTCTGGTCCCGGAGAGCACACAACCTCCCAAGATCACCTCCCACCAAAAAGCAGCCCGAAAAGCAATGTCGCATTTTCTTTCCTCCCAGATTACCGCCTAGACCTCTCCGTGCGCTCACTCATCGGATCCCGCAGCCGACTGCAGGATGTACCAAAGATAGCTCAGCTCGTCGAAGCGCGAGTCCACGCGTGGTTTGAGGAGCGCGTCGTCGAACCTCGAGTGCAGGTCGTCGGACTTCCAGACCTGTGGCCGCGCATGGGCAGGACAGGCGTTCGGACTGGCGATGACTCGGATGCTGGGTCAACGGCACCACCGCGCAGCGCTGGTTCTACCGAGGCATCGGGGCCACCTCGATTCTCCGGCGATCATGGTCGGGAGCCGGAGGGGCTGCGGTTCCGTGGGGGTCTAGAGGCACGGTTAGGCTCGCGCACGAATAGTTTCAATGTTGATATGGGTGGCTTACGCAGTTCGAGTATGACGAGGCAACAGAGTGGTGGTGCTACGAGTGACCACTTTGATATGCCTGGTGCCATGCCGGCGGGTACGCCAGTTGGGACGCCTGGCATCCCAGACAATTGATATACATAAAAAGTGTCGTTCGATCATTCCTACCCATTAGGTATGGTTTCGATTGATTTACTTTAGGTTTGCTGTCCCCGTGTACATTTAAAAGCACCTTTCAACGGAAGTGATGTAAGACAATATCAAGAAATTCCAATTTCCATCGTTCGGTAATATATGTGCAAAGAATCCAGTCATAACGCATCTCAATATCAAATTGACCCATCCTAAACAGCCGCAGTAGGACTGACAACAGTCTCAAGGTAGGTCTTACGGTGTGGGTTAACATCAACCTCGGCACCACGGTTCAACGGCGTCCACTTGGGCTCGTCTTGGAAAAGACGCATAGCCTTAACGTACTGCAGAGCAAGTCAGTCTCATATCCACAAGCACAATGATCCACAAAAGAACATACGTTCTGCTCATTGGTAGTAAACCGATGGTAAATGCCGGCAGGAAGAATAATCATATCCTCCTTAACAAGATCGATACGAATCCACTCGTCCTCCTGTCCACGCACATCAAAGTATCCCTCCCCATCAAGAATATACCGAATCTCCTCATCCTCATGCAGATGCTCTGAGAAGAATGACTTAACCTTCTCCTCATAGATGGCGCCCATAGTCGCAGGAGAGACACAGATCTCGTCGCGGTTACGGTATCCACGCTCCGAGGCGATGGTGTCAACCGCATCGATCGTCGGGCAGTGTTTGTATAGCACGCCTAGGGAGGCGAGCTTCTCTTCCGACACGGCGCGGCCGGAATCGTGTGGCTCTCGCTGGTCGCCCTGTAAACAAATGACATCAGCGATTGTTCTAGTCTGAGGTGGGCTGTACCTGGAAATGCTGGGAAAACCGGGTACGGCCAATTGGTGTGAACTTACCTCAACATTGTCGTACCAGTATGCCTTCATTTTTGGGGATTGTCTCGCTGATTTAGCTGGTATATTTGAAGATATAGAGAGGGGTCAGTTGTAGAAAAAATGTCCAGATCAGCTTACACCTGAACATCAGCAGCCCCGCAATTGGCCGATGGCGCAAGCGCTTATGTTATTTGTGTGACCGCCCTCGGGGTTAACGGTTATAAATATAATCACGTGATAAAATACAAATTTCCTTATCGATTTGATTCGATCTTCAAGTTTGTACCTGTTTTTTGGTTAACATTTGCATTGCATCCCACCATGGCTTTTCGAGCACGGTCGGTGGCGCTGATGCGTCAGGGCCGCGGTCTCCGCTCATTTATGGGCCGGAGTCGCGGTTTTGCGACTGTTACGGATAATACACGGTTCGTGATTTCTCCCCTGTTGTCATTTCGGAGAGTCTTGCTAATTACTTCGTTTATAGACCATACGACGTTATTGTTATTGGTGGTGGCCATGCTGGATCAGAAGCATGCGCTGCTGCTGCTCGTTCTGGAGCGCGCACTGCATTGATCACGCCCTCGCTAGAGAATATCGGTGTTTGTTCGTGCAATCCCAGTTTCGGCGGTATTGGAAAGGGAACGATGATTCGCGAGGTGGATGCAATGGACGGCGTCGCGGGCCGAATTATTGATAAGGCTGGTGTTATGTTTCGCGTCTTGAACCGTTCTAAAGGGCCGGCTGTTTGGGGACCGCGTGCGCAGATCGATCGCGATCTCTACAAGCGGTATATGTCCGAGGAGCTGGCTGGCACGGAAAATCTGAGCATTGTGGAGGGCAAGGTGGCTGATATTGTGCTCTCCACGGAAGGCATTGAAAATACCCCCGGTGCTCAGGGCAAGATTGTTGGCGTACGGTTGGAATCCGGGGAGGTCATTCCTACTGGTCGTGTGGTTATTACAACGGGCACTTTCCTGGGTGGTGAGATTCATATTGGAATGGATGTGTTTCCTTCGGGACGCATGGGCGAGGCTCCCACATACGGTCTCAGCAAATCCCTCCGGGAAGCTGGCTTCCAACTGGGACGCTTGAAGACGGGTACACCACCTCGATTGGACAGGAAGACCATTGATTTTAGCGCTCTTGAAGTGCAAAAGGGCGACTCACCGCCTCATCCTTTCTCCTATCTCAACAAAACTGTCGAAGTGGGCGACGAAGGCCAGCTTACCTGCTGGATGACCCACACAAACGAAGCTGCCCATGAAATCATCCGCGCCAATCTGGACAAATCGATCCATATCCGTGAGACTGTGCGCGGGCCACGATACTGTCCCTCCCTAGAGTCAAAGATCATCCGATTCAAGGACAAGACCCAGCACCAGATCTGGCTCGAGCCAGAAGGCTTCGCACCGAACGACGTTATCTACCCGAATGGCATCTCAATGACCGTTCCAGCAGACGCCCAATACGCCATGTTACGAGTGATCCGCGGTCTCGAAAATGTCACCATGCTCCAGCCCGGCTACGGCGTCGAATACGACTACATTGACCCGCGCAACCTACGACCAACCCTAGAGACAAAACTGATCAGCGGCCTCTACCTCGCCGGTCAGATCAACGGCACAACGGGCTACGAAGAAGCAACCGGACAAGGCATCATCGCGGGCACAAACGCCGGCCTCGAGTCGCAGAACCGATCACCACTCACCCTGACTCGGTCAGATGGCTTCATCGGAATTATGATTGACGACCTCATCACTAAGGGTGTCTCAGAGCCCTACCGCATGTTCACGACGCGAAGCGAGTACCGCATCTCCACCCGCTCGGATAACGCCGACCTACGTCTAACTCGCATGGCCCGCGATGCCGGCGTCGTCTCCGACAAGCGTTGGAGCCACTTCTCCGATACCGAAGCGCAGATCCTTGAACTGCAAACCCTCCTTGGCAACACGAAGCTCTCGTCGTCCGCCTGGTCTCGCAAGGGCTTTAAGGTGCGCTCTGATACCTCGATCCGCTCAGCACTCGATATATTATGTCTAGACGGTACCGACATCAATACTCTCATCCCTACCATCGAATCTCCTACGGGGACGGCATATACCGCATCCTCGTTTGCGCCGGAGATCCTCGCCCGCGTCGCCATTGAAGGCCGCTATGCGCCGTACCTGAAGCGACAGGAGAAGATGGCTGAGCGATTCCAACAGGATGAGAATTTGCTCCTGCCGGCAGATCTGGACTACACCCAGGTGCATGGCATCAGCAATGAGGAGCGACAGGTCCTTCAGCGTGTGCGGCCTGTCAGTGTTGGCATGGCGAAGCGCATTGAGGGTGTGACGCCTGTCGGTGCTTTGCGATTGCTGATGCATGTGCGGAAGGGCAGTGGGTTTTCCAAGGAGATTGATGGAGAAGACCCTGCTGTTGCTGACGTGCTTCGATCGTCGCCTTGATTCTTGAATATCCGGGCATCACTCGATGGGACTCTCTTTTATTTGATATATTGGCATAGCGGGAACGACTCGGCGCTGGATGTGCTTTGACTGTACAATATCGACATGTATACTATTTGATCTCCGATGTGCATATTTGCATAATTATATTCAAACAGATGGAAATTCACAATTCTTCATTTGATCATATCATCTATCATCTACTCAACTCAAGCCACACACTACCTAAAATACCAAAGTACCATTTGTCCAAATAAGGCAAACGGTATCAAACAACCTCACAGCTAAACCTGAACGCTAAGCATAAAGCAACCACCTCCAAAAACACATCCCAAACCCTAAAAACCATCCCAACAACCATCTTCCCTACACAAACAGACCTAACCCAACGCAGCAACCAAAATGTTGTACATCACCCCTCCCCCGGCCCAAAAACACGCGAGAAAAAGCAAAAGAAAAGGATAATCACAGCCACGTACCCTCGAGCCCCAAGCCCGATCAACCCATCACTGGATAACAAGCAAGGGGTAAACACCGATCAATATCTCGCGACAGGGATATCCAAAAACCGGGGACAAGATTACCAACGACCAAATTCAAACACGACAGCATAGACCCAGAACCAGCGATCCTCCCTTATCCCATCCAAAACCCGAATTAGTGCCCTAAGAAAAGAGGCCTCGGGGACTAAGAAGCCCACTCAAAACCCACTCGCACACACAGCGCACACACCCCCCCACCATCTGGTGATCCCGATTACAGCACCTATCGCACAATCCCACCATTTCTAGTAACAGATGTGACGAACAAAGCCTACCGAATCGAGCCTCGTACATAACGACATCTGCAAGCCCATCCAATCCACAGGACCCTTGTGCTTTGTCTGATAGAAATGGAAAGAGTGGTGGCGTGCATAAGCCGTTGGCCGCGATCTGATCTCAGCTGCTTTTTTTTTCCTAAGAAAACGGTTGCGTGAATCGCTTACTGGTCGCTTTTTATTGGCCTTCCGCTCCTCCGAGCGCTGTGATGTATACGAATATCACAAATCACATATCCGCTAACCGGGAAAGGGCGGGGCTTGTGATGTGGGTAGCTGAATGGGTGCATGGTGGATCGGCGAGAGCGATCTATCAATTTGATGCATCTGGGCTCTTTTGTAAGCGCTGTACATCATTCTTCTTCTTTTTTTTCCCTCGGACTACCTCGGTGTTGAGGGGTTGATGTTTATCGGGTAAACGGTTAGAGGGGAGTTGTAAGGGGGATGCTTCCTTGCTTCCTTGCTTCCTAGCGCGCTTCTTGGGTAGATATTGCGAGCGTATGCAGGTTTGTGCTGCTATAGTGTCGAACTAGTACTCCATACATCGCTTACAGCAAGACGTATAGGATTACGGAGTACCTAATGCAGGGTACTCCGTACATGGATGTTGTATGGATTCGTGTGGTCTGCATGAGGCAAAGGTGATTATGGAGTACGTAATATGCCAATGGTCATGCACCTGGGCACTAGCACGATCCATCTGAGATGGCTTGGCAGCTGAGCAGGGAAGGCGTCTTCTCCTGCATGGTGAAGAATGCACATGGCGGGTCGGCGGAAGATGAGATGTCAGGATTCGCCTTCTAGAATGTTGGGTGTTATCTTGCGAACTGGGATGGCGACACGTTCCAGCTGAGCTGGAATAGTGGCGATGCTCCATATATGTGCATATTATCCATGTTCTTGGTCTCCACATATCGGGCAATCTGTAAATTATTGTGGCAGTACAACATAGGGCGCGGCGCTAGAGCGCCGATGTATGCCGCGGTGCCTAGATAGGCGACATACCGAAGCCCAGCATTGTATGGAGTACAGAGCACTATATGGTGCATACAACATGCGATATACTTCGCCTCCCTATTTTTGAGTCAAGAAGATCGGTGAACAAAACTAATTTATTTGGTGGATCCCGAGGTCATGATCTACAAGTGTACTCCGTATGTTACTTTGTACTTCGTATACATTCTTTGTTCCATTGTGGGTTAGATAGGTATTTTAAGGATTCCTAGTTAGAATCGATCACAAAAGAAGACAAGACTCGCCAGAGGCTAGAGGCTACAGTGCATATGTTCCGAAATAGCTCCTCCATGAGCCCACTAGTTATCAATTGACTCAATAGCGTCGTTAGAGATCATTAAAATCCCACGTGAGTGATTTTACTCGATTGATGTCATAGATTCAAATGCGTTAGTGCACACTGCTATACTGGATATCCACTATGTCGATGCACGGCGACGTGTCTTAAGGTTACAGTACTCATTCAAGGACATTTTGCAAATAGCAATCTTAAAGACTTCCCTCGAAAATTCCGTATAAACAGAGCCCTGTGATGTCATAAGCTTAGCGGCTCTGATATTGGCGCCCATGTGGTAACCCGACTGTGTTCGCGGTCTGATGTCTTGCAATAGGACAGGCTATTTAAGACCAACTATGGCAGTCTCGTTGTCCAAGGCTAGTTATCACATGACTCTATATGTTGTCGTCTTTTGAGTCTCTACTGTCTACTTAGGAGTATCAAGCCCTTTGTCTATCTGGATAAATTTACCCGTCATAGTGATATCTACCTAATTTTAATAGTGGGTCAGTTAGCATCTTGATCAGATCGTGAAGTATGGATCAGATCTTGAAGTATGATCAGATCGTGAAGTATGATCTCCATAACTATAGTAACCTACTACCTGATCTCTGGTAGTTAAACCTTAACTTAAAAGGGCTTCTGGTTAGCTCGGCATTCTTCTACCACCATATGCCGGATGCGGGAATCTTGCCCTTCTCAAAGGGGAAATAATAAAGCGGAGAACGGGAAGCCGAGGAAGTGTGCTTTTCTCTTTACATTACTCCATACCATCACGAAAATCCACAGTGGCATACAATTTAGCATTTTTAAAGGATGTATTGAGGTTGTTTTGTGTACTCGTATAGTAGTTGGAATTAAGGATCAAAAGTAACCATCCACACAGATGTAACAAGAATCAATGTCGTGTTTCGTATTCTAAACGAGGGGTGAAAATAACAGAGACAAAGTAAACCTACATCATTTCAACATTTTCCATTAGCATTCTCATGACGACGTACTATGTAGAACCCTAATGAGAAAGGTAAACCCCTACTTTGTAGATGTGCTTGATGAGAGTCCCTAGTTATACATTGAAAAGTCACTTGCACAAAGTATGCTTTTTTTAACCCCCTTCGCATACATCTAAAAAAGACATTACGAGGCCGCAAAAGCAGCCGACTGCTCTTGTAAATCAAAAATATGATAATATAAGAAGTTACACGTATTTTGTAATACCTACTATAATGTATATCTTTTCATGTACAATTCTAGCGTACAACAGCCCCCTTGATTCAAAAAAAGAAGTCAAGTCGCACAATCAGATACGAGCCGTAGCGCTGGGGCTTCCAGTGATCCCTGTTAACAGTCCTTCTGACCACATGGGCGTGGGTGATCCCTTGTGTATGACACGCCAACATTAACTATTACTGGAAAATAGAGGATTAATTGGCCCTCATTGGTCTCGTTCATCTTGTTCGTTTCCACCCGATCGGCTGGTTTGACACGAGGATCACGGGGTCTGTCTTGACTCTTGATATACGAGGTGGAGGCGAGCTTAGTACTCCGTTGGGAGTTGCCTGTACAAATGACCCGAAATCATCACTACCATCCATGGATGTCTTGGATTATTCGCCTCCTGCCTCTTGTCTCTTGTCTTTTGCCTCCGGATACTTCCGCCCGGTGTACGGAGTACGGAGTACCTAGATGAGAACTAGCCTATTGTTCGACGCACAGATAAGCGCGATCGGACAGAGCCCACTAACTTCCCCCCGAAACGGAAGAAATAGACGATCGCGATCATCATGATCTCACCCCCTGACCCTCCTAAGGCTGACAATGAAATGTTTCTACTCTTCACAGTTATGGCCATGTCATCCGAAATTACCAAACCAGCAAAACTTAAGCATTATTGCCCTGACATGATTGAGGGGTATTTCACTGTTGTACTACTACTAAGCATAAACACCCTTGTCCTAAGGTATCGACCAATAACGCATTGACTTCCAATCATGGAATATTTGCTGTGGGGAACTTGGGGAATCTGACATTAAAAGCAATATCCAAATAACCAATGGGCAATCAGTAACCAGAGTCAGGGGCAGAGACGCGAGGGCTACTCCGTACTTGAGCGGGTGAGGGAATATCCCAAAAACAGTCTTCGGGGTTGTGGACGAATTAGGGAGGTAGTACGATTGCTTTTGTCCTTTTGTTTCCCCATGATCTCTGTGCGAGGCTAGATGTAGGGACTTGTGTTCGTGGCACGGTGCATAGTGGTACTGTGGTCTTGTATTTGGTGCATGTGTGGATGCACATGCAATGCACATCTCGCTTGATTGCACTCCGTACATTTTATTGTATAGTAATCTACGGGTTAATAGAATATGGATGTTGAATGTAGATAATATTGTTTCACGCTACGGAGTACATGCATATAACTAAGAATTAATATATTATAGACAAAGACTAGAGTTTCTCCGAGCCTCCTTCCGAAGACAAAGCTACAATCCCCCGAAACCACTATACAGTCGGTGATCTAAACCGGATCTCCATTGACGCCAAGTTGCCTAATGATGATCGCCCCCTAGTGCTAGACCCTTGAGAGTTGCGGCATTTCTTAGTTTGTTCCAAAGGAAGCGTAGTGCGGACGCCACCGGGACTAGTTGGATTAGTGTGAGTGATTTCGGATTGGGATTTTTCTTCTTCAAGGTGCGTGCATTGGCCTATTATTACCTGTGTGGCTTTATGCCTGTGCCTCTGTGCTTCCTGTGCTTCCTGCTCCTGTACCTCCTGTCCTTCCGTGCCTAGTTCGAGGCGATCTTCGTATCGCTGCTGATTCCAACCCCAAATAAATCTAGAGCAGATTATTGAGGAGTACTCCGTCCAAAGTACATAATGAGAAAAAAATAAGGTGAGTAAAAATAAAATATTCCCAGTTTTTTTACTGTCAGTGAAACTCTGCCTGACAGGCCTGCAATTGCGTATTACAATCCCTACTTTTGTATTCTAGCCGTTCAACCGTCTAGCAGTTCTAACCCCACCCTTAGCAAAACATACTATAATCTAATTCGCCCCGAGCGTCTGGGTACGGGTGCACTGTCCGTGGATGTGGGTTTCTCCTAGCAATTAGCAGCCAAGAGATCGACGGAAAAGTACATGGATGATCTACTAATTGTAAAAGATAGTGTAATAAACCGAGATCCCCCATTGCTGGAATTACTGGAACGGCTGTGCTCTACAACATTATAAAGAGCCAAGCCACACAGCCCTAGCAATGTACATGGTACGGAGTACGGAGTACACGTCTCCCCCCTCGGAGGTTATGATATGATTTGCCAAAGCATTTGTGGGGTAATTAGATTGCGATGCCAAGCTACAACATACATATTTCTCGCCCGTATATTGGGTACCTTTGTTAGTCTAACCGCCAACGCTAACCTCTTTTCTTCTCGTAATCGGAGTCACCTCGTGAACTCCCCGCGCTTATAGCAATCCTTGGCTTGTGATGGGCTGTGCAGAATTATCGATGATCTCAGCTTTCGGTCCAGAACTTTCTATTCTTTTCCAACTTTTTCGAATTATGTTCTTTCCCAATTATTTGTTTTGGTTCTTGGTCCGGTGTGCTCCTTCCTGATTCCTCTGTCTAGACTGGGCTCTCTCTATCGGACTTCGGCGATTATACCATTCTTGATACATCACATTCCATCCTTACGTACTCACTATATTTATTTTAATAGAGAAATTATTATTATCTCTTTATCGCGTCTGTCTATACTTTCTTTCTAAGATAACTGGAGTGTCTATATACTGACATCTGTCATTCGCGTCAATTAAGTTTCCAGAAGCGTGGCCAACCACTCCATTGGGACCTAGTCGTGACTCTAAAATCAACGGAACACTGTCCTCCGACCATTATCTAACGTGCTACTTACTCCGTACCATTCTATTAATCCCCCTTCTTTTGTACTATATACATATCGTAAAAAAATAATAATTTCCATTTTCTCATAATTCGCTCATTCTCTATCTCAAACCACAAAACCGCCGATCCTAAATCCTTAGCTCCATGGCTTGGCCGGGGTGCATCGCCCGGCCACATGTCAATGGTTAGTGGCTGAGACCCAATGTGTCTGGCTTGTCTTGGTATGGCCCAGGCTAAGACTCAGCGTGGCAGTGTGCCCAGGTGGCCTGGATCTGCTGAGGATCTCCCGCGAAAGTTTTGGCCACCCAATCGAACCCCAGTCGTAATATCTTGGTCTTATGGTATTAGCTGATTAGTTAGGTACGGGACCCTCTTCCCCTCCTTAACTTTCAAGAACCTAGCCCTGGAGCCCGAGAAGTAAAGTAAAGTAGAAGTTACCGAAAACTCTCTCTAAGCCCGGAAGCCTAACCTTCTTTTTTGTTTTGTTTCTTATCTGAGACGCGTGAGATGCCTCCCCCCGGTTCTGCACATCCGTTCATGCTGATTGGGATTATGTCTTTTGGCTTGCTGGGGTCTGGTATACCCGCTTAATGTACTCCGTATATCGTACGTATACACTAACTGTGTGTAGGTTGTATACCGAATCAATGGGCCAAGGCGGAGATCTACCTTGAACTGGACGCGCTCAGTCCTCTTTCAACTTCTTGGAGAATTCCATAGACCGTCAAAAAGGGAGGCCACTCATGAAGGAGTAATTCCCAAAGTCACCGATGCCCGGACCCGGAGGAAAAAAAAGAGGGAAAAAAAAAGAATATAATAATCACCACAAGAGGGTGATGGAATTTGACTCGCGTCTGACTGGCTGCTCCAAACCGTGGAGGATCTTATCCTTGACTGCCGTTGGATGATCATGACCCATCCGGAGTTCGAGGTGGAGGCCAATTTTTCAATAGCTTGGTATGGCGTGCACTGTTCATTCTCTGGGAGAGATTAGTGGCATTGCCCGTAACGAGAAGATATGACGCTCTTCGGAGGATTGGGATCCTCTTGAGGTTCCTAAGGTTAAACCAGTTAAACCACTGTCTGAGACATAAGTCGATCATTTCTATTATGGGGCGTCAGATGGGAAAAGTGGAGAATGGTAGATGAATGAACCAATGAAATGTACTTGGTGACTGTTGAGGGCCACTGGTCACAGCCCCGGGTAGTCCTGTACTTTACAAACTGCTCTCGAGAAAGACCGGCGCAAGCGATGATCTGCTCTGTTCTCTTTCTCGTTTTTTTCCCTCCTTCTTCCAAATAAGGAAGGTGTGTGCTGAGTCAGAATCGACCTGCAAGTGAGGTCGACTGTGGTATATTGTCCGTTGTTTCTCTGTCAATATCTACGGAGTACTTGGGGCTACCTTGGTCTTTGGTATACGATGTCACGGCGACCCTCCGATCTCAATCCACGGCTCCACCGGGATCACCCATGGCACGGGGGGTGATTGTATCTTGACTTGCTCTTTTCTTCTACTTTACATACTCGATTCGTTATTTAATTATATTTGATAGCGTCTGTGTATTGTTGTCTAGTGGAATAATATCTTTATAATGGTATCTAGTGATATAGTTGTTTAATTGAAAGTGAAACTGTACCTGCTTTTCGCGGAGGGTTTGGTGAAATCATGACTCTGACGTTCCATTCTCCGTATTTCTCCGCTCCCCCCCAATTCCACCGTCTCCTTTTTCTCTTTTTTTCTTTTTCATTTTATTTCGGTTTTCGGTTTCGGGTTTCATTTTTTTCATTTCCTGGGTCAACTATACCAAATTCAGAAAATGGAAAATAAATAAAATAAAATAAAATAGAGCTGAAAATTAAATTAAAAAAACGTATAATAAAATAATAAAATAAAAATAAAATAAAGCCCAAAACATAATATCGCATGTCATATCTGTCATTGATACTCCAGCCCTCAGCATTCAGTCTACCACCATCCAAGTACTCTCCGGTTCCAACCCTCCGAGTCTTTTTTAACATTAACATTAACATTAAGCCATTAGACTCCCGGGTGCCCATACCATACTGCCTTATCTGCAGGTTTTGGTCTAAGTTATAAACTTGATATAAAAAGAACACCTACCTTTATACCTGAGGTATGTATGTACAATGGAATACAATCTAATAATGGTGGATAATTCAATAATCCAAAATAATCTAATAATCTAAATAATCTAATGATTATCACGCTGTACCATGATTTTCCCTGTGGAGTTATCACCACTCAGACCTTCTCTTTTTTCCCCCCCTTCTTTTCTTACTTCCCCTCTCTTACACTTAATTAGCCAGGGTCCCCATTTAGGTACATAGTTATTCCCTTCCCTCCCTTCTCTCAGTGGATCCCCCAAAAAAAAAGAAAGCTTGGGAATTGCCGCAACTCAAACCGTGGAACGGGTTTCTAGTAGATCCCCATCTTTTTTTTTCTGATCGAATCGGTGCAACCTGTTGACTCGCTGACTTGAACTGGGAAGGCCCGTGCTTCTCGCTGGCCGATCACGATCCCTGGGAATTTCTCCAACTGAGGGGTCCCAACTCAAAAACCTCCTCTTCTTCTCCATACCCTGGTCGATCTGTTAGCTTAATTCTTTTTCCTTTTTTTCCTTTTTAGCACCTTTCGAACCATTTGATCGGGGAATTATATCACTTGCAAAAGCCCCGGGGGGTTGCTGGGATTGTATCTCTTTCACACTTTACATCATGGTGAATGGGACCGCCGCCGTGTTGGAGCCCACATTCACCGGGTATGTCGCAACTACGCAAGACGCCCTGATCCTCTTCGAGGCATGCTTGACCGGTGTCTTGCATCACGTCCCGCGCCGCCCTCACGACAGAGAACGGAGTCATCTCGTACGCAGCGGCAGCGTCTTCATCTATGAGGAGAACGCATCCGGCATCAAACGCTGGACCGATGGAGTCACCTGGAGTCCGAGTCGCATTCTGGGGAATTTCCTCGTTTACCGTGAGCTGGACAAGCCATTTCCTCCTGGGGAGAAGAAGCGCGCCATGAAGAAGGCCACTCGACGACCAGTGCCAGCCGGCCGGCCGGGTGAACCCTATCCGCGACACGATAGCAGCCAAGGCTATTCTCCGACATCTCCCAGCTCGGCCCCCTTCACAGACCGTTCCTCCCATCAATCGGAGCTGGAACGGGCATTGGTTGGGTCCCTGGTTGATTCGTACGGCTTCAAGGACTCCGGGTTAGTCAAGAAGACGATGAGCGTGACGGTGTTGGGCGTGACCCACCATTTGGTCTCATACTACAGTGTAGAGGACGTGATGCGCGGCATCCTCAACCCACCCTCGATGGTGGATTCCCTGCGCTTTATCCGACCCCGCACAGAACTTACCCAGAAACAAAGCTTCCGTTCCCCAATCGACGAGCTAGAGGCCAATGCCGTGGAAAACCAGGAGCCCTCCCACGTCGCTCTATACGGATATCGCCCGCAGATGATGGCTCCGCCCGCTTACGCCATGCCAAATCCTTCAAACGACTTTTATATGCACCCCAGTCCCTATGCTGCCACACATCCACCGCAACAAGGCCCAATCCAGGGATATTCGATGGGCGCGCCGATGGCAGGCCAATCCGCGCCAAATCCGTACCTGCCAAATCCGGGACAAACCGCCATCCCTCCGAAGCAGGAAGACTACCACTCATTCCGCGCAGGGCCCTACGGTGGCAGTATGGACTCAATGAGCGCACACAGCATGGCTTCCATCCCAGGCGGAATCAACGCAGGACTCCCCAGCTCCCTCAACGAACGCAACAGATCCACCTCCGAACACAGCCCTTCGGCCTACCGCAACTCCTCCATCTCCTCACGCAGCCAAGCAACGGACGCTACTTCCCCCATGGATCCATCCACCCCTGCAACCTACTCCCGCGGCAGCTTCAGCATGTCCGGCCAGCTGGAAAACCAACACCAAGGACTCGATCGCAACATGCCTGGTCTCGATCCTAACGTCCCTCGTCGCGAATCAAATCCCATACATCCGTCCTACTACGCTACGGATCGCTCCCAGTACTACGTACCCGCGCCTTATGCTGCCACGCAACCCATGTCAACATGGACGACTACAGCCGCGACGCAACCGCAAATGGCGCAACCTCAAATCTAATCTCTTGATACCTTTCCGTGTCTTTGGTGTTGCTTCTGACCATGGAGCGTGGGAGTCAGGGCGGAATTTTGTTTCTCATTTTTTTGGTTTCCAAGTTGCTTTTGCCTGGAGATAGACCTCACGCTTCTGTTCTGTTATGTTTGGGAGGAAAACGCCGTTTCATTGCTACAATATGTACCTGACAGCGGCTGTACTCGTCTCTTGTGTCTTGTCTATATGGTTATGGTCTCTTTGCTTTATGGTCTGTTACGGCGGTGGCTCTTTGTCTTTTTCTCCTTTTTCCCTGTTTTTTTTTTGGCTTTTACTTTACCCCTATTGCTATATCTTTCTCTTTCGGTGGCTCTCTGATATTTGATTCTGTTCTGGGAATCCGGGTGGGTGGCGTTCTTTTATTCTTCACGATGTCATGCAACAACCCGATAACCCCAAAACGGTTCTACTCTTTTTATTACTACTTTACTTCTTACCTTGGGACTCTGATTCCTACCTTTTACTTCCTTGCTCTCTCCATACTTGATATTGATTTGCTGCCAAGGCAGCGGCACTCCCTGTATGTTTGTCTTCTGCGATTACAAACGGTGTCCAATGGTTTCTTTTCCAACGTCTTGTACGGCAGATTCCTGTTCTATATTCTCCAGCTCCGTGGGGACAGACTTTAGTGATTCCCATCTCATTTCATGGTCCATGGTCAAAAGATTGCTTCAATACGTCATTTCCTTCCTTTCTTGGTTATTGTGGTGCTAGTTTTGGCTATTATCAATACGTGCATGTACTTCATACTTGAATCCCTGTATCCCTGTCTTCTATAGTATGGATTATAGGCATGTGCACTTGTGGTGGCTGTTTGATATTTATAATTCCCCAATTCCAATATTAGCTGCTTCTGCCTGATTCCACATTCTTTCTAATTGCTGTGCTCTTCTATACTCAACTCTTCTCTCTATCCTTCCTTCATTTGTGCATTTTTTAGCATGGCAAATGTGGTACGGGCTACGAGATTATGACAAGTGTCGTTAAAAGAAAGACATCGTTACAGAAGTACATGTATTTTCCGCTTTCCCTTTTCATGCTATTCAATCAATATTAATCTATTTAGATTCTTATTGGCATAATAATGTTCTAGGTAGGTACTATCTGTATATATTTATATCGAAATACAGCTCTTGGAGTTTTCCCCCTATAAACCTCTTTAACCCTCATTTATAGTCTATTTAGAAGACAGTCCTCAAACCAAATAGGAATATGTGAATAGCACACTAGACTTACTATATTTAGAAACTACAGTATCAAAAATCATAACATTATAATCAAACACTATTTATACACTATCAACGCATTGAACAATGATAGATTAGACTTATGCTGAACTCGCATATCGACAATGGGTATCCTAATCAGACAAACACTTCTGCAGGATGGTATACTCAAACAAACATTTGCAAAACACAAACAAGTAAACACACACACAAACAAGTCAGGACTCGTCAAAGCAGAAGAGTGATAGATATCTCATCCAGCGTATCTGATCCAGACGAAAGACCCGAGGGTCACCACCCAAGGATCACCACCCAAAAGAAAGGAAAAAAAAACTCCCTACCTGTCATCCAACCCAACCAAAGACCCCAGCGGCGAGTTTGCCATACTCATAACCTTCCGATGCCCACGCGCACCACCAGCACCAGCACCAGCACCAGCACCAGCACCATCCCCATCCCCATCCCCACCCGTAATCTCCGAAAGAGTACGGTCCCGCCGCTGTGAACTTACGCCTGTGTGCGGGATCATCGAGTCTGTCAGACTTGGCGAGGAGTTTGTGGAGGTAGTTTTTGATGGTCCGCCCGCCGCGCGCGTGGGGAATTCCCGCGCTTGTGTGCGTCGTAGGCTTGGTGTGCGGCGCGGTGGATGGGGGGAGGGGCCTGGACTTGATTGTGCTAGGTTGGTGAGGTGGGTGGTTGTGGGGTCGAGGTGGAGGTGGAGGTTGAGGGGGATGGTTATGGTGGCTGTTTGGGGGATGGTAGAGGAGGTTGTTCGTGCTGGGTGAGGGTGAGGGGTTTGGAGGGAGGAGTGGCCTTGGCCTTGGTTTTGGTTTTGATTCTGCGGGTATACCTGCTGCGGGCGGGATTGAATTTCTTCCCCCCTAGGCTGGGTGGCCCAGAGATTTTGTAGGGTTGTCTGCAGGAGGTTGTTCTGAAGGGAGAGGCTGTTGTTCTGCAGAGCCAGGTTGTGGGTCTGCAGTTGTTGTTGGTACGGGATTGGGTTGAGAGGCCCGTACTGTCCTGGGTAGGTGCCCTGGAAGTGATTGTCAGGGATGCCGGTCTCAGTTGGGATTTGGATCTGAGAGGAGTATCTATTAGTTTCGGCTCACTTCATATTCATTGAGAGATCCATTGATCTCTTGATTGGTGAACATACCTGACGGCTGAACTTCCTTCCTGGCATGGCGATGTACTCATCGAACATGCTGTCGAGTTTTGCAAAGTTGAACCCGCGCACCGGGTCCACGGGCTCAAACCGCTGTCCAACTTCTTGTTGGAAGTTGACACCCCGGCGCGGCAGAGGTTGGTACTCGGGTAGTTTCAGCAGCAAGGATGGGTAACTGCCAATCATCGCATCGATGACGGGGTCGACGTCAATCGACAGGGAAATTTTGCTATTTGCTGTGGGTTTCTGGATCAACATGACAAAGGTGAACTCGCGCGGCAGACCGGATCGCTGGACATTGTTCTCTTCCATGGACCAGACGATTTTGCCAGCTTCGACATCGAATTCGCGGCCAGCTGGGTTCTTCAAAGTACGCGCCGAGCCTTGGACGCGCATCATCTCGTACCGTTTGTACCGGCCGTTGAGGCTCCCCGAGGGAATGACGCTTGCATTGATAGGCAGTTCCGAGATTCCGAGGGACCCAGCCAGACTGAATGTCCACTCCATGGTCTCCGGGGAAACACTGCCGTAAAGCAGGTGCGGCGCATGCATAAGGAAGCGCGGGTTGCCAGGTGGATATCTATAAGGGTCCGACTTCGGACTTGAAAGATCACGGTTTCCATAAACGGATACACTAATAGCGGCGGACTTGATGCGGTGTGTGATAGTGTGCGGTGAATGAAAGGTGAATGCAATGGCGAGAAAATCTACGTATTCGGCGTCCTCGTCCGAGACGGCGGCGCTGGAGTAAAAACCATGCTGAAGACGCTGGACGTGCGCGGTGATATATGCATCGCCGGGCAGTCGGCGCTCGTATATGAGAGCACGGTTGACAGTTAAGCGTGGATTCGCCATGTTTGGATCTGGTGGTTCTTTTTCTTTAACTGATGGTACACTGTGGATTGGAGTCAACAAGCGTGAGTCCGAGACACATTGGTTTTGAACAGAAGTAAATGACATCGTGGTGGCGACCGCGAAGCGACAAGACCGCAGTTTCGTTCTGGCAGGCTTGTCTCGCTCTCCATCTGGCTCTAGGGATCCTTCTAGACGCGGACGCGGGTAATTTGGCTTGACCTGCCTGGCATATTGTCCTCTATGATCTTTCAGCTAATGACTCAGACATAAGTAAACATTTTTGTTTGATGATGCTTTTCATCACCTGGGGTTGTAGGTCACAGGAGTGATAGGGACTATCAGGTGAGCATAGGCTTGATCATCATGATGACTGTGCCACCACTCCTGGAAATGGGAACCTAGAGATGATATTGTCATTTTCAAGGATATTCAATAGAGGCGAATGCGACGCGGTGTCATATTTGTTTTTATATACAAAAGTAGGAGAAACAGGAAGGATAGTTTGTTGCATGTGGAAGATATAGAGTCGAGCGGATAAACCATTTGTCCGGCCAGAAACTCATCGCCGAGGTGCAATCTCCAATGTTCATCTAACCTCAGGCGACCGTGATCTGGAGCTTCTTAGTTCTAGGTCATTGAATCTCCGGTAGAAGTGTGCTCCAAATTTTGGATTTTCTCATATGTATGTCTCGTTGAGTGAAGTTGCCCTGAGTTCTGAACACCCAGCTAACAATCCCTAGATTGTCTTTGTACTATATAGCATTCTGTCTTTTTATTTGCATTGCTTGCGCTGTCAGCTTGTTCGTTTGTTTTATTTTGAATTGGGTGTTCGTATTTGCACGTTTAACGGCAACTGTGCGACGCGACAGCTTCCGTTGTTCTATCCCCTGGCTTATCACCTAGACCGAATCACCATTGCATAACCTGAAAACGACCGGGTATGCACAATTGAAACTCGCAGTTGAAAACTTGTGATTATTGGTGTTGCTCGTCAATTTTGGGTTTCTACCAACGCCTGCCGTTGTCACCTTTGTGTTGGTGTCACCATGATTGGCTCATGCGCGGCCCAGTTGTCCCTTCGGGCAAGCCGGCAGGGATCCCAAGTGCTGTTGAAGAATGCACGTCTTTCTGTTCGGTCAAATGTGTTCAAGACTGAAGCTCTTCAGAGAGATGGTTTCCGGTGTATATCTACATCAGTCCAGTCGAGATTGAGCCGATTACCAACCGGGTATGGTTGTTTGCCGTTCCTTCATTTATACAATTCTAACTGTTCACCAGAGGGTTGAAACCTAGCTGCTTGCAGACCACTTTGATTTCACCATCATTCTTCACGCAGCAAAGATGGTCCGGGTCAAAATCGCCAGAAAACAAAACCCCTGAGCAGTAGGTCTACAGCCTCTAACCCAATATACCCAGTGTCCCAATGGGACATTGGTCAAGCGAACTAGCAATTAACCTGGTATAGATCTGAGGAATCCAAGAAAACTCCTATTCTATCACGGATTCCCCTGCCAACCTCTCACGAGAATATTTACACTGTTCCCAATATTCTCACATTCTCCCGGCTACTCGCCGCCCCCGTGGTTGGGTATCTCCTAGTCCATAACTACCACACAGCAGCGCTATCCCTGTTTGCCTATGCGGGTATCACCGATCTCGTCGATGGCTACATCGCCCGGCGGTATAACCTCCAAACCGTGGTTGGAACCATCATCGATCCCATGGCCGATAAGTTACTGATGACCATTGGTGTCGCGTGTCTGGCCGTGAATGGCGCCCTTCCTAGTAAGTCTACTCGTATCGATCACTTGGTGGTACATGGGCATGAATTGACACATTGAATAGTCTGGCTCGCTGTGATCATCCTCGGTCGCGATGTCGGTTTGGCTATCTCGGCCATCTACTACCGTTGGATTTCTTTGCCTGAGCCGAAAACTATGGCTCGCTACTGGGATTTCTCGCTTCCCTCGGCGGAAGTCAAGCCCACTGAGATCTCGAAGATCAATACTGCCCTGCAGTTGGTGCTGGTGGGTAGTGCGATTGCGCTGCCTGTGGTCCCTGAGGCGTTTGTCAGTGCCTGGCATTTGAGCGAGGCTATGACTGGATTCCAGTAAGTTTGATCTTTTCTTGTTTTCTACCCCCTTTTTTGGTTCTTTTTCGTGCTTTTTTTTTTTTTTTTTTTT